ATTGTTTTTCCCCCTACCTTTAATAAAAACCCCTTAAAGCTGTTGAAGAAATATTCAAACTACCCAATCTTTTGTCAAAAAAACACCCCTCCCAGTCTAAACAGCCACTCCTCCCAATGGAAACCTTCGTCCTCAGCTCCCACCTCCTCTCATTCTACCCCCAGCTTCAACCCATAAAAAATAACAGTCGAATTAAGCGCCAAAAGAGCCGAAATTAAATTTGCATAAAGAAATGCCGCAGAAAATGTCGCATTCCATGGCTCTGGAAGGGGGGGGGGGATTACGGAAGCCCGGGCTCTGTGGAGGCTCTGCCCTCGCCCTCCTCTGTGTTTTTTTCTGGCACTCACCACTCTCGAGACACAAGCCGAGAGCAAACAACCAAAAGAAAGCCTCGGCAATGGCGATTCGGGATGAAGAACGGTCTGACCTCTGTTTAATTGGCAGGCTTAAAAAATAAATAAAGCTCCATTAATGAAGCTTGTTGTCCTGATTCGAATAAACAATCGGGTGGGGACAAAGCGGCAAACTATTGTAATAAAAACACATAATTTTAGAGAGTAGACTGTCTTTAAAAAACAGAAAAAATAGTTTCTTCCAGTGTAGGCTAAGGTAAGATAAATTAGGGTAAAGTAGGGTAGAGTAGGATAGGGTATGGTAAGATAGAATAGAGTAAATAGAGTACAATAGTGAAAGGTAAGGTAATATAGGGTAGAGTAAAGTAGAGTAAGGTAGGATATGATAGAGAAGCGTAGTATTAGGTCAAGAATTTATGGTAGAATATAGTAAAGTATATTATTGTAGAAACTGACAAGAATAAGACATTTACGTAAACCCAAAAGAGTAGACGAAAAGACAAAAACCGTAAGGTAGACCAAAAAATAGCTATAAAAAGATAAAGGTACGGTAAACAAGAGAGTGGGTACTGTAAATTAAGCACAACAATAGGTAAAGTTACAGTAAAGAATAGTAATGACAAGACAAAGTATAGAGTAAAGTAAAATGTAGTATGACACGGTGACTGCATGTAGTAAAGCAAGGTAAGGATAGACAGGTAAGTTAAGAATAAAGTTAAAGGCAGGGGCAAATGTATGTAGAGTTTGAAGGTAGCAGTAGGGATGAAGGCAAGGATCAGGTAGGGGTAGAGGTAGGAGTAGGGGTAGGGTTAAAGGTAGAGGTAGGAGTAGGACAGGGACGTCGCTACGGATTTTCTCTTTGTGAGGGGGAAAATCAAAAAAATTTTTTTCGTCCACAGGTAGCTAGCTGCCTGTGGTCCAATTTTTCAAAAATTTTTTTCTTTTTTTTGACGTACAGGTGGGAGGGGGTACCCCCCCCTACCCCCTCCCCCAAACGACGTCGCTGGAGTAGAGGTAGAAGTGGGGATATAAGTAGTGGTAGGGGTGCGGTTAGTGGTTCTCTATTTCATTCTAAGCTGAGTTTTTAAAATTTTCATTTAAAATTGTTAACCTTTTCGAATTTTAAATTCAAAACTTGTTCCGAAAGAGGTCATTCGATGGGTGTGAGATAACGAAAAGAAAACAAACAAATAAACCGAATACAATATCCGGAACTGTCAAGCCGAATTTCGCAGTTTTGAATCGACTCTATTTTTGAATTTTCCATTCAAAAAACTTTTCAACAGTTTGCTTCGTTTTTTATTCAGCTAAACCTTCATATTGAATTGTCACAAGGCTTTGGAACTGCTTGATTTGAAGTTTTTCATCTAGAATTAACCTCTATTTCTAAATATTGTTATTTATAATACAAGCTACTCTGCCAAAGGTATCGTTACTCTATCGTAACTATTGCTACACTTTTGTCGCTGAAACGATGACTGAAACAAAGCTCTATATTGATGAAAACGGCAATGAAAAGAAGGTGGGTTATATTCACAATTTTTTAAAATTTGTTTTTGGTTTCTTAAGTCGATCGGTATCAAAATGGGGAAGGAGTAGGAGTAACTGTAAAGGATTTTATGCCATTAACTGTCTTTGTAAGGTTAATGCTACTTATTGCTTAAATTTAGGCTGTAAAACAATTCCCCTCATCTCCCAACAGTGTTATTCTCGACTCCCCAATACCTTTTGATATTGCTCGAGTTGTTATTGAAAGATGGATGAATTCTAGTAAGAAATCGCAACGTAAAATGTCTGTTTGTTAGCCATATACCTTTTAATTCCACTTAACTTTAGCTTCTCTCCATTTTTTTGTCCTTTACATTACAATTTAGTACTAAAACTAGATATGTTGCGATGTACCTGTCCTTAAATTAATAATATCTTTTTAAAAAGAATCTAACTTTAATAATCTAAACCAACATTTGTTCATGATACTACCCCCTCTTCGTATAACACCAATCCATCCTTTACATCAAATTTTTCAAAATGTTACCTAAAACATGGGGATTTCAGTTTTAAATCCTTAAACTTCCTATTTAAAACCCTATTTTTTTAAATTTTAAATATTAGATTGTTTAAATAATTCTGTGCCTCTTAACCCTAAAAAATGCTTCTAGAAAGGCACAGAATTATTTTAACACCATAGTAATATTCTCCATAATAACTCACTTTTTTATATTTTTATCACTATCAGTTTAAAATTGTAATAATTTGATTTAAAAGCGGAATAAATAGACACCCTGTTCAGATACAGTACCATTTCGACTTGATTTTGATAGAAAAAATACAGTAAGATAGTGAGAACATAGTTCATACCTAAATCTCAAAAAGCTTCAAGTTATAAGACGATTTCTGGGACCGTGAAGCAAGGTGTGCACTAGAAATTTACCCCCTATTTTTATTTGCTAAATCCATGAGATAGACGGTTTTAAGGTATTTGGTAAAGTGATTTTGGACAAAATGCCGTTTTGGCACTTTTATGCCATTTTTTGTTAACATACTGTTAAAATTTACCAAAAAATCAATAGTGCACCAAATGTTCTGAAAATTTGCACACTTACGTTTTTGACCATGCCAAACAATATTGTAATTAAAAATTTTTTTCTATTGGTACCGTAATCTACCGTAATCCGACCGGTCGATTATAAAAGTGCAAATATCTAAAAAGTTAACACGGAACTTCACAGGCAATTTTTGCATATTTAGAATCTCCATGGAATTTGGATTATCATAGGCTATGCCCCCGTTCCTAGTCCGATGGGTTTTGGGGGTTTTTGGTCGATTCAAAAATTACGGTAGCATACCAAGCAAAAATTACAAACCTTTTTAAAAATCTACTAATGCATCGAACGCTTTGAAACTGCGCATAGTTATGTTTTTGATCATGCTAAACAACTTCGTAAATAAAATTTTTTCCTAAAAATACCGTAACCTACCGTAATCCGACCGGTCGATTATAAAAATGCAAATATCTAAAAAGTTAACACGGATGTTCACAGGAAATTTTTGTATATTTAGAATCTCCATGAAATTTGGATTATCATAGGCTATACCCCCGTTTTTAGTGCAATGGGTTTTGGGGGTTTTTGGTCGACTGAAAAATTACGGTAACTTACGGCCTAAAAATTTAAAATTTTACTATGGTTTTGCGAATGCACTTATAAATCTATAAATTTGCATTCTTACGTTTTTTACCATGCTTTACAACTGTATTATAATTTTCTCTCTGAATGTACCGTAACCCACCGTAATCTGATCGGTCGATTATAAAAGTGCAATTATCTAAAAATTTAACACGGTTTTCCATAGTCAATTTTAGCATATTTAGAATCTACATGAAACGTAGATATTGATAGGCTATAAGCTCATCTTAAAAGCTGCTAATTTTGAAGATAATCGACCGGTCGGATTACGGTAGGTTACGGTACTTTTAGAAAACAATTTATAATTACGAAATTGTTTAGCATGGTCAAAAACATAACTATGCGCAGTTTCAAAACGTTCGATGTATTATTAGATCTTTAAAAAATTTTTTAATTTTTGCTTGGTATGCTACCGTAATTTTTGAATCGACCAAAAACCCCCAAAACCCATCGGACTAGGAACGGGGGCATAGCCTATGATAATCCAAATTCCATGGAGATTCTAAATATGCAAAAATTGCCTGTGAAGATCCGTGTTAACTTATTAGATATTTGCACTTTTATAATCGACCGGTCGGATTACGGTAGATTACGGTACCGACAGAAAAAAATTTTTAATTACAATATTGTTTGGCATGGTCAAAAACGTAAGTGTGCAAATTTTCAGAACATTTGGTGCACTATTGATTTTTTGGTAAATTTTAACAGTATGTTAACAAAAAATGGCATAAAAGTGCCAAAACGGCATTTTGTCCAAAATGACTTACCACATACCTTAAAACCGTCTATCTCATGGATTTAGCAAATAAAAATAGGAGGTAAAGTTCTAGTGCACATGCCTGTTACATTATGCTTCACGGTCTCAGAAAGTCTCTTTTATACCTAAAGATCACAAGATTCATAATAACAATAAGGTTATAAGAAAGTATGCTTTAAAATTATAGGATACAAACAATTTTTGATCTAGGGCAGTATAATATAACATATTTTAGGTATTATCAGAACCTCATGTCATTTTTCTGTGCCTTACTTTACGTTATTTACTAGATTAGCCTTTTTAACTAAAATCTTGTTATTTCCTCAATACCTACATGTATATGATTCCCAAAATCAATAAAAATCAAGCTAAATTAGACTCGATCAAACGTGAATCAAGTTGAAATTAAATTTACCCAAAATCAAGTCAAAATTATACCTAAATCGACCCAAAATCTGGCTGGTATTAGATGATAATATCGGTCGGAAATTCAAGCTGGAAATCAGCTTGAAATCAGGTTAAGATTTAAGCCTAAAATAAACCCGAAATCGAGCTGGTACTAACCTAAAAGCAGCTTTAAATCAAGCTGGTATTAGCCTAAAACCAGTTCAAAATCAAGTCAATATTAAAGCCCAAAATCGACCCAAAACCGCGATGATATTAGCCTAAAATCAACCTGATATTAGCCTTTAAAATCAACTCAAATCAAGCCGAAATCAGTTGTTTCGCTTTAAGAACGGCGGGTGCTGAGGTCGGTGGTAAAATGCGAATTTCCGTCACCAAGGCAGTGATCAAATCGGCCGGTATCAACTCCAGAGGCTCCGAATCCAACGCATTTTGATTGTGCTTTTCCATCGTTCGAACTTTGTCGATGAATTGATACGATTTCACGGTCATTAAGACGGGTATGTTTCTGGCACGAGCCGCTAATGCTACCAGGCCTGCTCCTCGTGGTGCTAGGACACTGCCATTTGATAAAACTGCCGTTCCGCCTAGTAGGACAAGATGGGCGGTTCGAGTCATTTCGGCTACTGCGTTGAGGAGGCCGTATGTGCATCGTATACCACGTGATGAGAGCTCTTTGGCGAGGGGTAGGGCTGGAATTTGAAAAGTAAGATAAAGCTAAGAATTAAAAAATACTGGCTATGATTATAGAATCAGCTAAAACAATCTTAAAAATTATAAAAAAAACAGCAAAAACGTCTAAAATAACCTAAAACAAGGTAAAAAATTATAAAATAAAGCCCAAAATCAAGAAAAAGCTAAAACTAAAGGAAAACCTAAAACAATATAACAACTTACCTTTACCATTAGGCACAGAATCCACCACGCCCACATCCCAATTATCAGATGTTTTATCCGTTAATACTAACAAAATCCTCTCCACCACTGGCGACCATCCAAATGTCAGCAATGATGTAGCTGATAACCCGTATATCTTCTCGATAGTAAAGTCAACTATAGCTTGAGTGGCTTGGGTAAAATTGGCTTTGTAAAAGTCGTCCAGCCACTCCTTAGCTTGATCCCTGAACTCATCGGACGTTATGTCTTCTGATAATAGACCGGCAAATTTTTTAAACTGGCGAATTACATTGCCCAAGGCTAGAGGAAAGTGTTTGTGCCCATTCTCGGTTAGACAACTGAGCTGTGGTTGAAGGTTCTGAAGGAGGGAGTCTCTATAGGATTTGGTTTTTGCTTCTCCATTGAATTCGTTGATGAACTGAAATGATAAAACTTTAAATATAGGTATTTTATATGAATATGAAGCTCTATGGAGTAGAAATGAACAGCCCAAGCCCCCACAAAACTTAAAAAATTTTCTTTACTCTTTTTCCAATCAATATAACCTCATCTTTCCATAATTTAAACAAAAGTTCGATCAGAAACACAATTTTTCCTAAACCAACAAATATTGTCAAGAATAATATCCTTACCTGTGCTAAACAGTTCAAGAACTCCAATATCACACTCTCAATGCCATACAAATCGCCAGCACTACTTTGAGCCTTCAGACGACCAAAAACTGGATGCATATTCTTCTCATCCGACAACAAAAATGGGTATGGCCGTGAGATTGGCGATGGGGGATTTGGAGGCTTGTCACTGCTGTCGCCGGGCACTGAAAGATAAAAATTTACTTATCGTTATATTAAAAGGCTTAAAAACTAAAACATTCAAACAAAAAGTAAACACTTCAATTTAGGTTTCGTTAGAAGAAAACTAGTAAAAGTAGTTATATGAACATAGGCGTTTAGAAAAAGCGGTGTAACGGCAAAGCGTGTACGAATTTTTAAACTTTTCGTTTAGCAATATTATACTAAATAAATGAGTTAAAATTGTCCCAAATTTCATGTCCTTTGCTACCTTTTTAAAAAAGTTGTAGAAAAAACCATTTAGCTTACTTTTGATACCTAGTGTAACATTAAGATTGTCTTTTTCTCTGTAAATTAATTAAAAATTTCATGTTAGTGATTTGTTAAAATAAAATATTAAGTGTTAAGAAAGAGAAAACGAAAAAGATAATCCAACCATAACTCTCGGGCCAGACCTTCGGCCCGTCTAGAATAACTTCAACATTTTGATAGTCTGACCCGAAAGCCAGGTCGATAGATGTCCTTCACCAAACACAAGATGATAGATCTAAACTCAAAAGAAAAAACAAGGAAAAACGTACCAAATCGAACTTTCAATATACCTTTTTCCGGTTGCACATTCTTCCTCGGCGCATCAGGCACATCTTTATTATTCTTTTTCCCTTCCTTCTTCTGCTGTTTAGCTTGTTCATTGACCTTTTTTGGAGATTCATTCACCTTCTTCGTCTGCTCATTCACCTTCTTCTGCTGATCATTTACCTTCTTCTGCTGCTCATTCTCCTTCTTGGGTTGCTCATTCGCCTTCTTCTGCTGATCATTTATCTTCTTCTGCTGCTCATTCTCCTTCTTGGGTTGCTCATTCGCCTTCTTGGCCTCATTTTTATTTTTCTTTTGACCCATGCTGAACTAAAACAATATAATGTTAAAACATAGATTTTAATACAAAAAATAGTCAAAACTTTGATTTAAAATAAGAAGAAAGGCTATTTTGATCGGATAAAGACCCGAAAAACCGCAAATTATCCAAAAACAACATGATGTAAGAATTTTATTTTGAGAAAAAACGAAGTGTCAATAAAAAGTCGAAGTGTCACAAGATTTATTGGATAGAACGAGTTGGGCTTGTTCGGTCAATAACAGTGAATTATAGCTACAAATTCGATAGAAAACATTAACATAAATACAAACTAATGTTTTTCACACGTTTTTACGCTGTGTTTTACAACTTTGTTTATATACTAAGTGCTTTTTTGATATTATTCATGGAGACGGTGGATAACAAGTTAAAAAACAAATAACTTGGCCAATAATGGTATAATTTGGCTCAAATTTTGAGTTTAGTTACCTTAAATAATGTATAACATACATAAGAAAATAGACTTCCAAATTTGCACTTTTTTAAAATTATTTTTGAATTTCGCGCCAATTGGCATAATGGTAAAGTAACGATCAGATTAGCCCAAAAGATTGTTTACAGCTTCTTCTTCTTTATCTACTAAATAAAATATAAACTTGTCAAGAAAGTTTTTCAGCAAATGTGTTCATAATTTTGTTTTGTTAACCCAATTCTGGAACCTTCCCCTTAGGGCATTTTCGGCTTCTTCGTTCAAAAAATGGCCATAGATTTGTGGCCCGCTGCGTTTGGAGGAGACAGCCGATGCGGTGAGGAGGAAAAAAAGCGAGGACACGAGCTTTTGGCCTCAGGCCGGCATTTTAAACGCTGTTTGGTCAGTTCTTTTTCAAAAATTCTCTAAATTTTTGAATATTTCAATAATCTTTTGTCGAATTTTAAGGTTTAATAGAGGAATATTAATGGGCTTGTTTGTTAATAGAGCTGGTAGGGTTATATTCGAACATGTGTGTGTTGTGTCATATGACATGGAGGATAAACATGAAGAAAAAAGGTGGATGAGGTTTAGAAAACAGTGAAAAATAGCCAGAAAATAGAGGTTATTGACAAAAATAATGATTTTAGGGGGCTTTTCTTTATTTTTTTAAATAAAGTTGTAAAATTATTTATGTTTAATCAAAAACTTCCTTTACAAACTCAAAAATGTCAATACGTTTTTTAAAAATTCAGTTTTTTCGCACAGTGCAGTCAATTTCATGCCATGCACAGTGCGAAAAAAGTTCAAAATTTTATTGCACTTTTATTTACAAATAATAAATTTAATAGTTTCTTACTGTAATACTCTAAATACTGTAATAAGCTTTTTCATTACTTATCTTTAAAGTTTTTGTCAGTAAAAAAATTAAATGTCTTGCACGGTGCAATTTGACTTTTTGCTGCACAGTGCATAAAAATGTTGTGTTTATATATAATTTTTGGAGAAAAAATGATAATGGCAAGAACTTTCTCTACAAAAGCATGTTTTGTGGAATATTTTCGAAAAAAAAATTTTTTACTTTATACTTATGTTATAAATTTTCATTACTATGTATCATAGGTAACGTAGTGCTCTCTAGAGAATACCACGCATATTTTTCTGGAATTACTATCACTTATGATAAGATAGAACTATGGCAACTAAAATTTAGTTTTTTCTGTTTTCCTTTTCTCTTGAATTTTATAAAACATCAAAGTTTTAACTTACATTACCCATAAAAGGAATCATTATTCTCCATAGATCAATGTAAACTTCATTTTACCAAATTTTATATCAAAATATTAATCTAGAATATGATAAAATTTTAATTTTCGTAACAAGCAAATAAAAATAAACAAAAAAACGTAAATTTTGTCTTTGCGCACTCTAAAATAACAAAGTTTCATTGTGTTAGCCGGTTCATTAAGCTGATTTACGTGATTTTTTCTTGTTTTTACAAGTTTTTCTTTACAATTCAAAAGATTTTGTTTAGAGCAAAAAAATCAAGAGCGTATTTTACCTGTTTACCCATTTTTAAGGTTTAACTTTCGAATTTTACGTTTTTTTGAATATTTGAGGATTTTAAAATTTTGGCGGGAAATTTAAAGTTGTATTTTTAAAAGTGCAAGTTACAATCTCAAAGTTTGTACGATTACTAATTATAGTATAGCTTTGTTGTATACAAAATTGTAGCTGAATGTGAGCTTTCTACGTTGAGTTATGAAGCTCTTTGTAACACTAGGGCCGTTTGGCGAGAAATTTAAATTTGAATTTTTAAAACTAAAAAATTTAAAAAATCAAAATCTCAAACTTTGTCTGCTTACTAAATAGGATCTAGCTATCTAGCTATCTCGTATGCCAACTCTTAACTCAATCTGATTATTAGTTTTAATTTTATCTTTTGTTATGAATTTTGGCGGGAACATCGATTTTTAAAAATGTAAATCAAAACTTCAAATTTTAGATTGCCCTCAGGTCTACTAAACATGATCTCAGTTACCCATCTGCTAAATTTCAGTTTAATCTGAAATTTATTCTTTAAGATATGCGGGTTTTTATACCTGGGACCAGGGCCGGGCGGGGACTTTTGGTCTGGGGGCAGGGGTCCAAAAAATCGGCACGTTTCTGTGTTGTAAGCTTTTTATTAAAAAACTTTAAAAGTTGAAAGGTAGCTTTTGTTTTGAGCTACCTGTGCCGATTTTTTGCAAATTTTTTTTTCCGAAAATCCACAGGGGGGGACCACGTTCAACTTTTTTCAAAAATTTTTTTTTGGGGGGGGGGGGTACCCCCCTTTTTTTGCGGCGCAGAATTATTTGAACAATCTAATATAATATATTGTTTAGGGGCTTTTGATTGTTTTAGGTTTTTTTGGTCGTTCTAGGCTTCTTTGGTCAAAAGTAAAAAACTTTTAAAAATTTTAAAATTTATATTGTCGTATTATGTCATAATATGGTAAAACTATGTCTTTTCCACCTAAATAATAGAGTGCTAAAAGTTATTTTTTCATAAGAAGCAACGTAAACAGTATTTGTGTTTATCCGACCGGAGTAAGCCCTTTTTCATCACGCTCTTGTTTGTTTTGTTTGTGTTGAAATTTTTTCAAAAAAATTAAATTTTTCCCCCTTTCCCTCGTGTTTTCGACCAACAATGCTTGCAGTAAATATGTTTTGTTTTTTGACTTAAGAATGGCATAAGGTAATCAGATGTTTTTTTCGTGACAAATTTTTTAAAGGGGGTGGTGGAGGAGTAGTTGGCTTTGAATTGATACCTTTTTGTAAATTTGATTTTAAAATCTTTTGAGACGTATATTAAACTCAAATTTTTAGAAAAATGAAAGGATGTATGTGAGAGGGAAAGTTTTGTCGCTTTTCAGCTTTTAAAGCTATATAAAATTGACGACAAGGCTTTCATATTGGAGGATAGAGTAGGGAAAGGGAGGATATGTTAGGGTAAGGAATGTTTAAAAAACCTAAGGCAATGTACAGTAAAGAAAAGTAAAATAAGGCAAAGTAAGGTAAGGTAGGATAAGATAGGGTAGGTTAGAATAAAGCAGGGTAGGTTGAATAGAATAGAGAAAGGCCAAGGCAAGGCCAAAGCAAGGCCAGGGCAAGGCCAGGGCAAGACGTATAAAAATACTTTTTTGACATTATATTATTACTATGCCTTCTATTGACGCGCATCACCTATATTGTTTATAATTTCAAAACTTTTTCAATTCCAAACTTCCACCTTTTTTCAGAAAATGAGTGTAAGATTTGATGACACAATACCCACTGAAAGGCCTGATCGTAAGAAGAAAAAGCGTCGTAGAAGAACCTCAGAAGATGACGACGGTGAAGCGGTAGGCTTATTTTGGAATTCGATTTTTTAGGTTTGTAACGGTTTAGAAATGTCATATTTCTTAGTTTTACATTTGATTTTTAAAAAAGGTTTATTAAGTTTTGTCATTTTGAAAAAAATTTTTTAAAATTTAACTTGGTGCCCCCTGTGGATTTTTTTTCAAAAAAATCATTTTTTTTATTTTTAAAATTTGGCTTTTTGAATCTTATAGGTTTAGAAATGTCATACTTTTCCATTTTTTCACAAATCCTTACATATACACTCAAACATAAAAACCTTATTTCAGGTACTCCCCCGCTGGAAGATCATAGTAGTCTTCGCGGCCATGGGTATTTGCTTCGCCATGATCTTCCCCAACGTATTCGGCCCTCTATTCTCGGTATTTTTCGGTAAAAAAGAGGAACAACCGGTCAATGGTGGTCGACCGGCCGATCATCCAGCCATGCATCCGGGTATGGACCGAGAACGAGGAGGCCGAGCTCCTCGACCACCCATGCCCGGCGGAAGGATGGGTGGGTTCGAGAATCAACCACAACAAACCAGCTCACGTGGTGGTATGTTCACATGGCTGATGCCGTTTTACACTGTTGGTGTTATGGCTTTTTTGATCTACAGTTTGTTCAAGGTAGGCTTTCTTTTGAAATTTTTCTCGATTTTACGCTTGTTTTGCCATTTTAAATCGATCATAACTAAAGTTAAAGTATTATACTTCATCTATGGTAATATAAACCCCTGAACACAGAAGAACCTATCATTTAAGTCCAAAATCAAGGTTAATATGCCTATTTTTAGATGAGAAACAAGAAGAAAAAGAACAAAAAGAGCAAAAGAAGATATGATAGTGAAGCTGAAAGTGATAGTGAAAGCGACAATGATGACACTGGGCTTGGTAAGATAAATTCATTTGAAAATTTTAAGTTTAGAGGCCCTACCCTACCATACCTAAAAGTTTGGATAAAAACTCTAAATTTCAAAAATTTCAGGCCGCAAGAACCTCCGTTCCATTCAAGAACGTTTGGAAGAGACTGAAATGGCAATGGCCAAGATCCTCGAACAGCTAGAAGAAATCGCCAAGATTCATCCAGATGCTACGAGTACCGACGATCTTCGCGACAAATACACGGCGGAACAAGTTGCCGAGGTCGAGAGCAACTTGGCCGAGCTGAATCGACTGTCAGTTTTGTGTAAGAAGCAACGAAGACAGCTGAGGAAGGATGAGAGCGAGGAGAGTGAGAGTGAAGGCAGTGAAGAAGAGGGTTTTGATGACGAGGAAGCTGAATTGGATGAGCTTTTGAGTAAAACGGTCAAGGAAGGTGATAAAGAAAGAGCTAAAGGTGGTGAATATAAGGGTAAAGGCTCTGATAAGAAGACAAAAGGTGGTGATAAGAAAACAAAAAGCGGTGATAAAGCTGGTTCAGAAGGAATAAACAAAAGAACAAGTAGAAAAAATGAAGAAAAGGATGAAGAAGATATAGAAGATGAGGAAGAACAACAAAAGGAAGAAGAAGAATCCCAAAGATATCAAAGACAAGGTCACAAAGACTCTGAATCTTCTGAAAAAGCTTCAGAAAAGCTACATAAACAACAACAAAAGGCTATAAAGTCAGTCGAACATCTCAGTCCTCAGTCCCGACAGATCAAGAAGGCAGCACGAAGGAAGCGAGCTCATGAGAAGGACAATGCCGGACCTGAAGATGAGTATAGTCAAGATGATGGAGAAGATGTTGGTGAGGATTTCTATGGAGAGAAAATCGAGGATAGTCTAAAAGACGGTGATAAGGGAGGAAAAGAAGATGAAAATAGAGTAAAAGAAGGCAAAAATCAGCAAAAACAGCGCGAAAAAGATCTAAAACAAAGTAAAACCAAAGCCAAAGATTTCAAAAATCAAGGTAAAACTTCGAAAGGTCAAGCTCAAGAAGCTGGTAGATCAATGTCAGATGAAAATGAAGCAGGAAAGTCATTATCAGACGAAAACGACTACAGTAATGAAGAAGAAGATGTTGAAGTCAGCTCAACTCTAGTAGAACCACCAAGCTCTAGGGCTAGCTCGTCAAACTTGAAAGGTCAAGAAGTTGATATTAATCAACCGGTTGACACGGTGCTACTAGAAAGTCCAACAAGAATCGACGAAGCTAAAGGCAAGAAAGGTAATAAGAAGGACAAATCATATGTAAAAGGTGATTCTTTCAAGACTTCTGAAGCCGACAAGAAAGGCGAAAGATCCAAAAGTTCATCGTTAAAATCTTCTGAATCCCAGAAGTCCAAGGATTCAGAGAAACCAGGATCAATCCGTTCCCAACGTTCGAAAGGTCATGAGTTCAAGATTGACGACATTCATCGTCCATCCTTTGATGATTTCGTCGATGAATTCCGACCTCAAACGCCGGAAGAAGAGGAAGCTGCCAAGATTGGTGAACAACTGTTTGAACCTCGAGAAGATATTGTTGACATACCACAGGAAGATGGGCTGGACATTGAGTATAAGCGGCGATTGATGGGGGAGAACGTTGATGAACAGGGGAGGTATGGTGATGAACAAAAGCGATATGGTGATGAAGAAGGAAGGTATGATGATGAAAATGAAAAACAAGGTAGATATGATGATGTAAATGAAAAAGAAATTGAAGATGAAGAAAAGAAGAAAAAACCTCAAAAGGGTCAAAAGAAAAGCCAGAAAAGTAACAAAAAAGGGCAAAAAGAAGAACAAAGAGAAGTAAAAGAAACACAAGAAGATGAGCCAGACCAAAATGAACAAGATCAACTAGGCCAAGAAGAAGACCAACCAGATGAAGGCTACTCCGGTCAAAACTACAATCCACTAAAAGAAGATTCAAAAGTCAAAGACTTCCTATTAGGCGAAATAGACCGTGAGATCATCGAAGCTGTTGAAGGAGATCAATTCCCCTGCACTAGCCTTAATCCAGAACCAGCTAGCGACCTTCCAGGTAACGACGAACAAGCTCCAGAACCTCCGAAAGAATCCGATTTGGACATGGAGACGTTGCTACGTCAGGACGAACGTGAATCCTCGTCCACGTCGAAGGAATTCGCTCCGGAAATCCGAGTCTTCGAGTCGGCGGAGGAGATTTGTCGCGAAATCGAGGATGATGGTCTGCCTATCACATCCATGAAGAGTGATATTGATCTAGAGAGCTTTAGTCAACCGACAGTAAACTTTTTTAATCAACCGACCGAAAGTATTGAAAAATCGACCGAAAGTTCAAATAAATCGACCGAAATTTCTAATAAATCGACCGGTAAAAAGGGAAAGGGAAAGAAGAACAAGAAAGGATCTCAACACTCATCTAAAGAGACTTCACCTGGTGCTAAAGACTCTGACGATAGTGCTGGAGCTTCTGAACATTTCATACGTACCAAAAGGGATTCAGGAGACGCTAAAGATAACAAAGAATCTTCTGAAAGCGCTACAGAACTAAAAGAATTCTCAGAAGAAGGAAAAGAATCAAAGAAAACATCAAAAGAAGGCAAGAAATCACAAAAGAACAAGTCATCTTCAGGTAAAGGCTTGTCTTCTGAAGCTAAATCAACATCAAAGCCTTTGCAATCTTCACAAGAATCTTCTCCAGAAGCCCAAGCTTCAGAATCACAGGCAACACTGTCATCATCCCCTAAGTCAGAATCTAGCCCAAGATCGGCCCAAAACCCAGAATCCAGTAGAAAACAGAAGAAATCCGAGACTCCGGAAGAGGTTTCAAGCCAAGAATCCGCCCAATTCGAATGCTCAAACCCACTATTCAACATGGAACAGAGTGGAGTTCGTCAACGAAAATCTGGTGGTAATGGAAAGAAATCAAATGCCCGGAAGCGTGTGCCTAAAATCGACTAAATTGCTCTGAAACTGGTCTTGTAGTTAGTACAATTTGCAAAATTTTAAATTTTTTTGTATTTTACCGTTTCTTTAAAAAAATTTTGAATTTTTGAACATTTTATTAGGTGCCGACATAAAGAACCCGCCATACTTTTCCTGTAATTTCCTGTAAAAAATGGCGGGTTTTTATGTCGAACCACATAGTATGATCTTTGAGCAATGAAAAATGATTTTTTCAATTATTGTTTAAAAAATTTTTTTTTCCAAAAATATTGTCATAATGACACATTTTTTTCTTTTTATCGACTTTTAGTCAACAACCTTTGAATCCATTAATGCTTTCGCATTTTGGTATAACCCAAATCAATAGCAAACTTAAAAATTTTAATTCAGATGCAAAAGAATTAATGGATCTGCTATAAACTAACATAATATGCATCTAGTCTTCATTACTGTACTATGATTTATATATTATGGCATTTTTAGGCATTTTCATACCAAATACTAACTAAAATCTTTTGTAAAAACATAATTGTATCTTATTTTACTGTAAGATTAGCTGTCATGTTTATATTCTTAGCTATCATATTAATACTGTCATGTGTAATATAAGAAAACCTATAACATTTGTGACATTGTATAACTGTAAAGGTCTGAAACCTATTATAATATTATAAGATAATCAAATCGACTTGTATGATAACATAAACATAACTTACTGTAAATAAACTTATAGGCCTGAATTTGGAATTGATTTTAAATTTAAGTATAAAAATACAGTATCAAGGTTGAAAACATAAAATCAGGGTTAAAAATAAAAGTTAAGCCTAGCGGCCCAAAATTAAGCCCAAAAATCTAAAATTAAATCTGAAAATCTAAACTTAAGCTTACAAAACCCAAATTAAGCCTAAAAACCAAAAATTAAGCCTGAGTAGCCAAAAATTAGCTAAAATATTATACTAAATAAAAATTAAGCCCACTACCCAAAATTAAGCCTACAAATCAAAAAACAGAGATATATAGACCCATTTAAACCTTGATATATAAGTTATCCACTCTGTCGTACAATGGGTTAGTGAAATCTCGGGGAATGCGTTTTCGGGGAGTACATTTTCGGAGAGGAAGTTTCGGGGAATGGTATTTTCGGGGAATTTAATTTTGGGGAATTTGTTTTCGAGGAATAATATTTTCGGGGAAAATTTTTTTTAAAATTTATTTTGATATAAATTCCTAAAAAGTTGATACTGTAAGTTGTGAATGACTAAAAATAATTTGATTATATTAACTATATTATTAATATATAATGTATAACTAATCTCAAACCAAATAATGTAGTATAACTTGTGGTAGACTGAATCACAACCTGGCTAAATCACGTTGACTGAATCACATACTGACCGAATCAAATGTGTCTTTAAGTATTGTGAACATCGTACCGTGAACGTTCCTATGACACATTTTTGTATACTTATAATGTAAGGTCGCATGATAAGTAGAATACCATAAACGTTATCGTACCGTGCCGTGTACGTTCTAATCTTACTGTTTTTTTAATGATTTAGCAAAACATACATTAAATGAATAGAAAAATGTGTCATAGGAACGTTCACGGTACGATGTTCACAATACTTAAAGGCACATATGATTAGATTAGTTATACATCATATATTAATAAAATAGTTAATATAACCACAACTATCAGTATCAACTTTTTAGGAATTTATATCAAAATAAATTTAAAGAAAATTTTCCCCGAAAAGTTCACTCCCCGAAAATATTATTCCCCGAAAACATATTCCCCGAACTTACATTCCCCGAAAATACCATTCCCTGAAACTTCCTCCCCGAAAACGCATTCCCCGAGATTTCCCTTTCCCGCCAAATTAGGTATAAACTCGCACTAATATTGATACTAAAGATCTCTACGCATACGCAAGTAAAACACTATAAAAGGGCGATCTAAATCCTCGTATACCACAGTCAATGCACTACCATCCAATTAAATTTTCTATTACTAAATTAAAAATGTCCATCGCCACTGTTTCAAACAGAAGAATGGTCATCAAGAAGACCATCAGCAAGCCCAAAAGACGATGTGTTGTTAAAGCCAAGAGATCTGGTAGGTTTTAAATGACATATTGACTGTTTTTCAAAAGTTATAAGAAGTTAAGGTATTGCACCGTGCAGCTATATTTTATGCTTGCACGGCGCAGTCATGTTTTATATTGTTGCACAGTACAGTCATAATTTATGCTGGCACAGTGCAATCAAGTTTTAGGTTTGCACTGTACAGTCGTCTTTTAGGCTTGTACAGTGCAGTCATATTGTATGCTTTGCACTGTGCAGACATTTTTAAAGATTGCACGATGCAATCAACTATTATCTAGTTGCACGGTGCAGTCTTTCCTTTTGTTCGCACGGTGCAAACAACCTTCACGCTTGCATAGCGCAGTCCCCTTTTACGATTTCACGGTGCAAACTAATAAAACAAGTACTCAGCTATAAATATGTAACTCTAAACCCAAAGTTCGAAAAATCCAAAACGAAAATGCTTATCCTACTGTAACTTTCAGCACGCCTCAGCCAACCTCAGTTGAAAAAACTGTTGCAAGCCCAAAAAGCTTACTTCAACAAAGAAGAACGGCCGGTTTCAAAGTTCGGCGGCCCGGCCAACCCGATCCAGGCTAGAAGAAAAGCCAAAACAGAGCTGAGCCATCAGCAAAAACTATATTTGTTCATCTGCCCGGTGTGTAACATGCCGGAACATGATCCTGTTCACAAGGAGCGGGTCTACCGCCCAAGGCATTTTGAGGCCTTGATAAAGAACATTCCTTATAGCTTGTAAATATTAATATGTAATGAATAAATAGATTAATATCTAGATATTTTATACTAAATATAACCTATATCATCTATAAATCACATAAAATCAACTCTAAGAAGTAAAATAAGCTAGTAGATATACTATTCAACCTCCAAACCAAGTATAATGTAAGCTTATAACAACTAGTTTATACACAACAATGTTTAACATACTTAACAGCTAACATGTATAAAACATAACAATTTCCTATTTGAATTTCTAATTTTCCGCAAAATTTCGTCGTTTGAAGACCAATTTCAAGTACTCGTAGGTTCCTATCATTATGGCACACGCCATGCTGGTCTTGAATATCCTTGGTGCTAGGCCTGTAAATAGTTTCATTATTCATTGTCATCTTAGAATATCATTTTGATCTTAAAGGTAGTGGCTATGGCAAAAATACAAATTAAACCAAAAAAACTTAAGCCTAACGTTGCAAACATAAGCCTACAAATCTATTTAAACCTAAAGCTTTAAAGTTTCTCTCAAAGCTTTAAAATTAATCCTAAAAACACATAAATAATCCTAAAAATAAATTATAAGCCTCATGCCAACAAAAGTAAGCCTAAAAAACCAATTTCCGTTTCTAATATCTACTCTTAAGCCTAAAACCCCCATTTAAAAACAAAAAACGCAAAAGCACTAAACCTAAAACAAAAAGAAGCCTAGACCAAGCCTAAAACCCCATTATAAAACTTAAAAATACACTATGAGCCTAAAAAACATAATAGTAAGCCTAAAAACTCAAGCGTTAGCCTAACAATCCAATTTCATTTTCTAATATCTAACCTTAAGCCTAAAACCCCGTGAAAACCCAAAAGACTCAACAGAATTAAGCCTAAAAACCCAAAACCAAACATAAAAATACACTATAAGCCTAAAACACATAAAATTAAGCCTACAAAATTAGATGTTAACCTAAAAAACCAATTACATTCTAGGATTTAACCTTAAGCCTAAAGGCCCCATTAAAAACTTATAGCTAAAAAAAATTAATCTCCCAAGAATAAACCCGAAACCCATTTTCAAATACAAAAAAAGTAAAGTTATGCCAAAAGCTTTCAAATTAAGCCTATAACAAAACAACCATAAAAAATAATCCACCCCCCCCTTCAATATCTACGTCCTTGAACCCCAAACCTACCAGTAAACAGTCCACCAACCCCTTCCTGTGCCACAATCTGCTTCATCACCACTCTCATGGGCTTGTTCGTCGTCACCGGCTTTCCTTTCTTCATGTCTTTTCGACCGATTCGTCCTATCGTCACTTGTTTATGGGTTTTGACCACATCGAAGGGTTGTGTGATTACCGTGGCCACTGTGCCTGACGTTGCACCGGCCATGAAGCTTATGAAGAAGTTGGTGTCTTTTCGGTTAAAGTATGATATTGTCCTGGCTTTGAGGTCTTCGTAGCCTATCCAGTAGATTGCTGAAAAAGATATTTTTTAAGGTTAATAAATGACATTGATCTAGGATAAAAAATTATATTGTTTTAGGTATAAATGACCTTTCTAAGTCATAAACTAAAGATTTGGCCAAACCTTATTTCGAAAAACTTAAAAATCTTGTTAAAAATTATATTGTTTTAGGTATGAATAGCCCTTTTGAACCAAACACTCATATTTTAAGCTAACTTTATATAAAAAGCTAGTCTAAAACCCCATTGCAAGTCCAATATACGCCTAAAACTAACCAGAAAACGGCACATCTCTGAACAACGTAGCTGTCAGGCCTCGCCACAACATTGTGTATCCTTCATGCTTTATCGACGTTCGTATTGCCTTCAGGATATCTAAAGTACGGGTTGTTAATGTCATTTTTCACAGAATTTTGTTTTGTAAAAGTTAAAAAAATTATCCAATTTTGGTCAAAAAGAAACTAAAGCAATATATTGTATTAGGTTGTCCAAATAATTCTGTGCTCCATAACTCTGCAAATCTGCATTGAAAGGAGGCAAATAATTATTTGAACAACCTACTAGTTTGTTATCAAAAATTTACTGTATAGTATGTTATCAACCCCTTATCATAAAGTACTTTCTCAATTTCTTTATCGTACTGTATGTTATCAACTCTTTATCCCATAGTAAGTATGTTGCCACCTCTTCATCGTATAGTATCTTTCCAGCTGTTTATCGTATATTACAGTATCAAGCCTTTCAAATTATAGTATCAACCTTTTGCGTAATCATATATAGACCCCCACCATAACCTTAATAGTATCATAGTCCAAAGTACGTATGCGTAATACAAAAAAGATCATACAAACCCGCCAAATTAAGTATAAACTCGCACTAATATTGATACTAAAGATTTCTACGCATACACAACTCAAACCCTATATAAGACGAGAAAAGCTGGGTATACCATCACTTAAGCTCACTCTTCTCAACCACCCCACCTCAACTCAACCATCGTACTCAAGGTGTCCCTCGCCATCATGAACAACAATGGAAGCATCGCCAAGAAGGTTATTTGTAAGCCTAATGGCCTAACCCAACGATATATCGTCAAGGCTAAGAAACTTTGTAAGTTTTACTGTCATATTAATTGTTTTCGAAAGAACTTTCTTTACAAATCAAAAAATAGCAGAAACTTTCTTTACAAAACTATAAATAGTAAGAACTTTCTTTAAAAAACTGAAAATGACAAAATTAATCTCTATATCAATCTCAATATAACAACACTTATCCTACTGTAATTTTCAGCTCGCAAAACCAGGTTTCAAAAGTTGAATCAACTTGTTCAAGCCAAAAAAAGCCCTTAAGGCTTATTTAAAGAAAAGAATCCATGCCCGCGCCCAAATTTGAAGGCCCGGCCAAGCCAATCCAAGTCTGGAAGAAGGTCAAAGCAGAGCTGACCCACCTTGAGCAGGTCTACCTCATTGTGTGCCCGGTCTGCAACATGCCAGAACACGCTCCTGAACATAAGGAGCGCATCTACAGCCCCAGGCATTTTGCAGCGCTGATGAACAACATTGCTTATGAATTGTAAAAAATAGTAATACACTAGACAATCAGCTTAACATAGACCTTATTGCACTATGTATACCCTTAATATATAATAAATATTTATAAACTATATTACACTAGACCATAGTATTAATACATAGTACAATATACTAAAATACAGCCTTATAAAACCCTTATTAATTCAAAACCTCACCTTTATATGACAATATTTCACTCTGCATCTTAGTTCGTATCATCTCCAATGGCGAGACAACAGAAGCGGCTACTGATCGAGCTCCAGCTCCCGATAACAATGGCGCTATATACCCGTCTGTAAAGGTTTTCCGAAGTCGTGTGTGTAGATTATCGTATAAAGTGAAGTAAAACACGGTCTGAGGTATCGCGCTTACTCTGAAATTCAACATAAACTTTATAATATCAAAAATCATCAAGAATTCACGAAGTTATGAGCAAGAACATACAACACTGAAAATTGCCAACTATAATATCACGTAAAACCTCAATAGCAGTCTAAACTCACATCGTTGGTGATAATCCACTCCACAACGATCTCACACCCTCTGTTCTAGTTATTTTAACAAAAGCATCCAGAGTTCCATTGAAATGTCCTGGCCTATTAAACCATTCACATCTGAGATCTTTAGCTGGTTCAGCACAAGACGTGCATAAATGCTCCATTAACCCATTGTTAAACAAAAAACACTCTCCTTTAGCTACTGGCTGAATTTGAGTTTGTAACCGAGTCTTTACTACGTCCATCGGAGTCACTAAAACATTGTTGTAGCCAGGTTTAGAGATTGAAAATCATTTTTCAAAACTAATGCCTAAACACAAAAAACAATAAAACATCAAAAACATACTGAACAATGAAGTTAAGAGAGCACCACTGGACGAGGCAACAATTTGTTGACCTAATGAGATCTGTTGAGAAGCAGGCACCGGACTTCTGGACATTATTTTAGATTAAGATTCAATGTAAAACAACATCCAAGTTCATCTGCAAATGAAACGTTTAGAAACTTTAAAAGACTGTTATCAAATGTGATCTTGAGGCACGATTGAACTTTAAAATTTCAAAATTTAAATTTATTTTACGAAAAAATACTGAAGAAACGGTTGACACATATTTGACTGTGTCAAGTTTAAGCTGTAAATAGCAACGTTTACAATAACTTGTTACAAGAAAAGAAAAAAAAACAAAATGTTTAAAAAAACTTTTATAAACGGCATTTAAGTTTTCAAGTTAAGTTTTACTCAGTAAAAACTCTACATTACTTTTGGCAAAAGTCCTAACACGAAAACTTTCATTAGCCAAAACTGTTTGGCCTTTCGTTTTTCTATTAATTTTGTAGTGAAAAATTAGAATTTTTGCCGATAATCTACTTGTTGGATCTCTTGACACTGCCAAAATGACAGAACAACTTGCTGCTCATCTTCTGAATGCTGCCAAAGTCGTGGAACAAAAGTTGGATGCCGAATTGGACAGATTGGAGAACTTGGGTGACGATGAAATGGAAGAAATTCGCCGAAAACGCATGGCCGAGATGAAAAAAGCCCAGGATAAGAAGGCTGTAAGTTTTTTTGTTATTGGTTTTGTGTTTTAGAGCTTCAAATACATGCAGAATATTTTTGGAATGTTGAGTTAGAATAAACCTTGATTTGCTGAGGTCTATAACAATATATTGTTGTAGGAGCTGGTAGGCAGTGGTCATGGAAAGCTGACGGAGTTGGCCAACGAAAGAGAGTTCTTTGATGCTCGCAAGAAGACTTCAAAGATGATTTGTTACTTTTATGGCCAACAAACAGAGAAACATCAAGCTGTCGAGAAGGTTCTGAACAACTTGGCTCAACAACACTTCTTTACTCGTTTTGTCTGTTTAAATGCTGAAAGGGTAAGATGAATTGATTTTTAGAGATTATGATTTTATAGTTTGTTTTTAAGTTGGTTTTAAGTATATGGGATGGGTACTTTTTGTTTTATGATTAAAATTCGATGTTATAGTAGGTCGTTTATTCTTAAAATTATATTTTGTTATAGTTTCTCTACATTTTTGACTTTAAATATTTTATAATCAATTTTCAGAGCCCCTTCTTGGTCGAACGTTTGAAGTTGCAAAGTTTCCCAGTAATTGCCATCGTTCTCGGAGACAAAATTGGAGATTATATTAGACTAGCTGATAAACTGAACGATTCTGTTCAAAGTCTTGAACACTACATCGAAAAGCGGTTGTTCGAAGCGAAAGTAATTACAGAATGCCGAAGTGAACCTCCAAAGGCTGCGAAAGCTAAAACGATATTTGGGATGGCTCCGCCGAAGCGTGGAATCCGCGGAGGAAGACATGATGAAAGTGACGATGAAGGTTGTTGAATCTGAAAGCTTTTTTTGTGTGTAAAATGTTTTTTTTGGTATGAATGCCTTATTATCCTATTCACAACATTTGAACATCATTTTTAAGCATTATTTTTGTATTTTTCACTCTGATGTTGTCTTAGCTTCACTTTAATGCCCGTCCAGTTTGATACTCGATTGTTAACATAAAATACGTTGATTTATTTAATCATTTTGCTAAATAAATATTGTAATTTGAAGAAAAGTCATTTTTACAGCAGGACGGTCCTTGTTTTACATTAAACTTTGTGTTATATTATGTTAGGTGTTGTTTTGTTATTTTAGGTAATATTATTTACTCATATTAATTATATGTCTTGTGCCAATTTAAAGTTACATATTACTAGTTTTTGTAGTTTGAGGCTAATTATAAGCTTAAACTCTCGAAAAACTGAGAAAAACGTGGTTTCTGTTAAAGAAATGTCCAAAAAGCCCTAAGGCAATATTTTCTCGGGTAATTGGGTTAATTTTTGACTTTAAATTAAAATTTTTCGGCCGTTAAATTCGTAGCAAATTTGCGTTTTATTAGCTTGGTTTTCTAATTGGCTTTGGCGTGTTTAGTCGAAAAGAGGTGAAATTCGTTTTTAAAATTTGAGATTTTAAAGGAAATTACAGTACAATCCTCAAATCCCAGCATAACTCTGGAATTCAAATTTGTTTGTTATATAATTACGCAGGAGTTGTAACTGCATTGCGTAGTGTAGGCGAGAGATTTAAAAGTAGTTCGTTATAGAAGGTTTTGGTTATACTGTAGTAATTGTTAGCTGGGGCCGGTGGTTTAAAGTTATATAACTGGGAGAGGCTGTATAAAGGACAGAAAAGATCAGGAGGGGTAATATATGGCAAGGCGTAAGGTAAAAAAGAGGTTAATTTAGGACAGAAGTGGGGTATTGTTTTGTTGTGGTAAGGGTACAGTAAGGCAGGGAGTACTGTAACCTAGGTGAAAGTAGTACGAAGAAATAAGAAACAGGGAACGGAAAAATGATGTTGGGTAGGGCATGGTAAAAGATTGTAAGGTAGGGTACGACAAAAAAGTTAGGGTAGGGTAAGGTATAATAGGGTTAAGTAGGGTAGGGTAGAGCAGGGTAGGGAGAAGGCAAGTTTATGTAAGGCAACCTAAGGTAAGGTAGGGTATGGTAGGGTAGAGTATGATAGGGTAGGGTAAGGTATAGTAGGGTTGCGTAGGGTTAGGCATGAGGAACGGGCCGGGTTTAATTTTCAGGCCCGACCTAAATTCGGTCAGGCCCGGCTCGTTCTTCATGTCTAGATAGGGTAGAGCAGTGTAGGGGAAAGGCAAAGTAACCTAATATAAGGTAGGATAGGGTGAGATAGGGTAAAATACTCCTGGTTTCTAAAGCACTACTGCTTGCCTTACCCAGGATCAGGCGAGTGATAAGGGCGGGGTAGGGAGGGGTTAAAAAATCTCTTTTCTGCCCCCATCCTTCCTCCTTCTCGCTCCATGACCCGGTATTTTAGTTTTACTCCTACTAAAACCCTCGCTAATATGATACTTCATTGTCCCGCCAACCATAATATCTTAAAGCGCAGTAAAGTAGAGCTGTCAATTAAACAATCCACAAAATTGAAACAAATTTTTTGCAGGTAAGGACGCAGTCTAGGCAGCTGACACGAGTCTCGAGGATAACTAACGGTGGGATTTTCGAGAGCAGAGATTTTTTCGCTTTTCTTTTTGTTTCAACTAATTGCAAGGGGGGGGGGATTTATGGGACTAATAATGTTTGCGACATTCACGGTTCCAAATGGGCTGGCAGGAGGGATTCAGAGAGAGGGAGGTTGGGGCGAGGGAGGGAGGGAGGGAGGGGGGGGAGTTTAATTTTGACAAAAGAATGCTAAAGAAGGTTGGTTTGTGGGTATAGGGCGAAATACGTTGTTGCGCAAGATGGTAGGGTCTAATTTAGGACTGCCGCGTGGTATCATATAGCTAAGAGTACTTCAAGGCAGGTAGTATTATAAGCAGGACAGGGCAGGGGGTGGTTTTATGACTATTGGTTATTCAGTTGGAAGGGGAGGGAGGTGTAGGTTGACGTGACAATAAAAGGAGGGGAAAGTGGCAGGGATGGGCATGAGAAGTGGGTCGGGCCCAATTTTCAGGCCCGGCCCGATCGAAATTTTGCCCAAGGCCGGCCCGGCCTGTTTCTCACGTCTAACTGGGGGTGGTTTTTGGATATTGTTTTTTTTTTTGCATTAGGGTGGTTTCTATTGGCTGTGGAAAGAAGGGGGGGGGGATGGGATGATGATAAATTGCAAGCTATGGCTATGGGCAAGTGAGGTAGTGTAGGTTCGGGGAGGGGAATGGGCAGGAGTCGTGGAGTAATTACAAGTTTCTCTGGCAAGAACTTACTTTATAAAACAAAAAATGGCAAGAACTTTCTTTACAAAACAAAAAATGGCAAGGACTTTCTTTACAAAACAAGAAATAGCAAAAACTTTCTTTACAAAACAAAAAATGGCAAGAACTTTCTTTAAAAAACAAAAAATGGCAAGAACTTTCTTTACAAAACAGAAAATGGCAAGAACTTTCTTTACAATACTTTTAGGCTTATATTTCAATTTTAGGCTTTATTTTATTTATTTTTCAGGCTTATTGAACAGGTTTAGCGATATAGTGAAAGATATTCGATATGAAGGTGTAACATATCAAATCTAATGATGCTGTTGGAACGTTTTTTTCCGTTTTTTGTTATTTTATGTTTGATATTATAGGAAAGAGTTAACATATGTTTCCAAAATTACTATTCAAAATCGTAATTTATAGCTGGGAGCGGTCTGGAAATGGTTTTTAGGTTTAAAATGTGGCAAGGTTACTAAAGATAGAATTAGAAAATATATTATAATTTTTTATATATTGCCGGAGGGCAAATTTATTTTTAAATTGACAGGGCTTTGATGGCTTTTCTTGGGTATTTATGAAGGGCTGGGTAGGGCTGGGTTTTTCAGAGCGAATGGGGTAGATAAGACAGTTCTTGAAGATTTCGGGGGGGGGGTAAATAAGGAATTTTATTCAAAACCTTGGGAATGGCTATAAGGATTCTCGGCGTGTAAAATTGTGTTTTGAAGCGGTTCGTTAAGGTATGGTTTATCGAATGGATGAGGTAAATGAAATGGGTTTTTGGGGTGGATATGTGGTATTTTTTAGGGGACTCTGAGGGTAAAAGAATTTTTCAGATTTTTAGCAGTTTTTTTGGGTTTTCAGAGAGAGCTGTGTATGTTGGGGTTTTGGAGGTGGATTTGGTTGATAAAATGAATTTTGGGATGGGTGGGTTATATACAGGGTGCGTCGAAAGTCCGGAAACTCATTATTTTAGTCATATATTTATTTAAAAAATGAATATACTTAAAACAACAACTAACAATAGTAACATATAGTACTAGTTATAACATAGTCAAGCGGTTTCGAAGTGGCTCTTCTTTGCCGCCACGCAGAGGCGTAAACGCTTCACAAAGTTTTAGGCGATGGGCCGCAGGTCCTGAGGCGTAAGTTTTGGCGCAACCTGTGGAATGATTTTTTTAATTTTTCAAATCTTTCAAATTTTTTTTCTTTTTTTTGCGTACTAAACCTGTGGAATACTCCTTTGCACCTGCCGATTACTTTTTTTTGGGTATAATGAACAATAAGTACTCTCGGGCTTCATTTTGTTTCCCATGGATTCAAAAAAAAGCCGGCTTCCGAAAAAAGATTTTCACTCTTTTTTTTGCCGTTAAAAACTTTGGGCCGGCGGTTTTTTTTTTCTATTTGGAAGACGACTTTTTTGTTGAAACTTTCACTTTTGATTAGGCTTTGACACGAACCTACGTGCCAAAGGCTTGGGTGGGATTTTCAGGCTTTTTTTAGTTTTAGGGGGTTTCAAAGGTTTCGAAACTTGAGTTTTGAAGAGGGGTAAGGGAAGTTCTTGCCAATTTATGTTTTGTAAAGAAAGTTCTTGCCATTTTTTATTTTGTAAAGAAAGTTCTTGCCATTTTTTGTTTTTTAAAGAAAGTTCTTGTCTTTTTTAGTTTTGTAAAGAAAGTTCTTGCCATTTTTTTTTTGTAAAGAAAGTTCTTGCCATTTCTTTTATTGTAAAGAAAGTTCTTGACATTTATTGTTTTGTAAAGAAAGTTTTTGCCATTTTTTGTTTTTTAAAGAAAGTTCTTGCCAATTTATGTTTTGTAGAGAAACTTCTTGTCATTCTTTATTATGGAAAGAAAGGTTCTGTCATTTTTAGTTTTAAAGCAATTTGATGTCGTTAGGTATGACTTCCTTCTTATTCTTTAAAGCAAGGTTTTATTTCAATTGCCATATTACTGGTTATGCTCTTATTTTTATTGCCATTTCTGTTGTCATTTTTTTGGAATAACGTTTTTTTGATTGTGATTATTCAAAATATGCTTCTTTTTTACTGTTGTCAATAAGATTAAAAAGGTAGGTTCTATACCTTTTTCTTTCTTTGAAATATGCCCAGTTTTTCTATTGTTATCTAATCCTATTTTTACTTTAACCTATGCCTATATTGTCATCAAATTCAAATCCTTTTTAAGAATATTTCTAAGAATTCCTCCTTCTTCGACAATGGTTACCCTTTGTTCGGATCTATGGCCTTACTTCTACTATGAACAATTTTTTTTCAGTTCAAAAATTTGGTCTTATAATATTCTTACTGCTACTATCAAACCAATATTGTCATTAAATCCGTTTTTTTAAAACTCTTATGTCTTTTTTTACTTCTACTGTACCCTACCCTGCCCTACATTGTCCTAACCACCTTTGCCTTTTATACCTCTTCTAACAATTCTTATTTTATCTTATTCTGTTCTACCTAGACATGGGGAATGGGCCGGGCCCACTTTTCAGGCCCGGCCCGATCTGAGTTTTGCTCAGACCCGGACCGAATTTTTTTACGTGGAAACGGGCCGGGTTTTTTCGGGTTTTTTTTGGACCGGGGCGGGTTTTTTTTTGGATTTCCACGCCCGGCCCGACCTAAATTTTGCTCAGACCCGGCCCGGTCGTTCTCCATATCTAGTTTTATTCAGATTTGCCCTCTATAACGTCTCTAACAATCCTTGTCTAACAATGCCTTTCATACCCCTCTTTAACAATTGTTACCCTACCTTGCCCTGCCTCACCAAATTATGGTTCTTCATACCCCTTTAGTGGTCTCTTTCCTACTGTACCTCTTCTAACAATTTTTACCCTACCCTACTCTTATCATGCCCTACCTAACCCAGTCCTCCATATCCCTTCTAACAATCCCTGCTCTCCCTATCCAACCCTGTTTTTTATGTCCCCTCCAACAACCCCTGCTTTACCCTGCCCAACCCTGTCTTTCATACTCCTTTAGCAATCCCCCTATCCCCTCTAACAATGGTTGTAATGGCGCGAAATGGGTTTGTATTCCTCGTATTTTTGCTTTCTTTTCTTTCCAATAGGCATTTTTTGTGTGGCACGAAAAGCCGAAGCATGAAAGCCTCGAAATAGGCTTCGTAGCCACAGGGCCGCGGCCGAAACACCGTGCGAAGTGAGGAGGGCGCGGCAGACAGACGAGGTTTTCTTGTTTTTCTGGAGGGATATTATACATGCTCGGCCACAAAAAACATTTACAAATATATTGCCGGAGGGCAAATGAATTTTTAAATTGACATTTTGCGGCTTCGACTACTTTTTTCCGGGTTTTTATGGGGGGCTGGGTGGGGCGGGGTTTTGGGATGCAGGAGGGGTGTTTTTGAGGGTTTTGGGGTAGATAAGGCAGTTTTTCAGAATTTTCTTTTGGGTTTTTATGAAGAACTGGGTAGGGTGGGGGTTTGGGGGTAGATTTTGTACATAATTTGGGTTTGGAAGGATCGACAATATTTAAATGTGGGAGGGGGGGGGGGAGCGCAGGGGTAAAGCATAACGATTTTTTGCATTTTTTTGCCTGGGAGTGGATATTTTTTTTAAATTTCTTTTTTTATTTATGGGAAATTATAGTTTTTTTATAAAATACGCGTTATTTTTCAAAAATTTCATTTTGTAATAATCTTGTAATTTATTTTTTTTCCAGATTTAAATTACGCAGAAATGGTCTAAAAAACACGGCAAAGTAAGTTGTTCATTTACATAAATGATATTTGTTCTGTGAAGAAAGTTCTTCCTATTTTTTGTTTTGTTAAGAAAGTTCTTGCCATTTTTTGTTTTGTAAAGAAAGTTCTTGTCATTGTTATCAGATTCAGCTACAATTCGAAAAGGTATTCCGAACAAACAAATCGATAACTTTTTTTGCATTTTTTAAGTGGATAAGATGAGAGTAATTTGGCCTTTACTCTCCGATTTTAAAGCGCAAAATCTCGAGAAAAGTGACTGACGAGAGCACGTGAAGTTGGGATAGCTAGTTGAGGATTCGCTGGGTTGAAAATTGTTTTTTTTTGTAATATTAGGGTGGGGAGGGTAGGATGACAAAGAGGGGTGTTTTGGCAGGACTTTCTTTACAAAAGATAAAATGACAAGAACTTTCTTTACAAAACAAAAAACTGCAAAAACTTTCTTTACAAAACAAAAAATGGCAAGAACTTTCTTTACAAAGAAGATATTTTGCTTTGCATCGTGCAGTCATTTTTCTGGCTTGCACGGTGCAAAATGAAAATTATAAAAATTTAAATTTTGAAATTCTAGCTTCAAGACGGTTACATGGTGAGCTGAAATAGAAGCCATATTCTTTCGAAAATGCGGATAATTCTGAATTATCACCTGCCATTTCGGTCCGTATTTCTACTACTGTGTACACTATTAATATGCGGGTTTCAATCTACTGCCAATCCATTGAAGTAAGGGCTTTTAAATATGATTTTTTAGGGATTGTGAGTTATTGTGGTTACTGTAATTTTCCAAAAATTTTTTGAATTTTTTAAAATGACGTTGTTTTGTATGTCATACCCCTACCCACAAGCCATATCTTTACCTTTTTACAAGCAATCAGTCACAAATTTTACCAAAAAATCATTTTTCAGTGTAAAACAATGGGCCAACGACCTATCAGCTCATCTTCAGGCCATGTTCGAAACGGCGACCAAACACAAAGAGATTGTTAGGGTGTGTACTATAATATAACCTTTCTAACTAATTCTGCCTTAATTTAGCCGAAATTAATGCCTTTCTTTTTCAGATATACGAAAAACTGTCCAATGCTGAAGTTTTCCAGCCTCATGCTGAATTACGAGCCGCCAAACGACAAATCGAAGCTTATTTGAGGGATCGAGCCAAAATGGCTTGGGTAAGTTTATTCTTTTTGCCGTTTCTTTTTGAATTTAGAAGTTGTTCTGCGATCAAAATAAAAAAATATGGTTTTTAATATGTCTAGTACAATATTCTTTACCCAAAAATCATATTTGTCTTCTTTATTATAGTTTATTTTAAAAAATACGGAACGATATCGGCGCGCGTCAAAAAGAATTGGCGAATTTGCCTTGAGTTTGTTAGGAAAAGCGGCCAATTATTCTTTTTGACGCGGGCGCATAAATTTTGGTTTGAGGCCTGTTTCAGCTAGTTTTTGGGGATTTTTAGATATTTTAATGAATGTTATGTTTTGGCAATAGATATATGACAATTTTAAAGTTTATTAACTTTGTGTTATCACTTTATTTCTAGCCTTATTACAGGATTTTAGTTTTTAATGGTTATTAGTTAGTTTTAAGTTGTTATTTCTAATTTTTAGACGAGAAATATGCTTTTTAAGTATTATATAATGTATTAGGCTAACTTTTAGTTTAAATAACTTTGGTCTATCACGTTGATTTGTGTCTGTTTTGACTGTTTTTATTTGATTTTGAGCTGTTCTTGATGGATTTTTAGGTATTTTTAATGAGTTTTTGACTCTTTCTACGCCAGAAATTTGGTTCTTAGGTATTAATATACATTTAAAAGACTTTTAAGTTGATTTTCTTGAGCTTTTTCACTCGATTTTTTGCTTTTTTTGATAATTTTTTTTATCAATTTTAGATATTAAACTTGGTGTTTTTGGCCGTTTTTTGGTGATTATTAGCTGTTTCTTGCCTTATTTTAGCTTTTCTTCATCATTATTTTAATTTTTCTATATTTATATAGCTTTCCTGCCATTTTCAGTACCTACATCAATATAAAATTTACTTTCAGGACGCGAAGATCAGCTTAGAATCTCGTGAAGTTCGGAATATATCAGACGAATCAGTTAACGACCAATATTCGGCCGAATTCGTTAGGTATTTGGATGCCAAAACGGAAGGAGAAGCTGCTGTTGTCTACCAGGATGGTCATCTAGGTGAACCGGTGTATGTGAACAAGACGAGGGACTACGAACTCAAGCCGAATGTCAACTTTTATGGTGTCAGGACGAGTTCGGAGTCGTCGGCCGTTCATATCCCTACCCCGGTTTATAAGCGAAGTAAGGGTTGTTTTAGTTTTTTTTTGATAGGAGGGGCAGAGCTAGGGTATGGCGGGGGGGGGTAGGGAAGGCGGGGAGATAGAGTATTCTAGGGTCTGATAGGACAGGGTTGGGTAGGGTAACGTAGGGGAAGAGTAAGATAATACAGGGATGTCAGGCCAGTGCTGGGCTGAGCAGGTCAGGCATGGTAGGTTAGGGTAGATCAGGACAGGGAATGCAGATAAAGCAATTCGGAGTAGGGTAGGGCAAGATAGGGTACCGTACGGCAAAATAGGATATGGTAGGGAGGAGTAGAGTAGGGCACACCAGGGCCCAGTGGGGCATGGTAGGGTAGGGTAGGATAAGGTAGGGTAAAGTAGGGTAGGGTAATAGGGTAGGGTAGAGTAGTGTAAGGTAAAAAACTTTTAATAAAATAAAACCTAATCTTTTATTACCCAAAAAACTTACCACACCTCCACTTCCAGACCCATACGTTCTAAAAAGAATCGACTGGTCGAATGTGGATCAAGTGTACCGTCGCAACCGTGAGCGTATGAAAGACTTGTCATACCAAAAGTTTTGTTCCGAATCCGGCTTTATGCGCTACTTCCCAGCTGCGCCCTGGCGCTGGGATGCGGATGGACTGGACTTGTTTGACTGTCGAGCTACAGAATGGTTTATCGATGCCGCCACGATGTCGAAGAATGTGCTGATCATGCTGGATTTGAGTGGATCAATGTTGGGGCAGAGGTATGAAATAGCCAAACAGACGATTGAGGCCATCTTGGAGACGTTATATGACAATGACTTCTTCAATGTGCTGGCGGTGAGTTATTTTTTTAAGGGTATGGGCGGGTATGAAATTAATTTTTAAACAGTGTAGGGGGTGGTCTAGACTAGATAAGGCATGGCAGGGTACAAAATTAATTTTTTTATAGCACGGGTAGCGTAGAGCTAGGGTATTTGAGGCAAGGAGGGGGTCGGGTAGGGTAAGACTAGGGGTATGATATTAATTTTGTTTTGGCAGAATTGGGCTAGTTAGGGCATGGGCGGGGTAAAAAATTAATTTTTAATGGAACAGGTAGGGATGGTCTAGTTAGGGCATGGGAGGGGTATGAAATTAATTTTTCTATGCCAGATATCAGGCTGACCTAAATTTTTCAAATTTGTTACCTGATTTTTTATTTTTTTCAGTTTTCAAAGAACGCTCAATTCCTGGATGACTGTGCCAGTGACACTTTGATTCAAGCCACGATGAGAAACAAGAAGTTGATCTGGAGTAAGCTAGCCAATGTCACAGCTGAAGGCAAAGCAGAGTACGAAAAGGCATTGGCCAAGGCTTTTACTACGCTTATGAATGTGAGTTTTATTGTCATAGTATCTTATAGTACTGTAAAAATGTTAAAGTACTATATATACGCAAGGTATGGTACTATATAGTACTGTGAAAAATATCTAGTACTATGTAAACTCAATTAGTATGATGCTATATAGTACTACATAGTTAAATATAGTACTATATAGTATTATACTACTTTTTGACTTTTGGTACTGAAATTTGAAACACTATAAGGTCTCAAAAAAGTCTTGTCGCCAAATTACATTGAATTATATAAGTAAAAGCGACAAGACTTTTATAAAACCTTTGTATTAATGTAAAAATGAGTGTTTTGATGCAAAAATAACTGCCAAAGTAAGATCAGTAACGCTGTTTTGCAATATAATGCTTTATATGTATTTACATGTATAACATAATATAAAAGCAGTGTTTGCTTGATATTAACGCTTATAACGCTTCAATGGTAATTTTTTAAAATTATTGACCCTAAGGGTCTTTACAGCAGATTTTTTGAATTTAGCTGTTTTTATTGCTTACTAACATATAAAAATGGTCATAAACATTAGTATTAAGGTGTTTTAGTGACATTTTATACGATCAAAAGTGTTTTAGTGACATTTTATACGATCAAAGATGTTTTAGCGAAATTTTATACGATCGAAAGTATCTTAGTGACATTTTATATGATCTAAGGTGTTTTAGTGACATTTTATACGATAAAAGGTGTTCTAGTGATATTTTATACGATTAAAGGTGTTTTAGTGACATTTTATACGATATAAGGTGTTTTAGTGACATTATATACTATCAGAGGTGTTTTAGTGACATTTTATACAAAAAACTCACTACATAACCATATGCTAATGTAAGACTGTAAAAATATGCTTAAAAGTAATATAAACTGCCATAACTAATGAAACGCTTAATCTCACGCTTTGAACTGTTTTGCTTCGCTTAAGCTTAAACCATCACAACTGGAATGGCGCACGAAAGAGGAAATCGACCGGGAAAAGGACGAGGGCGGGGGTTTGGACCCGCAAAAACAATATATTCAACTGAACGAACACTTCCTGGTCGTTGATCGCAGCTACATCGACGCTGTAGGTGGTCGCTGGTGTTGTGTGGTCCGATTCTTTGTTGCTCGCTAGCTGAAATTTTGCGTTTGTGTGACATTTTGTTCACTTTTTATTGGTTTTTGGGGTTTGTGACATTACGTTTGTTTTGTATTGGTTTTTGGGTTTATGTGACGTTTCGTTCACTTTGTATTAGGTTTTTTGTGTTTTTGACATTGCGTTTACTTTGTATTGTTTTTTTTAAATTTCAAATTTTTTGACTATTTTATAATGGTTAGTGTTTGAAAATGTTATATTCGTTTATTTTACCAATTTGTGGTCTTGTGAGATTTCGTCCACTTAGTATCGATTTTTGGATTTATTAAAAATTTTATATTATATATGATAAAACCTATTACTGATAGCATTTTTGAGTAACTTTTTGCATTGTTTTATTTTGTGACATTTCGTTTACTTGGTATTGATTTAGAGTAAAGCAGAGTTTGGTGGAGCAGGGCATTGCGTATTTTTTATCAGGGTTTAAATTACAGATTTTATAGTTTTTCTTCGTATTTTACTATACTTTTTGTTTTTGACATTTCGTTCATTTTGTATCGATTTTTTTGAAATTGTTTTTAACGTCATCATTTTGTGCCCTTACTGTGCTGTAACACTGTAATTTAACCTTACTAACACAAAATATAAGTTAAAAACACATTTTTTTAGTTGTACTATATTGTACTGGTACTATTTTTTAGTTGTACTCTACTGTACTAGTACTATTTTTTAGTTGTACTCTACTGTACTAGTACTATTTTTACTTGGTGTATTACCATCTTGTACCCATATCGTTATCATTATGTTTTTGATTAAAATGTTGTCCAAACTTTTTCAGATTTTACCTTATTTTAGTTTAAAATTGACATAAATAATGCAGGTTATACTGACGATATTGTTTTAGATCAACAACTTTAGTGGAAACACCAAAATGGGCTGCAATGATGTTATCATGCTTATCACTGATGGTGCACCCGACTTTTACAAAGATGTCTTTGAGCTTTATAATAAGCATAAGCAGGTGGGTAATTTTTTTTGTGATATGGGACCTCTATAGTATAGGGGAATCGGAAATGTTAGAGCAATATAATGTACAATATACTGCAGAGGTACTGAAGGGTAGGGTAGGATGGGTTAAGTTAGGGTAGGTTAAAGTAGGGGCTAATGTAGTAGAGGTTACGGTAGCCTCAGATCAGTATAAGGTACTGTAGACCTTATATTAAGGTTTGGCAGTTCGAAGTGTAATAGGTAATATTGAATGTGGCAGGGCAAATTATTTTAGTAATAGGGCATAGGGTACGGTAGGCATAGATATGTAAAGTATACGGCAGGGCTACTGTAGTATAGATTGTGATAGCTTTAGAGCAACACGGTGTACGGTAGGCTTTGAGTAGTTGGGTAAAATATGGTACTGTATGGTAATGTAGAGTAGGGTAGGGTATGGTTGGGCAGGGTAGAGTAGGGTAAAGTGTGGTTGGGTAGGGTAGGGTCGGGTCGGGTAGGGTAGGGTAATGTTGGATAGGGTTGGCAGTAATAACATTTTTTTTAATTTAAAAAACCATATTTTAGGTCCGGTTCTTCTCGTTTTTGGTAGGAGAAGAAGCGACAGACTTTGAACAAGTCCGCTGGATGGCCTGTAACAACCGTGGCTTCATGGTTCATATCAGTAATTTGGCTGACATTTTGGAGAAAATTCAACATTATGTTAGGGTACTGTCAAGGCCTATCAGTCATCAAGCTACCAATATCAATCAAGAAAGTGCCGTTTGGAGCAGCATTGCTAGGGAAAGAATGGTAAGAACTTTCTTTACAAATCTTAAAATTGCAAGAACTTTCTTTACAAGAAGAAAAATGGCAAAAACTTTTTTTACAAAACAAAATGGCAAGAACTCTTTGCAAAACTTAAAATGGCAAGAACTTTCTTTGCAAAACTTAAAATGGCAAGAACTTTTTTTACAAAACAAAAAATGGCAAAAGTTGTCAAAAAGAAATTTTTTTTGCACGGTGCAATCAGCTTTATATTTTGCACAGTGCAAAATTTTTAAAAAAAATTTGTTGAACTTTTATTTGAAAAGCTATAAATTAAAAAATATTTTTAATAGATCGCTACTATTATGTTCTAAATCTTGAACTGCTTTTTATAGTTCTTTGTTACTTAAACTTTGCAAATTAAAAATTTTAATTTTTGTTGCACGGTGCAATGGATCATATCGATTGCACCGTGCAAAAAATAAGAAAAAGACAAATTATATGACAAAACTTTTTAGAGTAACGAATTTGTGATCTCAGTGGGATATCCAGTGATAGTGGAAGAGGCTATTATGGGCGTGGCAGCGGTCTCAATACCTCTAATTGAGGTACAACAGATCGCTCATCCATCGTATATCGGGTCGACTAGCTATTACTTTATGTTAGACAACAATGGCTATACCATGTTTCATCCACAGTTGGACCAGTTTGTGAGTTTTTCGAAAATTTTAACGTGAAGTTTTATACGATAAAAAGTGTTTTTTGTGACATTTTATACGATAAAAAGTGTCCTAGTGACTTTTTATACGATCAAATGTGTCTTCAAACTAAAAATGACATTTCTTATATTACCCTACTTTCAGGACACAGTAACCGGTGAAGTCAAGCCAATTTTCAACAATTTGGACTTCTCCGAAGTCGAAGTAACACCCCCAATGCACAAGAAACCCAAGCCCGGCTTCATTAATTGTGATGACACTGGAACAAAAGAGCTTACTGTATTATTCTCAACAGAAGACATTCGAAGGGTCTACGTTCAGAAGAACACTTATCACTCCGAATGCATCGATGGAACTCAGTTTACGTAAGTTTTCTAGTTTTTTTACTGTACTACTGACTCTTATCTTACTGGGTTATTCTATAGTAGGCTTAGGCTTGGACTTATTACTAGGAGGAGATCAAATCTTTTGGTTTAGAAGACTTAGGCTTAGTAAGTTTGGGCTTTTGTTCGGTAAGTTTTGACATAATAGAGCTTGGCTTGGTAGACTCAAGCTTATTATCAAGCACAATCAGCATAGACTTAGTCAGCTTTGGCTTAAGCTTAGGCTTATTAGTATTAGGTTAAATTGGCGTAGTATGCTTAGAATTAGTAGCTTTGGGCCTACTAGGGTCAGGCGTAGTTTTTTAGGTCTAACAGACTAGACAGCTTAGGCTTATTAGACGTAGGCATAGCCAGCTTAGGTTCAGTCGAGTCAAGCTTAGTAGGCTTAGGCTTAGTAAACTCAGACAGCTTAAGCTTAGACCGCTTAGGTCAACTTAGGCTTAGTAGCCTACGGCGTAGGAGGCTCAAGTTAAGTTGGCTCAGGCTTAGTTCGTTTTGGTTTAGGCAGAGTCTATTTAAAATTAGGTTTAGTTGATGCAGTTTTAAACTTCTTATAAACTAAAAGATTTTCAGGCTAGGCCTAGCAGTAGCGGAGGGAGATGAAGTGCGTCTGAGCCGCAAAGGTATGATCGACTGGAATTCGGTTGATTTGGAATGGATGCGAGGTAAAAACTGGCGAATCCATCCCAAATGGCGTTACTGCCTCCTCAATGACAGTGATACCGACTTGGGTCCGGAGGCGGCGTTCCAAATCTATGCTAAACATATGAGAGATTACGGCGAACTGCCGGTATTGTGCCGTGCCAGGCGGCGTCTCATCGACCGGTTGATTCTGGACCTTCAAGCCAGCACGGATTTCGGCCAGTTGTGGGACGAGGAGTGGTCGAAGAACAAAGAAAATGGCATTCATTTGACCTTCTTCGCTGCGCCAAGTGGAATGATAAGATTCGCTAATCAGAGTTTGGAGGAGTTCGCTTACGAAAAGGCTATGCCAGATCAGGAATTCAAAACATAGTAGGTTTTGGAGGGATTTTTTGATTTTTTAAGTGGAGGTGGAGAGTGGGGGAAGGGGGGGGGGTGGGTAATATAGGTGGTGATGAAGGGCTTCTTTTGGTAAGGAACGGGTACAATTGGGCGAGTGAGTAGCAAGCAGGTAATGACAGAGTTGGGGTAGGGATAGAAATAGGCCAAGGCTAAAAATGAACAAAGATAGGGCTGATATTGGCTAGTGTAAGGGTAAAGCTTGGTCCTATGGAAGGAGGGGGGGGGGGGGTGAATAGGCTTTGGTTTAAGGGTAGGTAACAAAGAGCGTGCATTTAGATGCACTTCAGTAATAGTATAGGAATAGCATTGGGCAAGGGGAGGGCTAGAAATGGATACAAACAGGGGTAGATAATATGGGTAAAGGTTGGGGTAGATATGGGCAAGGGTAGGGATAGAATAAGTTTTTTATAATAAAATTTTGTTAGACTAGGTTAGCGGTACAGTATGGTGTAGGTAGAGTTGGGTATAGTGAAGTTGTTGTGGGGCATGTTAGGGTAAAGCTAGGTTAATATAAAGTAAGGTAGGGTATCGCAGTAAAGGGAAAGGCAGGTTATATTAGGCCGTCGTAGGGCAGGGTAAAGTAGGATAGGGTAGCGTAGGGTAGGGTAAAGTAAGGTAGGGTTTAATAACGTACGGTATAGGGTTGTAGGACAGGTTAATTTTAATTTTTTTCAATTTTCAGCGGGTATCGACACTTTGTGTTGGAACAAAACACAAATTCGGTGGAAGACGAGTATTACAAACGGGCAGTTAGGCAAAAAGGAAAGATTTTATTCGATATTAACAGGGGATGTAAGTTTTTTTTAAAATTTTTTTTCAGGTTTCGAAGGTTAAACTTTCTTTTAAAATTTTTTATTTTTTTACTTTTAATTTTAGCTCATTTATGGTACAAAAAGCCAGAAAACACATTTTTCGGCCACAAAGAGAACGTCTCACTGCTTGGCCTAGCCTACAAAGCCGTCTATACGAACGACGCTTTGGTTGGAGTGGCTGGCGTTGAGTTCTTATATGATAAACTGGCAGAGAGAATGAAGGAATTCGGATGCAAACCTGAGGTAAGTGTAAGAACCTTCTTTACAAAACATGAAATGGCAAGAACTTTCTTTACAAAACATGAAATGGCAAGAACTTTCTTTACAATACATGAAATGGCAAGAACTTTCTTTACAAAACATGAAATGGCAAGAACTTTCTTTACAAAACATGAAATGGCAAGAACTTTCTTTACAAAACATGAAATGGCAAGACCTTTCTTTAAAAAACATAAAATGGCAAGAACTTTCTTTACAAAACATGAAATGGCAAGAACTTTCTTTACAATACATGAAATGGCAAGACCTTTCTTTAAAAAACATAAAATGGCAAGAACTTTCTTTACAAAACATGAAATGGCAAGAACTTTCTTTACAATACATGAAATGGCAAGAACTTTCTTTACAAAACATGAAATGGCAAGAACTTTCTTTACAAAACATGAAATGGCAAGAACTTTCTTTACAAAACATGAAATGGCAAGACCTTTCTTTAAAAAACATAAAATGGCAAGAACTTTCTTTACAAAACATGAAATGGCAAGAACTTTCTTTACAATACATGAAATGGCAAGAACTTTCTTTACAAAACATGAAATGGCAAGAACTTTCTTTACAATACATGAAATGGCAAGAACTTTCTTTACAAAACATGAAATGGCAAGAACTTTCTTTACAAAACATGAAATGGCAAGAACTTTCTTTACAAAACATGAACTGGCAAGAACTTTCTTTACAAAACATGAAATGGCAAGAACTTTCTTTACAAAACATGAAATGGCAAGAACTTTCTTTACAATACATGAAATGGCAAGAACTTTCTTTACAAAACATGAAATGGCAAGAACTTTCTTTACAAAACATGAAATGGCAAGAACTTTCTTTACAAAACATGAAATGGCAAGAACTTTCTTTACAAAACATGAAATGGCAAGAACTTTCTTTACAAAACATGAAATGGCAAGAACTTTCTTTACAAAACATGAAATGGCAAGAACTTTCTTTACAATACATGAAATGGCAAGAACTTTCTTTACAAAACATGAAATGGCAAGAACTTTCTTTACAAAACATGAAATGGCAAGAACTTTCTTTACAAAACATGAAATGGCAAGAACTTTCTTTACAAAACATGAAATGGCAAGACCTTTCTTTAAAAAACATAAAATGACACACTATTTACAGGACGATACTCAGCGTTGTTTCCTAATCGACGAGCATGCTTATGTTGTCTACAGTAGTCAAAAGGAGACAGAGTATACCAAAGTGGTCAAGAATGAAACGAGACAAAGCCAGAAGACAGTGTTGGGATCATTCTTTGGCCATTTGAACAGAGTTACCGAGTGGACAATGGAGGTTTTGATCAAAAAAGGATTTTACTCAGAGTAAGACTTTTTGAAATTTTAAAATACAAAAAAAATTTTTTGATTAAAATGTTACCAAAAGAGCTGGAAAATATGAAAAATGGTACCATAATTCGCCAGTTGGTAAAATCAGTTTTATAAATTTTAAAAACAAAATATATGACACATTTGATGACGATATTGTTATAGATCAACGTACTGGGACAACCAAGCCATGTGTGATGTGGTCGAACCTACAGCTGCTTCTAGTTTCAAAATTAATGTAAGTTAACCCAGAGCCCTAGCCCAGAGCCTTAGCACAGAGCCATAGCCCTAGCTCAGAGCCCTAGCCCAGAGCCCTAGCCCAGAGCCCTAACCCAGAGTACTAGCCTAGAGCGCTAGTCTTAGCCCAAAGCCTTAGCCCAGAGCCCTTGCTCTCAGCTCTAGTTGTCTTTGGCTTGCCGTGACTCTAATCATTTGTAAGATGCTTTACAGTACTCTAACTTAGTCATTATCAACTCCTCTTACCCTGGCCCCCACTCTTAATTATAAATCTGGCCTCGCCCTGCCTATACACTATTTTTATCATATCCTTATTGTACCTATATCTTGCTTTTTATCTTACCCTGCCCAGCAGAAGACGAATTTTACTTTGTCCTGTTCTAAGTCTTTCTCAATTCTACTTTACCCTAGCTTTAACTGCATTCTATCTTATCGCTTCTAACATAATATTGTTTCCAGACCATCTACCGCCAGCTCATAACCATCTTAAAATACTTCTACCGTCAAGCCCTCAAGCTAATGTCATCAATATCAATGTCACCAACAACAGCCTTATCAACCTTCTTCGCTGTCCAACCACGACCAGCCGAAGCTTTCACGACCACTTTTAAACCGACCGTTGGCCGATTGCCTTGCCGAACCAAGTCCAAGTTTTATTTGGCCAATACGGAACGGAAAGGAACGGCGACAGCAGCGTTATTGGAAGAAAACTACGCGGAACGACCGTGCAAACAGAACGCTGCTCAATGTGCTGTGTAAGTTTTTGAAATTTTAAAAATTTTTTGATTTGTAAAGAAAGTTCTTGCCATTTCATGTTTTGTAAAGAAAGTTCTTGCCATTTCATGTTTTGTAAAGAAAGTTCTTGCCATTTCATGTTTTGTAAAGAAAGTTTTTGCCATTTTTTGTTCTGTAAAGAAAGTTCTTGCCATTTTATGTCTTGTAAAGAAAGTTCTTGCCATTTTTCTCAATAAAAGGTAATGACATGTTATTTTTAGAAAAGTATACGCCTCATGGGTAGAAAACACTAACTTATTAATGGTGGTGATAAAACAAGGACAACGATCGTCCTGCTACGATGATAAACACTGCCCATTGGCCAAAACAGTGCCATTCGGCTTCGAACGCCTAACGCCGAGTGAAGTAAAACAACGGGAAAAACAACGGTAGGCAGGAATTTTCTTTACAAAATGAAAAATATTATGAATGTTGCCTTAGGAAGTCAAAATTAAAGTTTTTGGCTCGTTTTGAACAATTTTTGGAAGTGGAAGTTGAGTGGAAGATTTGCAATGTATTTTACACTGAAAATCTTCCATCAGACTTTCTTTTTCAAAAACTTCTAAAATGGCATAAAAACGTTTTTAACAATTTTTGGGATTGGAAGTTGAGTGGAAGATTTGTAATGTATTTTGCACTAAAAATCTTCCACTAAACTTCCACTTCTAAAAAGTGTCAAAAACGTGTTTTTAGCTCGTTTTAAGACATTTTAAAAATGGAAGTTGAGTGGAAGATTTTTAGTGCAAAATACATTACAAATCTTCCACTTAACTTCCATTATTTTAAAAAAGTTGCGAAATGTATTTTTCTGTGTGTAACATGTTTCCCACAGCCTGCGGAACTTAAAAAATGACAAAAAATATAAAAAAAAACCACCCAAACAACCCCAAAAAACAAAACAAAAACAACCATAGAAACCACAAAAACAGAATAAAAGGACCATAAAATGGATGAAAAAAGAAAAAAAAATGAAAAAAAAAGTTGAAAAAAAAACACGCCTCTGATAAAGAAAATTACAGTTTGGGTAGTGGCGAACTGGACGATGATGATGAAGGTCCGCGAAGCCAGTGCCCTTCCACGAAACCTCATCATCGCAAAACCGTGGCCCAGTGCTTAAGAGAGCCGGCCAAGTTGAAAGAACTGGACCCGGAGCTCCGACCTTGCTCAATGACCTCAAACACTATCATATCGAGTGCTTTGGTATTAGGCGCTCTAGTGCTATTAGTCTAAGTCTAAAGCTATTAGTCTAAATTTTTAAAATTTAAAATTTTTTTAAATTTTTTAAATTTTTTTTATTTTTGAACTTTAAAATTTAAAATTTTGTGATTTTTTCGTATTTTATGGCAAAAAATGTCTAAAAGTGCATTTTAATTCAAAATCTAGGTAGTTATGTTATTGTAAATTGTATCTTCACTCACGTTTTGTCACATTTTACAGCTTTTTCCGTTAAAATCTCACACAAAAAAGGCCCAAAACACTTGGAAATCACTTTTTTTCTTATTATCTCTCTATGTTGTTGTAGTTGTTTGTCAAGGGATCGAAAGGTTTAGGCTATTTATTATTAAAAACGTACGTTTTAAGCCAGAAAGTTAAACTTGGTAGTAAGAACATGAAAAATGGATTCTGAAAACACAAAGTAAAATATGGCTTCTGGAGTCAGAAAATGGGTCTGCGAGCTAAAAAATGGATTCAGAAGGCAAAAAATTAGTTTTGAAACCAAAAAATGGATTCGGAAGCTGAAAAATGAATTCTGAATCCAAAAAATGGGTTCAGGAGCTAAAAAATTAATTTTGAAGCCAAAGAATTGGGCACTGAAAAATTGATTCAGAAGCCCAAAAATTATCTTTGAAACCAAGGAAAAATGGATTCAGAAGCTGAAAAATGAATTCTGAATGCAAACAAACAAATTTCAAAGAAAAAATGGATTTAAACGCCTAAAAATCAATTTTGAATTTAAAAAATGTCTTCAGGAGCTGAAAAATGGATTTTGAAACAAAATCCATTTTCAGAAGTCGAAAAATGAATTTTAAAGCTAGACAAAATGGCTTCAGAGTTCGACGATGACCTTCTCAATTTAAAAACAAGCTTACACTCTCACAAAAAACCTTACAGCTTGACCAACAACAATATCTTTTTCATTGTTTAATTTCAAATCCAATACCTTAACGCTCAAGTTTGTTTCGTATGGAAAGCATATAAGTTTAAATAACTGTTCCTATACGATATATATAAGAATATATACTCTGAAACGGTGATTTTGTTTTTACTTTTAAATAAAGTTTTATATTACTTTAGTAAGCAGTTTACTGCTACTGTTATAGTATAGGGTACCATTACTATTATAGTATAGGGTACCATGGCTTTATTTTGATTTACTAAGTAAAGAAAGAGTGTAGTATCTTATGTCAAGGAATGTAATACTGCTCCCTGATAATGTTATGCTTACTGTAACAGCTTTTTCCAACACATACCAGCTCGCTGATATTGCTTACTGTAACAACTTTTTCCAACACATACTACAAAGTACACTAATGCTCTAAAAATAGGAGGTAACGCAACCTACTACCTTTAAAACAATGTAACTTGTAAAACAATAAAATTAACACAATAGCGTTGTAATACTCTTTGCACACTTCATACCATGGTTACATACGAAGAACAATACATTTTCTACTTGAGGCGTTTTTTCATTGAACCTAAAACAACTACCTCTTCTGGAAGACAAAGCATGTCTTCGGCCGAACATACGCTACCTTAAAGTACCCTCACCCATATAGAAACAAATACCCTCACCCATGTAGAGCATAATACCCCGACCCACATAGAAACAAAATAATACCTCACCCATAGACAACATAATAGCCTAGTTATATACAAAGCATCACAAACCGCGCGGTAAACACTACAACAACCCGGCGACCGCAAGTTTGCTCAAACGCGCATGAGGCTACGTTCGACCAGATGCGCCGCTTCATCGGAATATGGACGTTGGTGGCGGTGTGTAACCGTGCCGTTCACGCCCAAGGCCTGCCCAGCTTCTCTCTACTATCACCCAACTTCCTGAGTCCACAGTTCACCAAAAACCACAACCAGTTCATCAAGAATGGTCCCAGTAGTAAGGTGTACCAAAACTCGGCGGTTGTCAACTCGGTGAATGGTTGCGCATGCCCGGGAAGTATTAATGGTGTACCGCCGGTTCATGTCACGTTATGTATTTGTAACAACAATAATAATCAGAAACACTTGCCGGATGTGACGGTGAGCAAGAAGGTGAGGGAAGAGGAAGAGGTTAGTGGGGAATCACATACTGTCATCATCCCGGATGGTACGTAAGTTGGATTTTTAAATATTTTGGTGTTTTTAGTAATAACGTAGTAGGTTGTTCATTTAATTCTGCGCCCTCTCTCAAAGCAAATTTTTGGGGTAAAGGGGCACAGAATTATGTAAACAACCTAATAAGAAACGCTTGATATTCTCAGGTTTTCCAAATATGAATGAGTCATTTAAAGTGCCAACTTTGAAAATTTTGGCTCATTTATATTTGAACAAATTACAGGGAAAGTGCCTAACATGCCCGGCTTAGAATTAGCTCACGATTTTTATATAAATTCTTTGTACCACTAATAGTACCCATAGAAAGCTTTAGCTTTCGTTTTTAAGCTTTAAATTTAAATATTTGTTTTTCCCGCCAATTTGGCAAATTTGGCATTGTGTTTCAAGCCTTTTTTGGATTTTTAACACAAGCTACGCTTACAAATTAAAAAATGTAAGTTCATTCAAAGATTTTTTAGTAGTATATCAAAGAAAAACGCTTATAAGTCAAAAAAGGATAACGTTATAAGCTTGAAACACAATGCCAATTTGGCGGGAAATTCAAAACGTAATTTTTTGATATCGAGTTTCTCGAGATTTCCTGGAAAGCGCGATTTTGTACTTTGCTGAAGATCTTATATTTAAATGACCTTTCTATAAATAAAGGTTGAAGTCAATCAGAACGGGGCAGGTCAGGCACTTTCCTTGTTAGTAAAAAAGCGAGAAAAGCTTGATAATATAACAATTGTATGGAGGGAAACGCCCGACCTGCCATTCTTTGATTGGCTTCAAACTTATTATATAGAAAGACCATATAGATATAAGATCTACAACAATGTATATTTGAGCTACGCTTTCTAGTCAATCTCAAAAAAATCGAAATCAAAAAATTAGGTTTTTAATTTTCTGCCAAATTGGCATTGTGTTTCAAGCTTATAACTTTGTCATTTTTTGACTTTTAATTATTTTTCTTTGATATACTAGTAGAATACCTTTAAATCAACCTACATTTTTAAATTTGTAAGCGTAGCTAGTGCGGAAAGTTGAAAAAAGTGCTTGCAACACAATGCCACAAATTTGCCAATTTGGCGGGAAATCAAATATTTAAATTACTTAAAACTTAAAAGCGTGGGTTAATACTTTTTATGGGTACTATTGGTGGTACAGTTAATTCATATAAAAATTTTGAGCTGGTTTTGAGTTGGGCATGGTGGGTAATTTCTTTTTGAGGGCGGGCGGATGAGTACTTTCATTATAAGTGAGGGAGGCTGAGTACTTTCCTTGTGAGTAATGTAAAATACGACGAATCGTTTGCAAAAATTATACAGAATTACATTTGCAGTAGCACCGCAAGACCTGTTGAAGAAGTTGGAGAATACGAAAGTCCCACCCTCGTACAAGATCAAGAAAGACAAGAGGCATAACGTCAAGTTTCATTATACTCATCATCATTAACTTTTTTTTATTTATCAGCTAATTAGTTTTTTCAAATAATTCTGTGCCTTTTAACACCGAAAGATTTGCTTTGAGAGGGGGCTCAGAATTATTTGAACAACTAAATATTAGGTTGTTTTAATATTTCTGTGCTCCTTTAACTTCCAAAATTTGCTTTGAAGGGGGGCTCAGAATTATTTGAACACCTCAACACTAAATTGTTCAACTAATTCTGTGCTCCTTTATCTTCCAAAATTTGCTTTAAAAGGGGGCACAGAATTATTTGAACACTTTATATTAGATTGTTCAAATAATTCTGTGCTCCTTGAACTTCCCGGATTTGCTTTGAGAGGAGGCACAGAATTATTTGAACAACTATATATTAGCTTTGTCTAGGTTAACATGACTTCTCTTATAGTACAAGAAATACCAATTGACTCTCTAACTTATGATACTATACATTTTACATATAACATACTATAGTTACATTCTATATATAACATAGACAGTATGTACAAGATACTATACGATGTGTACAAGATATTGTAAAATATATAAAAGGTAGTGTAGAATATGTACAAGATACTATAAATTATGTACAAGATACTGTATATTATGTACAAGATACTGTACGATATGTACAAGATACTATATTAAAGTTTATTAATGAGCACTTGATTAAAAACCCAAAAGATATTATTTTTAACATTTACATTGATATTGTTGTTCTTGTGGCGCAACAACAAACTTGGGAGAGATTCGTCGCTCCACGGGAGCGTTACGAACGTGACGTTGCTTTTGTTTCTGCGTACAACGTTTACACTTCTTCAGACACGAGCTCTTCTTGTAGGACTTGTGTGCTCGCTCCAATTGAATCTCACGTCGCTTGCGACCACCGCAACAACCTAAAATTTGGTTGGGTTTAGGCTTACTGATTTGGGTCACAGACAAGCTATAGTTATGATATGTTTGGTACATTCGAAAATGGCTTAAAAACGGTTTTTAACAAGAACTTTCTTTACAAAACATAAAATGGCAAGAACTTTCTTTACAAAACAAAAAATGCCAAGAACTTTTTTTACAAAACCCAACGTGTAGAATAGTATTTTACAAAAATTTCTCAAAAAACTCACAGCAAGGCTTGCAACAGCAGCATCCACAGCACGGTACAGGGCATAATCTTGGTGGTGTGGGTGGAAGTTTAATGAGTAGTGGAGGATTACAACAAGGTAAACAATTACAACATGGTTGACAACATCCGCAACATCCCCCACCGCAACCACAACAACCGGCTTCTGCCAAATGTGCTGCTAGGACTAGTAGGAATGAACATAACGTTAACTTTAGGGATAGGGACGACATCTGAAATGGTTTTGATGTTTGAAAAAGTTAGTTTTAAGGATAAGCTTGTTGTTATATCGTTTTCAATAAGTTGCCTAGTACTAGTCTATACAAAGTGGTACCTATTTAGCACTATCTTGAATATTCTGGTCAATTATAGACTGTAAAAAGCCTTCGCAAAGCGGTGTTAACCTGTACAAGGCAGTACTACGCTTTAAAATGAGTATCGTCTTATAAAAAGCCGTACTGCCTTGTAAAAACGGTGTCTTTTTAGAACAAAGCGGTACTATTATCTAGAAAGTGCTACCACTTTGTACAAAGCGGTACTAACAGTTAAAAAGCGCTACCATCTTTTACAAATTGGTACTAGATTTACGATGCTTTACCACTTTGTACAAAGCGGTACTAGTCTTTACAAAGCGTACTACCTTGAACAGAGCGTTACTAGCCTGCACAAAGCAATAATACCCAACACAAAGCAGCATTACTCTGTACAGAGCGGTACCACTTAGTAAAGAGCGGTACCTATTTAACAACACTTAAATACGTTGCTTAATGATACTTGTACAAAGTGGTACCACCTTGTACAAACTGGTACCACCCTGTACAAAGTGATACCTATTTAAGCTTTCTTGCCACAGAGTACTATACTATCCCATACTTAACTCATACGACCTATATTTCCCCCCAAACTCACCGTACAGTCTGTACCCGCAGCGATTTGCAAAATGAAGACAAGAAGCCCGGCTCCAATACTTTTATCCTTTTATTCGACGGAACGGTATTTGTGTACGCTTCCAAATTTGGACGTGCGCGCTGAGTGGGATGAGCAATCCGCGCGACGAGATGCGTAGCTCTATGCAAACAGGAAGTCGGTCAGTGGGACATCGAGGATAATATCGTCATCGTTGGTTTTGTGATTTTTAAGGGAATACATTGTAATGGGCTTGTTAATAACAAGCATTGCATAAGCTTATTAACAACAGTATTATCATAGCCTTAATGCAAATTAGTATTATCTAATCATAAAAGAAGGCCTACAAGGCTCGGTTCCACTTGTCTTAGGCTCAGCCCGGACTTGGCACACTCTTGGCTTTGGCCTGACCGGTCGGAACCTGGCTGAAAAATATTTGAAAAAGGCCGGATTTTACGACCCCGGGGCTAAGCCAGGCTGAAATGAGCTCGAAAGAGGCCGGGCTGGATCTATCGGTCTCGAGGGCCGGGTCAGAACAACTTGGAAAGGGGCTGTGCCTTCCTGAAATACATGTGAAAGAAGCAGGGCCGTCTTAAAGCAGATTTGAAAGGAGCCGGGTTGGACTGTGCGGCCTCGTAGCCGGGTTGTGTTTAAAAAATTGAAAAAGGCTGGGTCGGATTGTGAGGTCCCGAAGTCCGGGCCGGACCGTCCCAAAACAAACTCGGAAGAGACTGGGCCGGATTGTAAGATTCTAGTGCTGGCTGGCCGAAACAACTTCGAAAGAGTCCAGGCCAAATTGTGCGGTCGTGGCGAGCCAAATAAGCTTGAAAACCTCCAGGTTATGTTGCGCGTCTTCGCAAGTTTAAAACGGGCTGGGCCGGACTGGAAAATGGGTTCAGCCCGGCCTCTTTAGAGGTCTATTACGGGTTTATTAACAACGAGTATTATCATAGCTTTGCTAACTCAATAAGTTTGCAAAACTTTCAAATAAAATGATACGTTACTACACGGTGTGGTACTACTAGGACCTTGCTTCATTTTTAACACCAAATCTAGAAGCTCCCGTATTTTACACTAAAATAAGCACATTATTACACGATTTGATACTACAAGTATTCATTCTACTTCATTTTATAAAACAATTTTGTGAAAATGCCGTATTTTACTTCAAAGATAAATTTATTATCCCATAACCATGAAATGTACAGACATATAGGAAATGAATTGGGTACAATATTGACATAAAGAGCTCCACAATAATACAAAAGTCAACATATTGGATAAATATGCACAATAAATATGTGGAAATGTAGTTGAAAGACATTGTACTGGACGGACTAACAATAAGGTTGTTAGGGTTTAGATATTAAGTTAGTTTGATTTGGCTTAGCCTTGGATTGGTAATTTGATATAGGCTTAAGACTTGGAGAGTAGGTTTGATTTAGGCTTAGCTTTGGATATTTAGTTTGATTTAGGCTTAACCTTGGGTTGCTAGTTTGATTTAGGCTTAACCTTGGATTGCTAGTTTGATTTAGGCTTAAGCCTTAGATTACTATGGCTTCACAGGCAAAAGTATTGGCTTGTCATTGCTCTATAGTATAAGATATCGGCTCTATAGCTTAACAATGATAGTTAAAGCCTATATTAGCCCCCTTAAGCCTTAACCTTAGCCTCTTCAGGCTTGGTCTCAGCTGGAGCGGAGGCCTTCTTCAGCTCTGATCTGAATCTTCTCATCTTCCTTGACTTGGCGAAGGGATAACGGAAGACATAGGTGTTTGGTGGGCATGTGCATGGCGTTACTGCAAATACTTGAAATTTACTCTTGATATACGAAGTTCCCTAAAAGGTACACGCAGGGCTTAAAGAGCTTTTAGGCTTACATTATAAGCCTAAAACAAGTGTTGTACCACCCGCCGGGCATGGGCAAGCCTTTGGGCTGGTTTTGAAGTTTGTTTTATTAACTGGTTTATATAATTCTGTGCCCTCTACGTCCAAAAATTTGCTTTGAAAAGGAGCACAGAATTAATTGAATTCCTTATTATTAGGTTGTTCAAATAATTCTGTGCTTCCTTATTTTATTATGTGCTTTGACAGGAGGCACAGAATTATTTGAACACCTTAATACTGGGTTGTTCAATTAATGCTGCGCCCCTTCTCAAAACACATTTTCAGAATTAGGGGCACAGAATTATTTGAACACTTTAATATTAAACAAACTTTTAAAAACAGCCAATAATCATAGCTCCCCCGCCCTTCCTCCCTTCCTCATCTCCTCCAAAACTTACCACCCGCTGGGCATGGGCAAGGCAACGGGGCCGAGAACAGCGGCATTGGCGGTGGTGGCGCAGGGCTAATCAGCTCTGGTGGAGGTGGAGCGAAAGCTGGTGGCGCAGCGAATACTGGAGCCGGTGGAGGTGGTGGTGGAAGTGGGGCTGGTGGGCAACGACATGGCACTAAAACGTAGACTAAATCAAAACGAGGATAGTTCGGCTAGCTTGGCTTGGTTTGGGGCGGCCGAGACGATTTGGTCCTAATTTCAATGTGAACGGTGGTTAGGTGAGATTGAAATTAGAGTTTGTCGCTCGGCCAGGGCTTGGCATAGGGATACAACATAGTACTTGAGTAGTACTGTAGTTTAACACAGCATATGGTTTAGAAGATCACACTGTGCATGGTTAACATCGCCTTTACTCTGTATTATCTCATCTTGTAGTAATGTAAATGTAGGTATAGATTAGATATACTCAGTATTATTATAGTTATCTCACTCCACACCACATCATATTAACCTTCGTGCTATAGAAAGTACTGTTCAGTACAAACCCCCAAACCCACTTACCTTCTTGTGGCGGGCATGAGCAAGGCGGTGGTGGAGGTGGGGCCGGAGCAGAGAAGAACACCGGAGCCGGAGCTGGTGGAGGTGGTGGTGGAGGAGCAAAGAACACATGTGGGGCATCATAAGCTGGTGGTGGAGCAAAAGCCGGCGGTGGTGGAGGACCGTAAGCCGGTGGAGGTGGTGGAGCATAAGCTGGAGGTGGTGGAGGAGGAGCATAGGCCGGTGGCGGTGGGGGAGGATAGTAAGCTGGTGGGGCTGGAGGAGCTGGAGCCGGGGCTGGTGGTGGTGGGTATGGTACGGGGGGTGGTGCGAAGAACACCTGTTGTGGTGGAGGTGGGGGTGGTGGAGAGAGGTAGACGCTTGGAGCTGGTGGGGGAGCTAGGAAGACTGGTGGGGGTGGAGGTGGGGGTGGTGCACATGAGCAGACAGTTGGAGGGGGTGGTTGGGAGAGGAAACATAGCATTGGTGCACATTGTGGGCAGGGGTCACAGCTTGGGCATCCGCATTGTTGGGCCGACACGGAGCTTCCGAATAGTGCTATAGCTAATGCCACGGCTACGAGCCGGCTAAAGGCCATGTTATTAGGTCAACCTAAAACATGTATAATATAAGTTTAGATAGTTGAGTAAGGTTTAAAAAATGATTACAATGTTACAGTATGCGTAAAAAAACCAAAAGAAAGAAGGCTTAATAAGTGCTACATATTACAGTACACCAAATAACAAAAAAAATTAAACCTTAACACTCTCTACAGTATACTAAACACCCCTGCACTCCCTACAGTAACGTAAGAACCTCAACACTCCCTACAGTACGCCAAAAACTGTAACACCCCTTACAGTATGCTAAAAACTGTAACAACCCCTACAATAAGTCAAAAACCAAACACCCCCTACAGTACGCCAAAAGAACTGTAACACCCGGAAGCCCGGCAGAAACCCAAGACTAATAATGTGCTGTTTGACATGTTGTTCCGGTCACTTCGCGCTTATATACCCTGAGGACCAAAAAGACAAAAGAAAAAACAGATAAAGGAGAGACGAGGCGTTGATCCGGCCCGTCAAGTGCTACTAGTATATAGTTTTTTTCCGCTCCCCCTCGGCCAACAATACTCTCGTAAGTAGTAGTTTATGCTTACCAAACACTTTCGCTGGCCGCGGGGCTTTTAATATTTTCACCCCCCCCACCCCCCTATTGTCCATCCTATTGTTGAATGGACTCGGGTTTTGAACCGGGACGATTCCCTAAGCTCCTCGCGCTTAGTAATTTGTTGGTATTGTAAACCCGTGTGAATTACCCGGGTGGAGTGCACAAAAATAAATATACAACACGCGAGGAATGTCCGGTTTGGACTGGAATATAAAGATTAGGGGTGGAATACAATGGGGATGATGAAGAAATAAAAATATAACAGAAAGAATGATAAAGGCAAACATTAAGTTGTTTAAAAAAGATTGAGCTACTGAACTCCGTCTAACAAGGAAAGTACTCAATCTGCAACTCTCTGAATTCGCTCAAAATTTATTCGGATTCTTTGTAGTACCAGTAGCACATATAAAAAATCTTAGCTTGCGGTTTTAAGTTTTTGACCGGTCGATAATTTACAAATGTTTTTAAATTAAAAATTTGTACAAAAAACAAGTTTTTCTGCTTAGAATTGTACCTAATGTAAATCCTATACAATTTAAATCAACATAGCGGTAAGAATATATATAAAATTTACAAATAAAATATACTAAAAATTATCAACTGGCCGATAACAATACTACTTTTAAAATCATAAAATTATGCTCTTATCTTTAGCCTATGACATATAATAACGTTTTAATTAAACTACATGTTTCTAGCTACTAAAATAATTAAGTTATGGCGTTTGCCGGTTATCGACCGCTCGGCGGAGGCGTCCGCCAAAACTTACCATGGCGCAAACAGGGTATTTGCAGGGTAACTCAGACATAGGCCATGCCCTGCCCTCTTCCAATCTATGCCATACTCTGTTTTGTAAAGAATTTTTAAAACATGCCTTATACCATGCCCTACCATGCCTTGTTACAGCCTGTCTTACAGGGCTTGGTACAGGGCACTCTACCGTGCGTCCAAGCCCCCGCAAGGTTCCCAAGCATGGCGTTCTTTTGTGAGAACCTACCACATATCTAGTGAATACAATATTATTTTAATTTGCAATATTGTGTTTCACTTTGACAAAATTAATAGACAATAAATGTCACAGACAAAAAAGTTGTTATAAAGGTTGTATTTTACATTTCTACTGTACCATCAATGTTGCATAAAGTTGTTTCTCATTCTTTCACTCATTTCCCAGCACTCGCAAAACTAGTTAAACAGTTTAAAAGTGCAAAAAACTGAAACGCAAACACTGAGATGATAATCTCAAAGAAAAAACTTAAGTATCGTCTAGAACACAACACAAACCGATCACGCGATTGATGACCAGTGGGCACTTGAACACACTTTTCACGTTGAAAAATAACTTGAAGTTGATCAGGACAGTAAGGAAGATGGAGCGTATTATGATGGGAATCTCGTCTTGGCTAAAAGGGAAATAGTGCCACTATCAGTAAAAAGAGGTGCCACTGCAGTGCACTGTGAGTAATATTGAAAAGTAGTAACCTAGTAGAGATTGAGAGCTGCGCGCAGAAGACAATGACAGGATGGGACAGAAGATGGTTGAGAAAGGTAATGGTGTAAACTTTGTTTGGCAAAAGACAAGTTAGCAGGCCAAGAATGAGATGATCTGATGAGTTTAGTAAGAAAGCATAAATTTCAAAAAAATAATTTAAATTTTAAAAAAATTTAAATAAAGTTTATTTTTATTTTATTCTTATCAATAATTTTTATAATATTCCTCATTACCATAACATAAAGCACAATAAACCATTAAACACCACAAACCCGATACCAATGTGACGAAATGTCAAAAACAAGAAGAGCTCGGCGAAAAATAAAAAATAAAAGAAATTCATGGACCGCCGGGTTTTTTTATTGGATTTTAACCGCAAAGCGCCGAATAAAAGAGGGAATGTATACTTTATAAGGCCCGGGCTTCTCGTGGCCCCAGGGTTCTAGCCGCCCTATTCTAGTCTAATGTAAATTGAAGGTTTAAGGCGTTTGCGTTGTTTTTCCAGCACAATATGGCGGTTTTGGGCATGTTATTGATTGGAGGGATGTATAATATTGTGGTGAAGCGAGATTTGGTCTTTGATACGACGGTGGGCAAGGGTTTTGGCTTTTATTTTGACGTTTTTGGGGAATCGGAGGTGTTTATGTTATTCATGGTTAATATAAATTTTTTGTTATTTGATTGGTCCGGATATTAAAATATTGAAAATAGAGGAAATTTATAGACTTTAAAAAAAGAATTGTCATTTTGTGTTAGTTTTGGCAAAAGTTATGGATTTTTGAAGTTTTCGGGCTTTATATCTACAACAACATTTTTGATAGAAAGGGGTGGTTTTTCGGAAAAATTGGCTATAATTTCTTTAACAAATATAAAAATGATACTCTAAACCATCTTTCTGTCTTTTTTCAAGTCTTTTATTTTATTAATTTTAGAGTTATACCTAAAAAACTACGAAAACTCTTAAAAACCTAAAATCTTTCACTATAATATCCTTTCTATTCATGCTAAAACAATACCTTTTTAAAGTTTGAAAGCTTAAAGTCTGTTAAATTTATTGGAAATAGAACGGAGGTGATTCATGTGATCATAGAGTTTATATCAAACGGAATAACACGGTCAGGTAACACCATTTGGTAAGGTTTTCCTCAATTTTTCTTGTTTTTTCAAAGTTTAGGTATTGAATTTGGAACAAAAGGTTGATGAAAAGTTGGTAGGGGTCTTGATAAATAATATTCGAAGAAGGAAGGGTGGATTTAGGCAATGTTATGGCCGTTAAAATACTTAGTTTCAGAGGTATGGGCTGTTTATTATGATGTCCTTGACTGTTTTATCGATAGATCTTGATGTTTCTGGCCGGTTTATTGATGGATTAAATTTATATTACTACATTAATGGCTTCCTTGATGTTTCTATTCTTTTTTGAAGTGGTATTGAGTTTAAAAAGGGTAAGAAAATAGTTTTTTTTGCTAAAAAAATAAGGAAACTTTAAGCAAAGCTTCAAAGTTATAGAATCCAGAGCTAAAACCCAACTTTCAAGCTAAAAACCTCAATTTCCATTACATTCCAATCTAAAATAAGGTCAATTATCGCTCCAGAACCGATTATTAAACCTTGTTATGACCATTGCTCTTCGAAACTTTTGTTTCCGGCGAACATTGGGGTCGAAAAATTGATGGATGTCCCCTAATTTCGAGGCTCGTTTTTCTCACTCTCTGGCTTCATTTTCCAATTTTTTATTCCTTCAACTTCTTTCCTTTTCCGAGGCTGGATTTTGGAGGAATGAATTATGAATTTTCGAGTTTGACTTCGGTTTTCGTTTAGTTTTGTTGCTGTTTTTTGTAGACTTAATGAAAAATTTTTATTTTTTTTTGTTTTAGGCTTATTTTCTGATTTGTTTGAAGTTTTAGGCTTATAGTTTTTACGTTTATACTCTTAAGGCTTATTAATACAAGGTTTAAAAGCCATAGGCTTTTAAGTTCTAAGCTGATAATTTTTAGGCGTACGGGACTTATTATATAAGCTTTATGCGTGTAAGCTTTAGGCTTTTAAGCTCTAGCTGTGTAAGCTTTTGTCTTATAAGTTCTAAGTGGGTAAGTTTTAGGTTTATAAGCGTCATATTTGTATCCTTAAGGCTTGTAGTTTTTAAACTGTATTTTATAACCCTTAGGCTTAAAATCTTGTATTTATGAGGTGTAGGCTTAATACAGTTAAATTGATAATTTCTAGGCTTATATGTCCTCTAAAAACATTCTTTAAAAAACAAACAATACTCATTCTCAACAATAAAAAGCTCGTCAATTACCATGTCAGTAACATAATTACTGTCTATTTTTTATTTTTCGATGACGTGACTCAAATTGAAGCGACTTGAAACTATTTTTTCATTTCAAATGTTTTTTTCTTGTCTTGTTTGACTTTTTTCGAGTTTCGAGGAAATGTCCGAACGTTTGGGTGGCATTACTTTTCAACCCGCCTTAATACTTTCACTTCTGACAATGACATGATGGTAAACAAATTATATTTATTTCGACGGTACTTTGGCCTTATTTGTGGTTTTTGGCAGTACATATATCATGGGTTGGCAGTGCATATTTCATGGGGATTAACTTTTGTTTTATAATATAAAGTTGTCAAAAATGGCTGGTTTTGGGTCTGCACGGTGCAGTTTTTAGTTTTCATTGCACCGTGCAAACAGTTTGAGACGCTTTGATGTTTTTAGTATTAAACTAGCAAACGATAGCTGCAGATTCAGTAAAAACATTTTTTAGTATCATACTGTTTTAAAAAACAGTTTTAAAAAGGTTTGGAAAATCTGCACGGTGCAATTTTTATTGCAGTGTGCAGGCACTTTGAGAATTTTAAAAATTCTTTTTTAAAACATGAAAAAAAGTAAAAGCTGGCCTAAAATTAACTTTTTTCTTCTACTGGTCCAAAAGTTTTGGGAAGTTGCACCGTGCAGAAAGTTTTGAATTTTCGAAATTTCTTTTATGGAAAAGTCATAAGTAGACAAAATATTTAAAAAATATGGTTAAAAATTCTTAATTTATTAGACTGGTGTAAAAGTTTAAAGAATGTCTTTACAATTCGCTTTTTAAAAATTATTTTAAAGTAAAATGTCTGCACCCTGCAAAAATCGTTTTTTTTTGTGACACAGTGCAGTTTGTAAAATTACATTTCATTTCCTTTGTACATCTCGCATCATTTGTTTATCACTGTCCCCATATTGTGTTGCCATTTTATTCACAAATTTCTAATTAAAATCGGCTAAAATGCTAGGCCCAAAAAACATTTTCTTTTTTGGCTGCGTCTTCCCGAAGGTTTTGTAACGGTGCATTACGGCCGTTTTTGGGGCGTTCGAGCCAAAAAGAAAACGAAAAAAAGCGTTTTCACGTCTCGAAATGCCAGAATTTGGGCGGAAATTAGCCGGAATAAATTAGACCATTGTCTTTGGTGCTTTTTTCGACCGAATTTGGCTTTGTTTAATGGCTTGGGAATTTGGATTTGATAGATTTTGATTTTTTACACTTTTAGTCAGGGATTTGACGTTTTAGGGATTCATTATTGTTGTTTTATGTTACAAATTTGAGAGCCGTTACGTAGTTTCTTTTAATAGAAAATATGTAACTGCGCGATGTAGAGGGTAGAAATGGCATTGTTTTTCCTGGACCGCCTCACCCTGACCAATAACCGGTCTGAAAACAATCCTTTTTTATTATAAATTAGTCCATAAATATCTCCTAGAGGGAGATTGGTGCTAAAAAATAAAGTGAAAAGATACGCTGCTTATTGATATAGCTACCTCCGTGGTAAGCTAACTTTCGTTATAGTTAACATTCGATCAATTCCCAACAATCATACTTGCATATAAAAAAAACGCTCGGTATTGATAATAGGCGAAATAATTCAGTGCCCCTGTCAAAGAAAATTTTCGAAGTTAGGGGCACATATTTATTTGAACAACCTAATAGCTCCAACTATAGCAAACACAAAATGCCCGTCCCTTGGTGTTGCTTATAACTTGAGCCTACGTTAATTTGTCCATCAGTAAGCTCTCGTTATAAGCAACACAAAGAAATGGGTATTTTGTGTTACTATAGATACAGCTATCTATATCAAGCGTTTTTAATATGTAATTAGGGTTGTTGGGGCTAGATCGCCTGTTAACTATAACGAGAGTTGGCTTATAATCGGAGATAGCTAGATCAATAGACGGTGTACCCTTTCACCTTCTTTTTTGGAACCAATATTCTTCTAGGCATATTTATGGGCTAATTCATAATCAAAAAATATTTTTTCATTGGTCAAGACCGGTTTATGAAAAAACCGTCATGACTATCAGGGTGTTAGACTACCCAGGTACTTTTTTATAAGTTTTATTATTTGTTTGTTCAAACAATTCTGCTTCCTTACCCAGAAAATTTGCTTTGAGAGAGGCACAGAATTACTTGAAAAAAACTAATAGTTATTGTAAAATACGCTGTACGTTTTAATAACTTTTGTACAAAAGTTATTTTTATTTATCGTCTATATGTTTCTCCGTGTATACGATTCCAAATGAACTGCCATACAAAATCTAACAACAAAAAGACAAAGCTTAACATTACCACCTATCTTCAGGGTTGAAATCTTGTTCCGCAACAAGAAACAATAATATCAACAACAATTCAACCTACTTATGAAGCTTTTAAAATTCCGATAACTAACTTATTTCCCACTCAAAACGGGTCGACCACTTTCTAGTCATGGGTACCGACAAGTCGATAGCTTTACTACAGTTTCGCAAAAGCTTTTCACAATCGTTGAAAGAAACAAATGGCCGAGTTGGTGAAACGGTCCTAGTCAAACTGCTGCCAGAATTTAACAAACTGATGCACACTTTTACACCTGATGACCTTGTAGCACAGTTCAAAGAGTCTTCTGAATTTCTACAGGTCTTGAGTGAGGTTTTGGTTAGGGAGATACGAAAGCTGGCCAATAATGAGAACATTGCCCAGGCTGCTTTGGCCGTTTATGGATTGCTGAAGGCTAGTCCGCCGGATTCATTTGGCTGGTCGATTGTTAAAAGCGTCAGCTTTTTGATCAACAGGTAAATATGGGTTATGAAGTGATTTTTTAGGGCTGATATTGCTATTTTTTAAGGGAGGGGTAAAAAAATTTTTTTGGGGGGGGGGGGGGGTAAAAAAATTTTTTTTCAAAACAACATTTTTGTTTGCATGAAATCATAATAATATTAACAGATTTAGAAAAAAATATTACATTTTCCCCCTCCCCTCCCTCCCCCTCTCAAAAAAAATCCACCCTCCCCCCCTCCCTATGATGAAAATAAAATTCAATCATTTACAGCGGCCAAATCCGCCTCCTCGACCCAATCTGCAAAGCCTCATTGCCAAGCACGCTAGTCAAAGTGTTCTACCTCTTCTTCGACCTCCCAATCGATGTCGAACCGGCCGAACTCGAGATCCGTCGGCGCCTGTACGACTCACTCGTCATGTTGATGTGCTCGCTATGTGCATACGATGTTGTAGCCGAAGAACTGATCCAACGTGACGACATGGTCCTTCTCTTTCTTGGCGCCGCCTCCACCAGCCAGCTGGACGAACAAATCTGGCGCGACGCCAACTTTACCTTCTTGTGCACGATAGTACAAAGGGCAATGAATGAGTCGGTACTGAAGTATATTCATAGCAAGGATTGTGTTGGGCATTACATGAAACAGCTGAGTGTTGGGAAGGTGGATGACAATCAAATGTCGATTTTATTGGCCAATTTGATTGACTTGTTGAAGATCTCGGCCGAACATACGACGGTGCTGATTGATGGCTTTATTGCTCTGGATGGCTTCAATGTTGTGGTGGAGTTTTGCACGAAGTAAGATCTTATCCATATCAATCTTAAAAATTTTGAAAAAATTAAAAACTTGCCTTTTATAAAGAAAAAGAAGTAATGGTACTTACAAAGCCAGTACCTACAATAATATCACTAACTATAATAAAAACCGTCGTTTAAACTCTACTTTTTGAATTTCACGCCATAATAAGGCTCAAAAGGCTTTAATATAACACATATATTCATAAAAACACATTGAAACACAATGCCAAATTTGGCGCGAATTTAAAACTCAAATTTTAAAAGTGCATATTTGGATCCTATTTTCATAATAAATATTTATCATTGTTTTGATAAGTTAAATACAAATTTTCAGCTTAATTCATAAGCTTATCAGAAATTTATGGCAGTTTGAAAAGTCTTTTTTACCCAAAATCAAGGAAAATTCCTCTTTTTCCTGCTATTTTTTAGTCTCAAAAAGATTCAAATCAAGACGAATAGTAAATGAAATGACAAAACACATTCCAGAGCTCCACTAAATTACATCAAACCCTTACTGGACGCATTAGTAACATTAATATCAGCTGGAAATCAAACTGTAAGCCTCACAAACCCACAAACTCCACTTTCCTTCTACCCTTTCCAACTTCAGTCATCGTTATCCCGAAGCACAGCGACTGTTAGAGTACCACAAGCATTTCAAGCTTTAGAGAAATGTTTTTACGAAGGAACTGAACCGTTATGTTTGCTGGTACTTGATCATGTTGCTAACGTACTCAAAGCGGAACCAATGAACTACTTTATCTTGGATAAGCAATATCCATTATACTTGTTTGTTGAGAGGATGAATGTAAAGTCTTTTGAAGTTCAGGTAGGTTGTTATGACGTCAAACGGGATGTGAAGACGGTATTTTACCTTGTTTTTGCGTTGCATTGGTTGCTATGACATGTCCCGCAACGAAAATGCAAGGTTGCTAAAATTTGTTGGCCTTCTGTTATTCGTCAGATAAATGATAAAATTAACGACAAATTAATGTTTTTTGATAAATTTGATAAAGGAAAACTCTTTTTTAAACTTTTAATTATTAAGAATCAATCTTTACACACAAAACATCATGTACAATACAATAATTAACCAAATTTCAGAAGAAAACCTTGTCCATCGTTGAAAATGTCCTCCGAAACCTCAACTTTATCCCATGCAAAGAACTCACATCCATTAACAATCATCTTAAAACCGCGATCAAAGAGAATGACATCGACAGGATCGAGCTGTATCAACATTTCTTGTTCGGCATAATATCGGCCAATGTTTATATAAAGGATGCCTTTCGAGAACTGCTCCATCTTGAAAGCTTTTTGAGTATCTTTCTGAAGAATGGTGTCGGTAAGTTTCTTTGTTATTTTGCTTTGGTTTTTAGGTTCATCTTGAGCTCTGGTTTGCCAAAATGAGCGAAAGAATGAAAGAAAATCGGTTTTCTGATGTTATAGTAGCCAAACCGATGATTTTTCACCTCAAAACGCTTCATTTTTCAGGTTTTGATGCCTTAACTGAAACCGAGAAGCAATGTACACAAAGAGCATTGGATTTGTTAGTCACAACCACCAAAGGCAACACTTTAAATGCTCAATTTGTAACCGAAAACATTGAGATCAAGGTGATCAAGGAGGTTTTGTCCAGTAAAAGCGAAAAAGCCGAGGATTTTCGAAACACAACTCATGTTCTGGTCAAGAACTTGTTGTTTTCCGCCAAGAATGAGCAGCTTTTTTCATCTTTGTTACAGATTCTGTTCAGTGATCCTGGAAACCTGGAGATGTGCATGGTGATATTGAGGTAGGTTTTTGTGAAGACTATAACAATAAACGTTCAATTTCAGGCTATTCTCATCAGTCTTACTAGAAAGTCACAAAGTCCGAATCATGTTCCGCCGAAGCGGAGGCTATATCTGCCTGATGACATTACTACTTCAACTCGAAGGTTCACTTCACTGTACATATAACAAAACCAAGCTGGACGTGGAAATCCGCTCCACCCTCAACTACATATCCATGATATTTAAGGTACTGACAGTTTCGATGCGCTACGAGCCTTCGAATGCTAGATACTTCCTCAACGAAGTCAAGGTTAACATCGTCATTTCGATTCTACGGACTTCTGGAGCCTTTTCGAAGACCGAGAAGATATTGTCAGGGAAGGGCGTATGGTTCAAGTTGACACCACAAGATTTGCAGAGTAAATTGAAGGTGGTGCATTCGATCTTCGCTGATGATAATATACTACAACAGGATATTGAGATGAGTATGGAAGTGTTTGCGGCGCTGTATTTGATCAAATTGCTGTTTGAGTTGGGAATGGACGCTTTTGATAAGTAAGGAAAAGGATAGTTGTTCAATTGATTCGGAAAATGTTTTAGTTAGTCTAGGGTGTGGTAATAAAATTTAAATTTCAGACAAACCAATGACATTCAATGGGCAGGCTCGGACTGGCTGAAAACCGCCGAAAACATAGAAACCATACCTCTAGTGACCTGGTCCCGGTCAGTAATTGTTCATCCAACATCAGTTTTGTGCATTCTCCAACTTTTGCCTTCAATCGAGGGCGCAGCTTGCCGAGACGGACCATTAGACGAATGGTCAGCAATCGGCCAGTACTACTCAGCACTACTTCTGAAAGCTCTGTTAAGGCTAGAAAGGAATCAGCAGATCATGTGCGATCACAACATGCCCAAATACCTACTCGATGTAGGTGAATATCTATTCAAATTGGAGAAACACCTCCTACTGCCACCTTTTCATTACCTATTCGAGCGATTGGCTTGCCAGTCCATGCATCCAAGAGAGCTGAGGCATTTCCTAAGGCTGGACAAGCCCTTATGTTGTGTGAATTTGGATGATGGGGATGAGGTGAAGGATGAGGAAGATGGTCAAAGTGGGGGACCGTTACCTATTCATAGGTAGGAAGTTTGATATTTTTGAAATTTTTAAAAATGCTTTTGATTAAAAAGGCATAATATTGAGTATTTTTACCTTAAAAACCTATAAAAACCGTTTTGGCTTGAAAGAGAGGCATGTGATACGATGAAATATGTCTCATCGTATAACTTGTCGCCATTAACAAATGAGAAGTTAAAAACATGTTTTTAAAGTTGAAACGATAGTAAAATCTATAGAAAAGGCAATTTAAAAAGATTTTTAGTAAGTTCATCAACGTAGAGACATATTATACGATGAAACATGTTCTGTCTTACATGTTTCAGCGTACAACTTGACCATGTGTAATTTGAGTATGAAAAAAAAAGTATTTTTATAGTAGAAATGGCGATATATGTTTTTGAACATTAATTTGAAGATAATTTGTAGTGAATTTATGTTTAAGGAGACATGTTATACGATAAAACATGTTTTATCGTATATACATGTTTTAACGTATAACTTGTCACCCTGGTTCAAAAAATATAATTTAAAATTAAAAAAATGCAATTTCAGACTAAAAACATCAATTTCAGAGTAAAAGCTCTCGTGTCAATGCTAACACCCCGAAACCACGCCCTAGTCCACCCGCCAGCCTTTGTCGAGTTCGATATGGCAATCGAAGGATTTGCCGCCCTATTCATACCATCCTTGGCACATTCATCAACAAACTCATCAAACAACACGCCGGACAGACTGTTCCCACCAATGAATGGACTAACCTTCATGGCTTGGCTCTACCTGGACGAAACCAACAAAGGAACCTTGCATCAGAGCACGGACGTCGGTCAAGCCGGCTACTTCTCGAACATCGTGAGGCTAGTGACGATTGTACGGAATGGAGATGGCGACATGGTTTTTAATGGGCAGGTAAGGGTATCTTGAAGGCTAGGGTTTTGTTTTTTATGGCAAGAACTGACGGTTTTATTTAAAAATGACATGTTTTTTGGTAATAGGGACAAGTTATACGATGAAACATGAAACGTTATAGCCTAGAACTAAAGCTAGAAATATCTAAAGCTACAATTATCCGTTTCCTTTCAGACTCAAACCCAACACAATCGGAATTCCATGGCCAAAGAGACGCCAGCCCTCGAGAATCAGCTCACTTGTCTCTACGTTCACTTCGACGTGTCAGAGAAACAACTTGTCGTATGTACTGAAGAGCACTCGATGCTGGACGAGCTCCGCCGCGACTACGTACCACCAGCACCATCCGACACCTGTGCTCGAATTCCCTTGCCAGACAATGTGTGTGCCCTAAGACAATGGACTCATCTCAGTGTGGTGTTGTCACGAAGCCTTCTGAAGCCAAGCCAGATTGAGGTCTACATCAACGGTCGACTTCTGGCCTCTCAGAAGCTGAATTACATCCAACCAAACGTTGGTGGAGCTCAGGCACAGATTGTAGACTCACATTCGGTCCACGGATTCATTGGAACACCACCGTTCTTGCGCAGAGTCACACCGTTACGCTGGAGGATAGCTTCAACGTATCTGGTGGAGGAGGTATTGACCAATGATACGATTCGGAAGGTTTACATGGCTCATCCTCATTATGTTGGCAATTTTCAGGTAGGTTTTGAGTTAGAAATATTGTGTGGGTTAAGAAATGGCATAAAAATGATGGTTTTTAGTCATTTTTGTAAATCGGGACAAGTTATACGATACAACATGTTTGATCGTATAACATGTCTTTTGATTATTAAAAATGACGAAAAAGTTCACTTTAGGTTGTAAAACATCGATTTTGTTTGGAAAATACAAATTTCATGTCAGGTTCTATGCAAGGCAACAAGTTATAGGATGAAAAATGTTTGATCGAAACATTTTTGATCGTATAACATGTCGCCTTATTCAAAAGTTAGTACTAACAGTTTGTTGAATCATTTCTATGGTATTAAAGTCTATGAAATTGTTAAAAAACGTATTTAGGCGGTTTATTTGCGAAAAAGTGACAAGTTATACGATGAAACATGTACAGCGTATAAAATGCAACGTTTTTTTTCAAATATGACTATTTATATTTAAAAAATGATAAATTTTGATTAAAAATGAACTAAAAAGCTTTTGAAAATTATTTTTAAAAATTAAAAAAAAATTTTGATGCTTTTAGTGCATCTCCGACCAAGCACCATTAGTACCAGAAGAGAAGATCCTCCTATCACTAACTGCCGCATCTCAAACCGAATTCACACTACAAGCCTTCAGATCAATGACAAGGCGAGTAGACACAGAGTTGTGTGCATCACTGTTAGGCTTATCACCCAATGACAACTCGACCCCAGTCCGCTTCCTCTGGAACTGCTGCAAACACGCCCCAGGCCCTCAACGAAGCCTGGGCGCAGCCGTAGTCGGATACCTCGGAATGCGAACCTTCAGTCCATCACCAGTATCAGCCCTACTAGACTCGATCGGGGGCGCCGCACCGCTCCTAGGCTTAATAGCCATGTGCACCGACTCTCAAGGCCTATATGCATCACTGAAGGTCCTGGTATCAGCCGTCCAAACCAACAAAGCCGTGGCCGAAAGCATCGAACGCAACCGTCTATATCAGACTTTGGCAGTTTTGCTCGAAGAGAAGATCTCACTGGTCAATTCTCACATATTACACTTGATTCTGTCACTCGCGGGCACCGTGGACTTGGCTAAAGAAGTTACAGTAATTCCAAGTCAACAAACCTTTGAGGATTTACTCTGTGATCTGGAATTGTGGATGGGAGCACCGGATGAGGTCAAGAAGTTGTTGTTTGAGCATTTTTATGAATTGGTTATTGAGTAAGTGACATGTTATACGATGAAAGGTGTCTAAAACATTTTATTGTAAAATTTTAAAAATTTTTTAATTACTTTTTAAATTGTGTTAAAAATGAAATTTACTTTATTTTAGCAGTCACCGTGACAATCTGGCCAAAGTGCGCAACTCCACCCTTCTGAATCGCCTTCTACTACTAGTAGCCGAACGCCCAAAGACCTTTGTAGTCAAAAATGACATTATCTTCCGCTTGATCGGAGCAATTATCCAACCACCATGTGATTCAGCATCTTTGTTACGATTCGGCCAAGCATTAGTGTCTACATTACCTACACAATCACTCAATTCTGGAGAAAAGTCGGTCGAAGCCGGGTACCCATTTCACATCTCGGAGCTGGAAAGACTGCTGTTAAATCAATGTAATGGTAGTAAAGAAGAAGAAAACGATGACAGAATGGACGCGAATTTGTATGCGATCTATGTTAGAAATAAGTTGTTGAACATCTTGAGTACTACGTTGGCTCATACCAGTGGTACCGTCAATTCACAGTGAGTTTTTGAGGTTTTTTTGGTTGATTTTTGAAAGATCTACTTGATGGAGTTAGCTAAAAGTTAGTATATACAGGCATTAGGGCATGTTGAACATTTTTTTAATATAATTTGTTTGGTAAGATTACTGTAACATACCCTAGTTTACATTTTTTGTGAAATTGTTTGACTTTTGGAATTGAAAGTTGGTTTTCGAGAACTATAGGTGTTGAGATTAGCTGAAAGGTAGTATATACCGTTGTTTTAGGACATGGTATACATTTTTTTAATTATAAGTTTTCTGATAGGATTACTGTAACGTAGAGTATTTCAAAGTTTTTGTGAAAATGTCTTTTTTTGAAATTTAAAAATTGATTGTGACCAAACCAAAAGACGGAATAATTGGAAAATTGGTACGTATTGGTTCTAGCTTATGTGGAACATTTTTCTAAATACAAGTTTTTTGGTAGGATTACTGTAACATAGGGTAGTTTAATTTTTTTGAGAAAAAGTCCGTCTTTTTACGTTTTCGGCTGATTTGTGGAAAAATTAAACCTATTAATAAACCGAAACTTTGTATACTTAGGCTTTAGAACCTGCTAAACATTCATTTAATTACAAGTTTTTTGATAGGATTACTGTAACAAAAGGTATTAAAAATTTTATGTGAATAAGTCAGTTTTTTTCGAACTTTAGTGCTGATTTGTTACAAAATAAAATGTTGGTAGTAGTTGAAGTCAGTGTTTTTATAGGGTTTAGGACATGCTGTGTATTTTTAGAATTACATGTTTTTTGGTAATATTACTGTAATGTAGAGAAATTTTTAAAAAAGTTCTAAAAAGTAAAAAATCGCTTCAGGTTATGCGAGAATGTGGTCCAAACCCTCGGCTTTGGATGGATAATGACCCTCTGTGCCCCAGGAATCCATACCAATACAGTATTCCTAGCGCTTCGTACTCTGCTTACCGTAACCAAGTATCAACCATTACTTCAAAAATTCCGTGAAGGCTCGGCGAACAACGGCTGGCTACAGGACGCGGATTCTGTGCTTCGAAACCGTGCCGCCGTCCTTCTCGGCTTCTCTGTATCAGCTCACGGTGGAGCAGTCGGCAGTCACGTTGATGTGAACCCGGAACTCTCATCAGTCTCGGGGCTAGCGGCTTTGGAACAGCTGATCTGTGCTCACGCTGATCAGCCATTTGCCTACCTGGCAGTGCTGGCTTTGCTTTTTAATCAGCACGATGCTAACATTCAGCCAATCGAAGAGTTTAACGTGGACCTCATCTGGAGTCATGTGTTTGCCTTATCAACCAACAGTAGCGTATACGATGCTATAGCCAAGGTAGAGTACTGCCCAGAAGCGCTGATACCGATCATATCAATGCTACGTGCTGGTCTACACTACACTACGGAGGATGGTAGACCGGTTGATGATAACCATTGGAGTAGAAGCTATCCCATCATGGTGGTACAGTTACTGTCTTTTTTGTACCAGAATCTGGAGAACTTTGTACCTTTATGTCACAACGAAACGTTTGTCATAAGTCTGTTTACATCGTTGATACCACCAAGGTCCCTAGCTAATACTCCTCAAACTGGTACACCTGTGACTGGTGCACTACCTGCCAATCAAAGATGTGCTAAAAGTGTACTGGAACTACTGGCTAACATACTGCTGAATGATCTTTGCTTACAGTATGATGACTACAGAACTGATTGGTTGTTTGATCATCTGGTTGAGGTAAGTTATCACTAACTTTACCTCTATTCTTAATTCTACACTACTTTACCTTGCCCTACCCTAATCTACCCTACCCTACCCTACTCTACCCTACCCTTTCTTACTTGCTTCAACTTACCTCAATAACCATCTTATTTCAGTACCTAGAAGGTGGTGGAGCCATGCATTCCTCCCAATCCTCTCTCTTCACCGAGCTAGTCAACACCTGCCTCGATCATTTCATGGCATCAGACATGTTCTTCACCAACTCCTCTCTAAACATTCCAAAATCGACCGAAGGTCGGCTAAACCCGACTTCCGAACAGACAGCCATCAATGTGGTACACTTCCTGTCGCGGGTCATAGACTCTGTTTGGAACTGTTTGTACCGAGGGAATCCGGTCAAAATTTTGAAATGTTTTTTGAAATTACTGGCCGAAAGTCATACCGCCAACAAGGCCGCCGCTCAACTCAATTGCACCGAAACTCATCTGAACGCGCTGTTTAGGATCGTACTGTATCTGTTGAGTCGTCCTATTGATAATGTTGATAGTAAGTGCATGTTGTGGTTATATGGGGGAGGGGGGTTTTGAAAATTTTTAAAATTTTGGGGAATAAGGGACATTTTATACGATGAAAGGTGTTTTTAGAGGGAAAAGGACATTTTGCACGATACAGCATGTTTTTAGTACCAAAAGGTACATTTTATACGGTGAAACATGTTTTTGATAATAAAAGTGACATTTTATACTATAAAATATGTTTTAGTATGAAAGTGACATTTTATAGTATGAAACGTGTTTTTGGACCAAAAGTGACATTTACAGTCAAAAAACTGTTTGTTTCAACTATAAACACCTTATTTCAGCTCAAACCTCAGTAGTAGACACATTGGCTGAAATCATCCGAAATCAACACATCTTACTCTCCCAAAACAGTAACAATCAACTCTACTATGGGGCTCTAACACACCTAGTTTTCATGTTAAGCGAGCCTCCAGACATTCAATCAACCAACAAGCATTTGGAACGAGGCTCAGCCCAAGTCTCAGTCTGTGCCCAGTCCGTATGGGGTATACTGTGGCAACAGAAGAAGGCCTTGATGGAAGAGATATTCAAAAGAAATGTTGAGCTAGACTTATATTCAGCTCGAGCAGCTTGCGGTGAAGTGGCCAACAAGTACTGGCTTCAGTTCGTTGATATCCAAGCTCAAGGTGGTGCTAGTACGAACTCTGGACCTCAATCAGCATCATTGACCTCGAGTGCAAGACAAGTTGGCGGCCAACTTCAACATCAAATACAGTCGAGGTTGTCGAGGGTGGCACGGTCTGGATTCAAGAGATTGACTTCGAGGAAGAGTTTGAGCCAGGACAAGATTTTCTTTCAGGTATGCTTGGGGATTACTGTAGAGTAAGGTAAGGTAAGATAAGGTAGGATAAGGTAAGGTTGGGTAAGGTAGGGCTATGCTGTGTAGGGTAAGTTAGGGTAGGACGATATTTCGTTGTGGGACGTTAGCTGAGTCTCTGAGGCCTTCCTTTGGTCTTCAGCACTTGGGCCCAAAAGTGCCGACCTAGCCCGGCCTCTTTTAAATTTGCTTCGGACCAGCCCAGCTCGATTCAGGGCTTGGCGTGGGTAGAAATGTGGAATGGGCCTGGCCTAATCTTTAAGCTCAGCTTGATCTCAATTTTGCTCAGGCCCGGCCCGGTCCGATTTTTTACTTACAAACGGCTCGGTTTGATCTAAATTTGTTTCAAGGCTGGCCTGGTTCGATCATCCGCCCGGCTCGTTCCTTATATCTAGGCCTGAGTATTAAGCCCGGCTTGTTCTAAATCTTGCTCAGGTTCGGCTTGGTCTGAATTTTTTTACGTGCGAATGGGCCGGGCCTTGGCTTTGAAACCCGGCCCGTTTCTCATGCCTACCTTTCAGGCTTACATGTAACTCAACACAATTTCAGCCAGCTCAATTTCACTACGAACGCCCGAAAGTCGAGCCAGAGACTTTCCAAATGTGGATGAGAGTCCATGTCAGCTTACTAAAAGAGCTGATGCGAACTCAAAAACAACGCTACACGGAATGGCACACCCATGTCCGCAAGTGGTGTATGCAGGATTGGCATTTGGCTGAAGCTGAGCTGACTAGAGAACGAGGACTATGGGGACCGGAGAGAAAGTCCGAGTTGGACAAGTACCAATTGGACACGACTGAAGGACCATGCCGAGTGAGGAAGAAGTTGTTGCCGGATCCAACGTTTTACCAAAAGTATCCGTACCGACCTCATCTGGATGCAGTGGAAACGGTAGGTTGGGAGGGTGGTGGGGGAGATATGTGGGAAGGGGGTTGGGGGGTTTTTGGGCAAAAAGAGGGTTAAAATAATTGTAACAGAACTTGTGGCACACCCTGTAACATGGATAAGATCAAAAACTTCTCTGAATACTTTATAAAACGGTAGTAATAGGTGTCGACATAAACAACCCGCCATTTTTTACACGGAATTACAGGCAAAACATGGCGGGTTCTTTATGTCGCCACCTATTATAACATCCACAGTACCTAATTCATTTCCAGAAGTCAGTCCGAGCCAAATTTGCCTTATCAAAGGACTCCAAGCTCTACTACGAACGAATGAAAAACCGCAGATTCCACACGATGGACGAAAGAATCGTCGACCGGTCGCAACCAAATGCCACTTCCAATGGCACCTCAGAGCCAAATATTGTACTAGACCCAACCACAGAGCTGAATATATCAATGATCAAACGAATGGTAACCAAGAATGTAAAAATAAACGAAAAGAAAGAAGACAATGAAGAAGATCAAGTAGATGAACATGTCATAAAAGAAGACGAGGAAGAGGACTCGGATTCGCTGGACGAATCCGAAGCCAAGGATAAGGCAGAAACAGAAGAGAAAGAAGAAAAAGAACCCGAAATAAAGGCGAGAAAGAGTAGTGTGAACAAGGAGAAGGAAGAGAAGAGTCAGATTGGCAATGGACCTGACAATCAGACGCTTCTAAGGCTTCTGGAGACTGGAGAACAACTTCATTCCATGTTCAGATGCGCTAGGGTACAGGGCTTGGACACTATTGAAGGTAAGCATACATTTTTGGTTAGGCGGGTTAAAACGAAAGGTTTGGAAGGGGAGGGTAGATAAGCGAGTATGTAATTTGATTTTGGTTGGGCGGGGTAAAATGAAAAAAAGTTTTTTTTAGAAGAGCAGGGTAAAGCAAGCCAAGGCAGGATGCCGTAGGATAGGATGGAATCGGAAACGCAGAGAACTGATAGGCGAGTATGAGATGTAATTTGGCAGGACAGGGCGTGGTAGAAGAAATTTTTTGTTGGGAGGTGTAAAAATGTGATTTTTTTGGGCGTGGTAAAATTTTTATTTTGTTTTTCGAGCAGGGTAATTTTTTTTGGGCATGGTAAAAATTTTTTCTGGTGGGGAAGGGAGGAGGGGTGAAAGGCATTTTTTTTGGGCGGGGTAAAATTTAATTTTTTCGGCGTGGTAAAAGTTTGTTTTGGTGAGGAAGGGAGGATGGGTGAAAGACATTTTTTGGGCGGGGTAGATTTTTAATTTTTTTGGTTTGGTAAACTTTTTGTTTTTTTTTCGGGGGAGTAAATTTTTTTTTGTGTGAACTGTCCTTTTTAGGCGGGGTAAAAATAATATTTTTTGGACAGGGTAAACTTGACAGTTTGGCAAACATTATACAGCTAAAACTATTTTTTATTATAAATCATTGTTTATTACACAGTAATATTCACTACATTGATCTTCGATGAAGCTTTGTGCAAGAAGCACATTTTTGTCAACTTTTAAATCTAAAAAGTGGCATAAAAATTGAATTTATGAATAAAAACTTACGGTAATCACTAGAGTAACAGGTAAAATACGTATTCCTTAATATTTCCCGCTTAAAATCTCTTTTAACTTCATATAAATCATTATTTTGGTACCATGTGTCAAACAGCACCATTAACACAACAAGTAGCAAACTCAATATAATGTCGATTTTTGTTGACGAAATCTTGAAGATACGATACATGTTTCTAAAAATATAGTGTAGTATTAAAGTGTTGACATGGCTAATCGTATGAATCACGTTTTGGAGTATTTTCCCTTTTGTAAATCAAAAATGCAAAGTATTCGAATGGGTTTTTTAATAAAAACAACGTTTCACATCTTTTGTAATGTGATCAGAAGGCTCCAACGTGATGAATATTCGATAATGCATTCATATTGACGTAGTGAGAAAAGAAGGGTAGGATAGAGCAGTGTAGGGTAAGTTAGAGCGGGGTAGGGTAGGATGGAGAAGGGTAGGGTAGGATAGCGTAGAGTAAAGTAAGATAGAGCGGGGTAGGGTAGGATAGAGCGGGCAGGGTAGGGTAGGATGAAGTATGGCTTGGTAAGGTAGGGTAAAGTATAGTAACGCCTGGTAAGGCTAAGTAGGGTAGGGTCAGGATGAAGTCAGGGCAGTTTGAGTGTCTCTAGGGTGATAACAAGGCTAGTGTTGAATGAGTAGAGATTGAATGGGGTTACATTAAGGCTTTGGTAGAGCTAACGTAAGGTAGGGTTTGGTTAGGTTTTGGTAGTGATAGGGTTGAGTAGGATAGAGTAAGGGTAAGCGAACATGCGGAATAGGGTAGAGCAACATGTAAATCTGGTCGGGCTACGGTAGAGCTACAGTAAGGAGAAGGCAGGACTGTAATGGATATAAAATAGGTACTAGCGTAATGCTGTTGTAGGGCTATATCAGAGTTGGGTTGGATAACTGCGACAAAGTTTGGTTAGAATAATAATAAGAAAAAATCATATGGCCAGTGTTTTGCCGTGTCCGGACCGGACCCGTCCGCGGACCGAAAAAAATTTTTTTAATTTTATTAAAAAATTTTTTTTATTTTATTAAAACTGCTTTAAAAATTGCAAAGAAAACATATTTTTAAGTGTTTTTAAACGTAGAGAAAGCATTTTTTGCGCTCTTTGCTTTTTAAAAATAAAAAAAAATTTTTTGCGGACCGGACCGGACCCGAAAATCGCCGGACCGGACCGGTGAAAAACGCTCCGGACCGGTCCGAGCAAAACACTGCATATGGCAAACCTTATGAGTACATTACACGTTTTTGTGAAAGGCTAGTTAAAAAATACTTGGCTATAACTTAAAAATTCATAGAAATTTGAGTTTATATCACCTGTCGATGTTTAGTTCTCTTCGGGTCGTTTGTCGCCATTTAAACTATAAATTGACTTTAATAGATATATAATAAGTTAAGAAATGTGTCTATATATCAATGAATTAACGTATTTTACCTTCAGGCCTCCTCCTCTTTGGCCGCCACCACTTCTACGTCGTCGATGGCTTCACTCTTCTCAAAACTCGTGAGATTCGTGATCTCGACTTCCTGCCAGAACAATACCATGATCCCATCATACCCTACATGGCTATGGGCTCCCAACATCGTACTTCAACCCGTGCCAACCGCCAATGCAACAAATTTGCGTACGAAGACATTCGCGACGTCCACAAACGTCGCTACCTCCTCCAACCCATCGCTCTCGAGCTGTTCAGTGGCGATGGCCGCAACTTTTTGATCGCATTTCCAAGAAAGATCCGCGACCGTGTCCATCAGAAGCTGTTGACATTGGCCAGGAAGAGTAGTACTGAAGAGAAGGAAGGTACCGCCTTTTTGGGCCAGATCCTACCGTTTGGGCAGAGTACTGTAACACAGAAATGGGTCAGAGGAGAGGTGTCGAACTTCAATTATCTAATGCATCTGAACACACTGGCTGGCAGAACCTACAATGATTTGAGTCAATATCCTGTTTTTCCTTGGATTTTAAAGGTAATTTTTGATTTTCTGGGAATGGAAAGAAAGTTCTTGCCATTTTTTGTTTTGTAAAGAAAGTTCTTGTCGTTCTTTGTTTTGTAAAGAAAGTTCTTGCTATGTCTTCTTTTGTAAAGAAAGTTATTGCCATTTTATTGAAATCAAGCAAAGTTTCTTATCCTGCAGCCTGCGGATGACAAGTTATACAATGAGGCTAAATTTATGCGATTTTTAGTGTTAACGTTCTAGTTTTTTTTGACAATTTTTGAATTGGAAAGAACGTTTTTGCCATGTTTAATGCCTTTTGAACATATTATGTTAATAATATAATTTTAGGACTACGAAAGTGACTCCCTAGACCTAACCAAGCCTTCAACATTCCGTGACCTTTCAAGACCAATGGGAGCTCAAACTCCAGAGAGATTGGCACAATTCCTTAAAAGATATAGAGAATGGGACGATCCCAGTGGTGATACACCGCCATACATGTATGGTACTCATTACTCATCAGCCATGATTGTACTGTCTTATTTGGTACGGCTGGAGCCATTTACTCAACAGTTTTTGAAACTTCAGGTAAGGTTACTATAGTTTTTTGGATTGATAGGGCGGTTTTTAATGAGTTTAAGGGGCTTGGTTACCGTAGTATGGTACATTTTTTTATATTTTAGTGTGGGAGTTAAAAAAAAGGGGGGGGGGTAGGGTGATTAGTATAGGTAGGGGCAGGTAGGATACGGTAAGGTAAGGTAAAGTGAGGCAGGGTAGGGTATGGTAGAGTAAGGGGTTATGGTAAGAATAGGGATGGAAGCAGGGGCATGAGTATTTTTTTAAATTGGGCACGGCAGGATGTTGAAGGGACACGGGGGGGGGGTATGATTTGGAGGGTGGGTAGGGGATTTTTTTTTGTTTTTTATTTTTCTTGCTTAATATCTCTCCCGTTCTCTCTTTTCTACCCGGGCCATATTGTTTTTTACCCCGCCTAACTTTTTTGTATATCTTTACCCCGCCCAACTTTTTTTTAATTAAACTTTTTTTTGATTTTGTATCCATCCCCATTTTTTTCGTTGTCTACCTCATCCGAACTTTTTTTCATTTTTACCCCGCCCAATTTTTTTATTGATTTTTTCTTCCGTCTCCTTTATTAAAATAATTCTTACGACGTTATTTATATCAAACTAATTAAAAATCTTATTCTAGGGTGGTCACTTTGACCTCGCCGATCGTATGTTCCACTCAGTCGGCGACGCCTTCAAATCAGCGGCCAAAAACAATATGGCGGATGTGAAAGAGCTGATCCCAGAGTTCTTTTACCTACCCGAGATGTTCAAGAACTCGAATTCCTACGATTTGGGCATAAAACAGAATGGCATAGCGCTGAACGATATTGTACTACCGGCTTGGGCTCATTCGGATCCATTTGAGTTCGTGAGGAAGCATAGAGAAGCGCTGGAGAGTGACTATGTCAGCGAACATCTACATGAGTGGATCGATCTGATCTTTGGCTTCAAACAGAACGGAGATGCTGCCAAGTAGGTTTTTTGTAAAGAAAGTTTTTGCCATTTTTTGCTAAAGAAAGTTCTTGCCATTTTATGTTTTGTAAAGAAAGTTTTTGCCATTTTTTGTTTTGCAAAGAAAGTTCTTGCCATTTTATGTTTAAACTTTAAATTTAAAAAAACATTTTCAGAGAAGCCAACAACGTCTTCCACCACTTATTCTACGAAGAGAACGTCGACTTTGAATCCATCGATGACCCCCTAACAAGAAATGCCACTCTCGGTTTCATCAACAACTTTGGTCAAACCCCCACCCAACTTTTCAAAAAACCACACCCAGCCAAAAAGATTGCCAACCTAGGCCAAGCTTCCGGTCTGACGGACCGCTCCCAGCCACTTGTCACAGTCCAGCCCACCAAAGGTGTCACCACCCCCATGACATTTTACCACACCCTCGAGACCCTAAGGCCATCGACGAAGCCAGTCAAGGAGCTGCGAGCAGCCGTCGGTGATATACGAATCAATGACAAGATTCAAATTATTGTCATGGAGCAGAACAAGATGTTGATCCCACCTCATACCTTCATGTCATGGGGCTTCAACGACCGGTCGATCCGCATGGGTCAGGTCGGAAGTGACAAAAGCATTTGCGTTCTCGAAACCAACGATGTTTACGAAATTACGTCGATGGAAACGGCCGATGGACGGCTAATCTTTGCTGGACTAACCACTGGTACTGTTCTAGTATGGACATTGGACTTAAGTGGCAGAAGAAGCTCAGTAGAGAGACGAAGAGGGTCATCTACTACAACATCAACACTAGCTGCAGCTGCTTCAGGAGCCACAGGTGCGGCAGTGGCTGGAGTGGTGGCTGGATCTCAGCAAGGACAACCGATCAAGTCAACATTACCTCCAACATCTTCAACTTCATCCACAGCTTCGAACTCAGCTTCAAAACGACCAAGACTTCGGCCGAAGCAAGCTCTAGATGCTCATACTGATGTGGTAACATGCCTAGCTGCTTGCCCAGCCCACAACTTCCTAGTCAGTGCTTCAAGAGATCAAACAGCCGTGATCTGGCATCTAACTCAATTATCATACATCAGACAACTCACTGGACATCAGAGTGCAGTAACAGCGCTATCAGTTAATGCCACGACCGGAGACATTGCTACAGCAGCTGGCTCATATCTACATTTATGGACGTTGAATGGAGATCCATTATGTCAAGTTAACACGGTGGATTCAGGCTTATTCTCCAACCCATCTAGTTTAATATTAAGCCTATCTTTTTCAACTTTTACTGATTGGGACCCAAAGAATGTGATCATGTGTGGAACATCTGATGGACTGGTGAAGATCTACTCGATTGAGCTAAGGAAGGTATCAGAAGACGAAGAAAAATCAGAAAGAAGCAATTCAGTATCATCCAACATTGCCAACGATCCAACCGCTCTAAAAGAACACTTCCTAAGACGACAAAAACGAATCCAAAGCCATCAAACCCACTCCTTCAATTCAATGAAACTCAGTGTAGACACCTCACATGACTCACAAATGTCATCCCCACTACACACTCCATTATCGGCCAAAGCAACCTTCACCGACGACGAAATCGACCAAAAACAGGAGACCGATTCGACCAATAGTGACAGTTCTAACAAGAAGTACAAGTGGAAAAGACATTGCCAGCTGCGGAGGATTCTAACTGAACATACTGCCTATCATAGCGAAAATAATCGACCAGCCCCAATCACCGCCATTTTCCCATCCAAAGATCATCGGCAGATCTTGGTGGGTGATGGTGTGGGCAGGGTGTGGATGTGGAGCATCGATTCTGGAAACAACAACTCTTCACAAGGTAAGGAAGGGAATTTATAGAAAACATTTTATATTGATATTTGAAAATCATTTTTTAATTATCAGAAATTAATTTTCCGACCGAAAAAAAGTTGATAAACCTCTAAAACAATTTTTTTTATTTTTTATGAAACTAAAAATTAATATTGTGACATTTTTAATTGATAATAAGCTTGAAAGCTTCAAAAAACTCATCAAAAACACAAATTTCTATCAGATAGCAAATAAAGCCAAAAATGCTGTCAAATCAAAGCCTTTCGAAGCCATGCGTCTGTGGTGTAATGGTCAGCATGGTTGCCTTCCAAGCAATCGACACGGGTTCGATTCCTGTCAGACGCAGACAGCTTTTTTGGACAAAACACGAAATTCTATTGCATATACTATCTGTAATGATGTCTGTGAAAGCAAATACTAGCATTAATTAGGTCTGTAAAGGACGAAAAATTGTTTCTGGACACAAAAAGTTTTGGTCAAGTCGCGAAGAATGTTTTTTGCCTAAATTTTGCTGTTGGTACTAAAAAAACAACCTAATTCTAACATTATAATAGTACTATTTTTAAAGTTTTGGTGTGTTCAGTAGTTTTTTTTTATTTTACTTTTACTAAAACTTCTATACAACAATCCTAACTTACTTAAAACTCAATTTTAACTCTATCTTAACCCTTTCCAACTTCTAACTTTCCGTTAAAGAACCAGTACGGCTTCGAAAACAGCCGTCAACAGCATCAACCGATCGCAATTCTCTAAACTCGTTATCTTCGAAACTATCGACTCAAGTTTCGGACGAGGAGAACCGAAATCAATGCCCGAGTTGCCACCGGCAATTTGCAATTTCCGGCCAGCCGCGTGCTGTAGGGTCGCATTGTGCTGGCGTAGCACAGTCTAGACTGGATTGCAAAAATTGCGGACAATGGTTCTGCGAAAAGTAGGATAGGTGTAGTGTTGTGGTTTTAGTTATTGTTGTGGTTTGGTGTTCTAGTTAGTTTAGGCTTGTTTTTTTGATTCTTTAAAGTCAAAATTTGGCGTTTCTTATAAAAATTTGCATATTGTGGTAGTGGTGTTGTATGTGTGGAACATTGGATGGGCTGGAAACTTGTTTTAGTTTCTTATTTTTATTTTTTTTAAAGTTTTACTTGAACAATATGAATTAGAGCTGGGTTAGGTATCCAAGCACACTTTTTTGAAATCGTGCGTCTGTGGTGTAATGCTCAGCATGGTTGCCTTCCAAGCAATCGACACGGGTTCGATTCCCGTCAGACGCAGGCAGCTTTTTTGTACAAAACACGAAATTTTATTGCATATACTATCAGTAAAGTTGTCTGTAAAAGGCACAAAAAAATCTTTTTTGGACACACAAAGTTGTGGCCAAGCCACGGGGTCTTTTTTTGTCTTTTTTTAGTAGAACACGCAACTTTTTTTTGTTGTACAAGTGTAGTAAACCGTATTTGACGTTGTGTTACCTCTTTTAAAGCTTGGTTTTATAAGTTCAAAAAGAAAAATTTGTTGTTTTAAGGTCATTGTCAACGTAAAGTATAATATTTGTAAAAAATTTAGTTACAAGCTATTGGTGGCATTATATGTAATGCTTTAAACAAAAACACTTTAAAACAATAAAACTTCCTATTACAAAACCCAACTTTCAGCTGCATCACAAACGAAGTGAACACTCGTTTATCAAATCAGCGTATTCAAATTTGTCAAAATTGTGCTGCCAACCTTAAGCGGCGCGCCTACCGCAATTCAACCCTATAAAACACACACTTATCCTATGACATTCCAACTCATACACATATTTATTCTACAGTGATCTCAATTCAGATTGTTGATTTTTACTTTCGGAGCTTCGATCCGTATAATACAAATAAAGTTTTAACATTAATAAGTCAAAGTAATGGGTGGTACAACAAGGTAGTGAGCAGTACAGAAAGATAATGTGCAGTACAGCAAGGTAATGGGCAGTGTAGTAAGATAATGGACATTACATAATGGTGACTAATAGATAGGATGTGTAAAAAGTAATGAGCTACTCAACATGTTGTATAAAACATAATGAGCTATTGAAGCCCATATCACTATGAGAAACGTAGCTCATTACTTTTTATACAATTTTGTAAAGGTATTGCACTATGAAAAATGATGATAATAGGTTGTGGAACAGTAAAAGCAATATGAAAAAGTAAAGATTAAGTTAGAAATGACTTATTATAACCATAAGGGTTAGTTTAGTCATCTTTTGACGACGAAATGCTTAAAGAAAGGCCTTGAAACAGGTACCTAATGATAAAGAATTTAGTTAAATAGGATGAAGATGAGCATACTATACAGAATTTAAAACAAATTAAAGTTCAAAGCGAGTTGAGTTGATAGTAATCAAAGAATCCGCACCCATATCCACATGAGAACAAAGCTGTGGCATGGAATGATAATAGGTAAGAAGCTGAACCCCAGCCTCGTTCCAGTATATCATGGCTGCCAATATAAACAAATGCCACCACTGATGTGAGCATCCGATCAAATCAAACTTTCCCGGACAAAAACGTTCCGGAATCAGCGTGGCATAGAACACGAAGCCCATAGCCACCAATCCAAACATGATTATGATGGATGGTAGCCATGTGGCCACATGGGGGTTGTCGAAGCCACCATGGAGTTGAATCCAGTGGATTGTGGGGTAGATGCCGAAACTGGTTATGGCAATGTATGTGAGGTGAAGGTAGCCGATTCGTGTGTTACCTATTTTGGATGTGATTGCGTCCTTTTTGGCTGGTATATACAGGGCTAGAGCTACGATGCCGCTGAGTACTGATAAGTAGGTTTGGAGGGCGTTCTGAAGAAAGGCTTTGCATTATTTTTGGTTTGATGACTACTATGTGTTGCAGTTAGACCTCCTTAGTATGACACTCAAGGGACTGGTCTAAACCTGTCTTTGTAAGCAGAGTGCCACACGATAAAAGCAAGATAAAAAATGTAAAAACTCTTACATTAAAGCAATAAAACGACGTATAAATGCCACCCAAATACATTCCCAACAATCCAGCTGAAATGCCAAACACGTCCATCCTGAGCCACTTGTTCCTCTCGTACTCATTAATGCAACCAAACGTGTGGTATGCGGCTGATAGTATCATACAAAGTTGAGAACCGAATAGAGATAGACTGAACACAATATGGTCCATTTGTGGTGCATTTAGGGCTGGTAAAACTTGAAAATTGACCCGATATTGCATGTGGAGAAAGTAGAAGAAACCTATGAGATGGGACCAAATGTTGATGGTCTCGTTGTTCCATTGGAAGATACTGAAATGGGGGTTGATAGTAAAGTTAGCTTCTTTTTTGTTCTTGCTCTAAGGCTTAGGAAGAAGCGTTTACTTGACCTAAGATACTCTACCTTACCTTACCATACCCTACTTTACCCTACCATATCCTACATTTTTTGTCGTACCCTACCCTACCCCACGCACCAAATTTTAAATTCCCCGCCATACCTACGAACACAGAGATCTTTGGGCAAGTCCATTGGCCGGTAGTGGTTGTGTACATGTTCGTTGATCCACATCACCTGCTCAAGGTAGTGTTTTGTGACCAGCTTAATGCGACCATGCCGACGGCAATGGTTTGCCGCCCGACAACGTACGCATCGTCGCATTTGAGGGTATTAAGCGTTGATGGATAAGTTGTTGTGTTCGTTGTAGTAATGAAGGTATAAGGTTGAAAATCAAGGGTTGTAGCAACTGTATGAGTAGGTGTTTAGGGAAGGTAGTTGAGTATCTGAAAATATGAAAGTAATATAGTGTTACATAGTTTTAATGAGCGCAGTAGATCATCGTTTCAAACGAACGTGTCATAATCGTTTTATAATGTAATAATACAGTTGGTGGGTTGGTAGCGCAGTGGCTGTTGCGCCGCTAGCTATTCGGACGTGCCTTGGTATGACCCCGCGCGTCCAACCCAGGCTTCTTGAGCAGCGTGTAATACTCAGGGCGCCGAGACTAGTCTTATTGATACTTGGCTTACACGGGTTTGGTCTGCAAGATTGACCGCCAAAAAATAAGTTTTGAATTTCTCGCCAAATTGGTTTCAAGCTTATAACTTTGTCATTTTTTGACTTTTAATCATTTTTCTTTGATATACTAGCAGAAAACGATTAAATGAACCTAAACTTTTAAATTTGCATGCTTACCTTGTCTGAAAGTCGAAAAAAGTGCTTGAAACACAATGCCACAAATTTATCAAATTGGCGGGAAATTTAAATATTTTGATTTTAAAACAAAAGTGCGAGTTGAAATTTTTTATGGGTACTATTGGTGATACAAATAATTCATATAAAACACTTTGTTCTAATTCTGGGTTGGGCAGGCGGGATATTTTACTTGTTATTTGCTGGTTGGTTTGGGGAAGCTCTAACAACATTGTAAGATCTCGACATAAACGGTAGAAAAAGCAATACAAACTGAAAAAAAGCTGGAAAGAACTGTCAACTTCAGATTTTAAAAAGATTGAAAACAAGATTTCAAAAATCAAAGCAAAACTCAATTATGACACCACAGTTGCAAAGTTTATCTTAACATCCCATCACCCAAATAGCCCCAGAGAAACATAAGCAACGAAACGAATCAATCCGTCAACACTCGAAACAATTATAAGCCTGCTTCCTCCACATAACTCCATGACAAAATCACAAAATATGGATTTTTCGGTTCACGTTGCCGCTCACGCAATCGCCGCGCTCTCTTAAAGACAGCCGGCTCTATCTCTCTCTCAACCCTCTCCTCGAATCCGTCGCTGAAAGCCGAGCCTTCTCTCTATCAACGAACACTTTACGAAAATCTCGTCGAAAAACCAGTACTTTCGTCATTTTTGGGGAGAAAAAGTTACTAAATTTTCCGATCCAAAACGGTCAGAGAGCGAAATTGGCTTATGTAAGAATGATGAAAACAATTAGATGAATATTCGGGCTTGGTTTTAATTAAGTGAAAGGTAGGTCTTCGACTATGGCTTCGGCTAACACTAGGATTTTTTAGGCTAGGGCCAAGGCTGCAGCAGTTTGGCTATCTAAGAACTATAGTATGGCTAGAGTACAACATGACCTCTTATGGTTAAAGGCTGTGGCTGGACCTAGGCTGTTGCTAGGGCTTGCTCTGGGAGTACGGTTAGGGTAAGGTCTGAGGCTATGGCTAGGCTTAGGGCTATTATGTAGTAATGGCTCGGCTAGGCTATTGCTAGGTCTAGGGTATTGGCTAGGGCTTTTGTTATAATTTGTCTGAAAAGAACTAGCGCAGGAGGGTGAGGTATCACAGCTTGTAAGGATACGGTTATAGTAAGATAGGATATAGTAGGGTTGGGTAGGGTAATGCAGGGTAGGGTAGGGTGTGCTAAAGTACGGAAGGTAAAGCCGTCCCTACCTTTAAACCTAACCGTAAAAACCTAAATAGCCTAACAAAACGCAAAATAGAAAGAGGTGTTTAAAAATCACACTTCTCTAAAAATGATCATCCAAAAAACCTCACCAATCCTCACATAAAAAATGTCATCAAGTGCTAGCAGAAACTACAATAACTACAATATAACCCGCTGTTAACCCGGAAGTTTCTGTGAAAATTTGCAAATTTGAAAGTGAAAATTTGCGGAAAAACGGATGCGTATAATAAGAAACCACCTTCAGAAGTCGGGTTTCCGTCGTTTCAACGATCGGATTTCGGCGGTTTAGAAACGATCGCTCCTTTTCGCCCCGCTGTGTGCCGTCGTCGATTATGGGAGGCGAAAGTGAAAAAAGGCAATTCAATTCGAATTTGTTTTTTGAGTTTTTTCTTTGAACTTTAGGGGGTAGGGCTGAAATTTTTGGAGGGTAGAGCTAGCATTTGACTGGCTAAGAGTTAAGGTATAGCAAAGTTGAGATTAAAGCGCAGGTCAGTGCGTAGGTAGGACTAAAGGTCAAGATATGGCATAGGTAGGACTAAGTGTCACGGTACAGCAAGGGCTAAGGGTCGGGGCAATGCAAATGTACGAGACGTTAAGGCTTTGCCTACAGTTTAGGATCAGGCTTACCCTAAGGCTTTGGCTTAGCCTAACATTTAGACTACGGTTAGGTTACAAATAGAGTTTAGGCTAAACTTGAGGATCGGGCGTGGTCTACGGCTCATACTAACGCCAGGATTTAGGTTTGGGCTAAAGTTTCAGGGATTTGGCTAGCTTAGAGTTGTGGTAGGGCCATGGTACAGTACGATACATTAAGGTTAACGCTATAGCCCAACCCAGGCTATTGATATGGCATGGGCTAGAGCTAGGACTAGAGCCAAGGCTTGAGCTAGGACTAAAGCTGGGGAAGGGCGTCTACTTAGTTCTTGGGCTAGAGCTAGCGTCAGTTCTAGGGCTAGTGTTAAAGCTAAAGCTAAGGCTAGAGTGGTACAAAAACAAAAATACTGTAATTATTTTAAAAATTTATTAAGTTGTTGTTAAATTGAAAAAATATTAATTCCAAAAATTTAAAAAAAAATTAAATAAGCATAACATAACAATTGTTTTAAAACCAAGAAGTTTACTTAACAAACCACCTTCACTTGGTGGCAAAATGCTGGAACCTTCCACTGGTGGTTGTTCTGATTGTGCGGTAGCTTCAGCAATGATCAGAAGAAGTACAATGGTAAATAGCAACAGTTTCATAATAAAAAAAGATAAAAATAATCGAATTTTAAATTAAAATTTTTAGAAATGAAAGTGTTTTAAATTCGTGTTAATGTTTTATAACAAAATTTAAAATTCAATGAGGTTGTACAATTTGAGATGTAACAGATAGTTAAATAAACTATCCAATAAACTATATTATGGGACAGTGAAATTTGAAAATGATGTGATTGGAATGTATTTCATAAATATTTATGTATATGTAATCAGTGCTGGGCGGGTGACCCTGCCCTACTTTGCCTTGCCTTGCCTTGCCTTGCCTTGCCTTGCCTTGCCTTGCCTTGCCTTGCCTTGCCTTGCCTTGCCTTGCCTTGCCTTGCCTTGCCTTGCCTTGCCTTGCCTTGCCTTGCCTTTTATTGTCTTGTCTTGCCTTGCCTTGCTTTGCCTTGCCTTGCCTTGCCTTGCCTTGCCTTGCCTTGCCTTGCCTTGCCTTGCCTTGCCTTGCCTTGCCTTGCCTTGCCTTGCCTTGCCTTGCCTTGCCTTGCCTTTTATTGTCTTGTCTTGCCTTGCCTTGCCTTGCTTTGCCTTGCCTTGCCTTGCCTTGCCTTGTATTGTCTTGTCTTGTCTTGCCTTGCTTTGCCTCGTCGGGCCTTAATCCACCCTTATTATTCTACCCTACTGTACCATAAATACCCAGCTCTTACTACAGTACCAAACATAGATCAAAAACAACATAAATCACAGTACAATGAATTACCATAAGTAAAAACGAATAAATTTTGTCAGACTTTACTTATTTCAAAGACTTCGACCTTAAAATGCTAACACAAAAAAAAATGATTTTCAATTTTGGTCAAACCGGTCGGTCCATCAGCTCAATCTCGGCTTCCTTCACAACAACAAATTGAAAATTTGAGGACTAATGAACAAGACCAAAGGCCGAGGCCGTAAGTTTTCTTTTTTTGGTTAGTTAAGGAAGAAATGCTGAGGAGCGTTACGGTAAAACCGCTGTAAATTTAAAACGAAGGAAAACTTTAAAAAACCCTTTTGGTTGGTTAGTTGACAGAGTAAATGGGCTACAATTACTTTAAATTTTAAGCTTACAACTGTATTTTCAAAAGAGTTATGACTAAAAATAGGCATAAAATTACCATTTTTCACGATTTTTGTATACCATGGTTAATATAACTCATATCTCCGTTAACTTAAACCTTTTAAAGCCAACATTTAGTATAATATTAAAAATATATTGTAAAATAACATAAACGTGGTAAGATGCCATATTATTTTAGGTGGACCAATCAGTAAAGGGCCGAAAGCCGCTTCTCGACCAACCAGCAATAACACTAAAAACAGCACCAACACGAGTTGTAGCCGCACTGACAGCCGAAAACCGAGTCATGTAAAAAGGGAGAGGAAGGAGAAGCCGGACATTCTCAAACCTGAGGATAAACTTCAGTTCACCAAGTGCAAGTAAGGTTATGCTATATTACACTAGGTGTCTGATCTTGGAGCTTTGATTTTATAAATTTTTTGAGTTGTGATTGAATTTATGACATTTTTAAGCGTATATTGCTTATAAAAATATATTTCTTATCATATGTTATCATACTTTTGAGTAAAAGCAAAAAAACTGTGTGCAGCCTGCGAACTTCCGTAACCAACTTGCGCTCTCGCGTTTTCGCTAATTTGCAGCGATTTTTGCCGAAATTTCAGGATAAAAGTAAAAAACGTTCTTGGCCGAGGTGGATTTGGCCAAGTTTACAACGTTTTTCTCATTGACAAACCTTCACAAACCGGCGCTTTGAAGATCGAACCCGAGAAGACTGGTCACCGACTTTTGGCAAGTTTATGACATTATTTTGTCTCTGTAACTATTTTTTTAAACTTATTTTGTTCTTAAAATATTTTAAAAGGTCTAGGGTTTGTAGAAATTATGTTTGCAGTTTTGGTTCAATTGGTTTTCATGTTTTTTGCAATTTCAACTAAAAATTATATTATAGTAGCTTGATGGCTTTGCAGTTTTAATCATAACTTTTTTAAAATGATAGGTATCAACCTGAAAATTGGTGTGGTTGTAGATTGTTTATTTGGTCAACTAGTTTTGGAAATGAAATTTTAAATTTTGAGGTTGTTTGAAAGTGGCAGTAACTTTACTATAACGGTATGCAAACCCAAATTATTTCGATAATTTTTTTAAATAAAGTGAATTGTGAGCTTTGTAAAACATAATGATTAGTATATTCACAAAAAGTTTCAGCACAATATAGCATATTTTGGGAAAGTTATAATTATTTTAAAACCAGCAGTTCAAAATTCGATATGGGTACGGGTAAGCTACTGTAACCAGTGTTTGCATGGGCTCCGGAGCCGCTCCGGCTCCGGAGTCGGAGCTGGAGCCGGAGCTAAAATTCGAAAATGCTCGGAGCCGGAGCTGGAGCCGGAGCTTGATTTTTTTTGGCACGGCTCCGGCTCCGCACATTTTTTTTTCTTTTTTATTTTTTTTGCTGGGAGAAGAGAAGGGCGGGGCGGGGCTTGCGCCTTTCTCCCGAAAAGCGCTTTTTCTTCTCCTTTTCAAAAAGAAGGGCGGAGCTTACGGGTGCTTTTTCGGGGAAAAAGAGGACAAAAAACTTTTTTTTGCGATTTGTTGTGATATATTTCCCAAAAAGAAGAAACGAAACAAAAGGAGAGCGTGATCATATAGCGGAATGGATAAAGCGTTATCCATCGGTGTTGCACTCGCAGGTTCGAACCTCGCTGCGTGCAAACGCTTATTGCTTTTTGTTTGATTAAAAAAATGCTCTAAAAACACCACTAATAATATACTAAAACTTAATTACGACGCGACATTAGGCAGACCAGGCCAGGTTGAAGAAAAATTACAAACTTTTAGCTAGATTTACATTCAATCCTTTTACTTTAGCTACTAGATTCAGCCAGCATGAACAATTCTTTAGCAGATTGCAAGCAGTAGCCCTGTCGAAGTTTTGAAAATCTAAACGTGTTGGTCAGACAAAAGAGGCTAATACGGTTTAATAGTTCGTACACAAAGTAAAGTTTAACTTTGTTTTGTTAAATTATATATTTTTTTGTTACATCTTTCTATTTCTTATAATAAATGTTGTTATATATGGCAAAACACGTCAATAACACCAAATTTAACGGTTTTTAACCATTTTTAAAAAAATCTGACCCGGAGCCGGAGCCGGAGCGGACTAAAATAAGGGCTCCGGAGCCCGGAGCCGGAGCCGGAGCCCACTTTGAAAAAAGGTCGGAGCCGGAGCCGGAGCTGGAGCCAAAAATTTCAAAAATGCAAACACTGACTGTAACTTTTAAACAAAGATGAATTTTAAATTTTTGTTTTAACATTAGTTGTCAAAATGATTGATCGATAATTCCTGAGAATTTTGGATTGTTACTTAATTTTTTAAAAAAGTTATGCTTAAAAGTATAAGTACTGACTTAGTATAATATAACTTTTTTACAAAAATCGGCAATTTTTCCTAAGTTTACGTCTAAAGAAATATAATTTTTAGTTCGAAAGCCTGCTACTAACTCACATTCAACATTCGACTGGTGAAAAGAGTTTGTTTCCAAAGATTTACGACTATGGGACGACGATTGTTAACAATATTTCATATCGATATTGTTTATTCCAAATCTTGGGCACAAATTTGAGTGATCTGCGGCTGAAATATGGCAAAGATGGGAAGCTTTTGGAGAAGCCGACTTGTGCTCACGTTTCTCTTCAAACATTCAAGGTAATTTTGTTGTTTTGACATTGTTTTAGATGTTAATCTGAGATAGGTATCAAATACGTAAAGATTTAGCTAAAGTAATCTAATTTTTTTAATTTTTCGTATTTTCAGTCATTATGGGACTTTCATGAGCTTGGTTTTGGACATTTTGACATAAAACCCCAGAATTTTGTTTGTGGACGAGGGAGCGAAGAGGAGCGGATCTTCTTGATCGACTATGGTATTGGTCGATATTGCATGGACAATGGGGAGTTTATGTAAGTTTTTTATTGTGTTTTGTTGAATTTTAGGTTTTAGTTTTATAAAGGGTGGCAAATAGTATATATTTTGTAAAATACGAAGTGCTCTTCTATGAATGCTTTATCATAGATAATACATTTTAAAGCGATGGGTTTTAAAAATTAAAAAAGATATTAATATAGCATTTTACACAGTGATTTTGCATAGTTTTGTGGACGTTTTGGCGAAGTTTAGTTAAAATGGACTTGAAGTTACATGAGTTATGAGGTTTAGACTAATGTTGACTTTGGTCATCAAGGATAATATAATTTCATGAGTTTGTTCTCTAAAAATAAATATGGGATTAATATGAAACTTTACGTCATGATTCGACATAGTTTATTCATTGTAATTTTAAAATTTGATTTTGATTTGATTGCTTTAAAATGAGTAGCATCGTTTTCACCACAGTCATCATGGATAATATAACTTTATCTCGAATTTTTCTCTATAAATCGACATTTTCAGTTGCCCACCAACCAAGTACTCGTTTGCCGGCACTCCCAAGTACTGCTCTTTGAATTCGCATCGTCGTACGCATCCGGACCAGAAGGACGACCTGGAGAGCTGGCTGTACATGATGTTCGAGATCTTCAGTGAAAGCGGCTTGATCTGGTCGGGCAGAGATCCTGTTCCTAAAATTCAAGAACAAAAGCAGGGCTTGTTGAAGAACGCGGATGATGTGTTGAGTAAAGTGCCAGAAGTGTTCACGAAAGTGGCGGACAGCATAAATACGGGCGCTTATGGGAAGAAACCACCTCATTCGATATTGTACAAGGAGATGGAAGAGCATTTTACGAAGCAGGGATGGGTAAGGGGGCGTTTTTGGTGTTTTGGGTTGAGGAGGTTTAGTGTTTTGAGAAGGCATGGGAAGCTTATTTTTGAGTTTTTCTACTTGGGCGGGGTAAATTTTAAATTTTTTGAATGGGCAGATTTTTTTAGTTTTTAGGTAAAATAGGCTTGCTTTTGCCATTTTTAAAGTTAAAAAGCAATGTTTTAAAAAAAATTGAATTTTTAAACTTATTTTTAACTAACAATCTTCTCTATTTTCAGCTACCATGCCAAAAGGTCGAATGGATAGGGACACAAGAGAACGCCGAGCACATCACAATACAATGTGATCCGTTGGACGAGAAGGCCTTAAAGTCGCTGAAGTATGACGATTGGGACAGGATTGCTAAAAAGGCAATGCCGAAAGAGGCGTTCAGTGTAAGTTGATAAGGATTGTGGGGTCAAAAAGTTTAGGGAAAGAAGAGAAGGGTTAAAAAGTAGGGAGAAAAATAGAAATATGTTGTTTTAGAGGGGATTTCATTAACTTTTGGACCGATTGTAAAAAAATTTCTACTAACTTTTTGACCGGGTTACTTGTTATAAGGCCTTTAAAAACACTGCTTAAGAACTTTTTAACCAACTATGATGATTTTTGAAGGTAAAGTACGAAATATAATATACAGTGGAACTCCTGTATAACAAACAACTTTTAAATTCCCGTCTACCACTGCACAGTGCATTTAAAACTCCTGTATAACGAAACTCCTTTATAACGAACAAATTTCAAATCCCCGAGCGATTCGTTATACAGGAGTTCCACTGTAATAATATTATACAAGACGTTATTACTAATGATGACATTTTCAGAAAGTGAACATGTCCTTAACCAACATGAAGCAAAGTCTCAAAAGCCCCAAAAACGATGATAATATAGAGGATGCCGTAAGGGAACGAAAATGATCCAATGTTTCGTCTGTTTTACTGAATAAACACTTATATACTAACGGTTACTATGGTTTTTTACATTGTATTTTGGTTTACTGTGGCTTTTACAGTGTATTTTACTTTACTATGATTATTATTACAGTTTTCTTGGGTTTTGTGTGGTATATAGCTTTATATACGAAGGTTTTCTATGGTTTTTTGCTCTGTACTTGGATTTACTGTGGTATGAAGGTCTACATACGAAGGATCTTTTACACAGGTGTGGGTTATATTGCGGTAAAAGAATTTACTGCAATATAACTTACATATATGCACAGTAATTCAATTTACCATAGCCATTAACATTTATTTTCCAAATAAAATTAAACAAAATTAGTATAATAACGTTTTACTTTGACTTCAGCGTTCTTCACCGTCCCTATAAGCTTTAACGTGCTCACTCTGCCTCACAGTTTTCAATGTTTCCTACCGTTCTTTCTTCTACGTTTTCCATGATCTACACGAGTACCACGATCCTGAACATCTTCATCACGGTCACCATCATCTCTACGGCGTTTCCTATCATCATCACGTTCAGGTAGGTTATGATTGTTGACATTTCCACGTTCACGGCGATCTGAATGGCCATTACGGTTAATATTCTTATCTCTGTTCTTACCTTGAGTTTTAGATGCTGCTCTTGAAGGTTTTGCTTCATTGGGACGTCGTTTAGAAGGCTTTACTTCATCTTGAGGACCTTCGGATGCTTCTCTTTCCTCATGTTGACTTCTTGAAGGCTTGGCTTCATCGTAACGTCGTTTAGAAGGCTTTACTTCATCTCCTAGACTTCTGGATTCTTTTTCTTTTAGTTGACGACTTCTTGAAGGTTTTGCTTCATTGTGTCGACTTCTTGAAGGCTTTGCTACATTCTGACGTTTTCTAGAAGACCTTACTTCTTCTTCTACGCTTACGGAAAGCTCTTCTTTATCGTGGCGACTTCTTGAAGGCTTTGCTACATCCTGACGTTTTCTAGAAGGCTTTACTTTATCTTCTAAGCTTACGGAAAGTTCTTCTTCATCTCGACGTCTTTTAGAAGGCTTTACTTTATCCTGACGTTTTCTCGAAGGCTTTACTTTATCTCGAGAACTAATGGATTCTTCTTCTTCGTCATAACGCCGTTTATGAGGTTTTCTTCCATCGTTCAGACTTCTAGAAGGTATTTTTTCATCTTGACGACGTTTTGAAGGTCCAGCTTTATCACGGCTCCGTTTTGAAAGTTCAGCTTTACCTCTACGAATTCTCAGACGCTTTTCTTGATCTTCTTGGCGTCCTGACGATGTTGAATCAGATGGAGAGCTTTCTGATTTTGAAGGACCAAAGGTACGATAAAACAACTCATCTTCTGAGTCTTCTGAAGCCGATTGGTCATCAAATTCCTCTTCATAGCGTTTTGATGCGGCTTGGCGACTCCTGGAAGGCTCAGCTTGATTTCGACGTTGTTTAGTAGGCTTGTTTTCATCGTTACGTCTTCTGAAAGATTTTTCGGGATCGTGACGACTTCTTGAAGGCCTAGCTTGATTTTGACATCTTTTAGAAGGCTTTGCTTCATCGTGACGTCGTTTAGAAGGACTTGCTTCATCGCGACGGCTTCTAGAAGGCTTTACGTCATCATAACGGCTTCTAAATCTCTTGTCTTGATCTTGTCGACGTCCTGATGACGTTGAATCAGATGGAGAACTTTCTGATTCGGAAGAATCAAAACTACGAGAAACCTTATTATTATCCAAGTCTTCTGAAGCCGATCGATCATTAGATTTATCGTGACGATTTTTTGAAGAATTCACTTCATCTCGGCGACTTCTTAACGGTTTAGCCGCATTTTGAGGTCGTTTACTAGGCTTTCCATCATCTTGGCGACTTCTAACAAAACCTGTTTTGTCTTGGCGACTTCTGGACGTTTTAACTTCAGCGTAGCGACTTCTGGACTTCTTCGCTTCATTTTGCCTACTTCTGAATCCTTTTTCAGCTACTCGTTGGCTTCTTGAAGGTCTTGGTTTATCGTTACGACGTCTTGGAGGTTCATCTTCATTGTCATTCAGGCTTGAATCAGATTGAGAGCTTTGAGATTCTGGTGAATCAAAGGAACGGGAATCCAAGTCACTCTCTGAGTCTTCTGAAGCTGATCCTTTGTAGCGACGACTTCTAGAAGGCTTTGGGTTACTTTGATGGCTTCTTGGAGGCATTGACTGATCTTGACGGCTTCTGGAATGCTTCGACTGATCGTGACGACGTCTGGAAGGTTTTGATTTACCTTCACGGCTTTTGGGTGGCTTTGATTCATAGTGACGCCTTCCAGAAGGCTTTTGCTTCTTCAATGGGCTATCCTGTTTATCTTGGACCGGCTGACGTCTTTTTCTGTCTTTTACCGGTCGATTTTTATTACTTTTTACCTTTTGATCTTCGTATTGATCTTCTTTTTCTTCTACTTCGCCTTCTTTTTCTTCTTCTTCTACTTCTACTTTTATTTCTTTATCTTTTCTACTTTTCAAGATACCTTTGAGAGGTTGTACTGGCCGATCATCGTCACCTTCAGGTTCCTGATCTTCTTCATCGTCATATTCTTGATCTTGACAGCTTTCAGAATCATCACCTTCATTAGCTCCAGTTGATTGATCGTTACTATCTTCACTACCTTCATCAGATTGATCATGTCCATCTTCGTCCACTTGATCTCCACTATCTTCATGCTCTTGATCTTCATCATCTTCATTCTCTTGGCCAACACTATCTCTATCTGACTGACCATCACTACCTCCATCTGAATGGTCATCACTATCTCCATCGAATTGATCATCACTACTTCCATCTGATCGACCATCACTACCTTCACTATGTTCACCAGTACTACCCTGATCTTCACTACCTTCACCTTCTTGACCATCAACTTCTCCGTTCAAATCCGTCATGCTCTTTTGTCGACGTTGATTGGTCCGAGATTCAAGAAACTTTTTCAAATTTTCGTACTCTTCTGCTGCATCTGGAGCTGATGATCTAACACTAGTCACTGAATCAGCATTTCGTCTTCTTCGAGCTCGAGCACGTTTGACTGGCTTTTGGCTAGGGGTGCCGTTATCATCTGTAGATGTAGATCTTGATTTGGTTGATGATTTGGAAGCTGAAGCAGCTAGTGATTTGGGTGATGATCTTTTACCTTGATCCGGCACTGATCGGCGTGGTGATTTGTCTTTCTTCCCGGCAGGTACTGATCTGGAAGATGATCTTCTACCTTGATCTGACACTGATCGGCGTGGTGGTTCACTATCAGAAGTAGACATTGATCTGGAAGCTGATCTTCTACCTTGACTTCTTAATGATCTAGCTGATGATCTTCTACCGTTACGTGGTACTGATCTGGAAGCTGATCTTCTACGTTGATTTCGCACTGATCTTCTACCTTGATCTGGCACTGATCGGCATGGTGAATTGTTATCCTTCCGGGCTGGTACTCGACTTGAAGCCAATTTTCTACGCCGGAGAGATGGTGATAGACGAGGTGTACTGTTATCACGAGCAGGTACTGACCTTCTGAGTGATTTTTTGGAACGATCAGGTAACGATTGGTCATCAGAGGTGTCAGAACTATCAGATGATGATAGATTATGAGAGCTGTTATCATAACTATTTGACGATGTGTCATCAGAACGGTCATCACGAGTACCATGAGTACCAGTATGTGAAGATCGGCCACCAGTATTGTCATCACGAGTACCATGAGTACGAGTACGTGACGGCCGGCCACCAGAATTGTCATTAGCAGTACCAGTATGTGACGAAAGTGTACCAGAATAGTCATCACCACTACCAGTATATGACAATTGAGCATTTGATCTACTATGCTTTGTAGGTAATGATCGGCGTGGCGATTTACGAGTCCGTGTAGCTGATGACCTACTGAGTGTAAATTCATCACCAGTATATGAAGATTGGTCATCAGTAGTGTCTTCACTATCCGATGGCAATCGGGCAGGCATCGTTCTCTTGATGGCAGGTGTCGTCTTGTTACGGGCAGGTGATTTTTGTTTCCGGACTGGTACTGGTCGGGCAGGTGAATTCTTTGTACGGGTTGGTACTGGTCGGGCAGGTAATTTCCTCTCCCCGGCTGGTACTGGTATGGCAGGTGACTTTTTAGTACGGTCTGGTGATAAGCTGTCATCAGAATTGTCAGCACTATCAGCTGGCAATCGGGCGGGTAATTTTCGATTCCGGGCAGGTGATTTTTGATCTCGGGCAGGTACTTTTCGATTTTGGCCAGGTAATGGCTCCGGATCTTTATCACGAGTTGTTGATCGACTCCGACGGCCACGGCGATACCTTGGGTCTGGTACATCTTTGTGGTTTTCGACTTCCCAAGGGTAACGAGAAGTTGGGGTTTCACTGAAAGAGCATAGTCATAAAGTTTAGTTAAGATCTTTAACTTGACCTACTTTACTCTAACCTACTCTACCATACTCTACCTTATCCTACTATACCTTACCTTATTCTATCCTATCTTACTGTGCCCTACCATACCCTATCTTACTCTACTCTTCTTTTTTCTACTTTATTCTACTCTATTTTTCTCTACCCTACACTACTATGCTCTATCCTACCCTTTGCTACCATTATTGACCTTATCCCGCTCTACCCTACTTTATCCTACCTTTACCTCTACCTTACCCGTCCTGAAAAATCAGCCCAAACTAAGAAAAACTGATTTCCCATTTGAAAAACTTACCATGGTGTAGTAGGTCTAGCCCTGGGTTGACCTTTTCGACTTTGTTTTTGTTCTTTCACTGGCTTCTCGTCTTCAGAAGCTTCAGAATCTTTTTTTTCAGGCTTTGGCGTTAACAACTCTCGTCGACGACCACCTTTTGATGACATTTGGCTATTCGATGAATATTTGATTAAAAAAAAATAAATTCTCAACCGCTTAGTTGTGAGCGGTGAAAATGGCAATGAATTTTTGAAAAATGGGAAATTTTCATTTTGAAATTTTTTAAAAATTTTATAAAATTTTTATTTTTTGGCAGTAGAGTAGGGTAGGGTGGGGTAGAGTAGGATATGGTAGTATAGGATAGGGATCAAACAGAGTAGGGTAGAGCACGTCGGGGTAGGGTACAGAGGGGTAGTATAAGGTAGACATGGGATAAGGTAGGTTATGGCAAAATTATAACGTAATGAAAGTAGGGCAGGGTTTTAAACGTGAAGTTAGGTAAAAATAGGGAATGGTAGGTTACGGTAGGGTCTATTGTGGGAGACCACCCTACCCCGCTCTCTGTCCTACCCTACTCTACCTTAGCTTGCCCTACCTGCAAGCCTTTTTTTCTCAGGATATCTTTCAAGTAAGTCCTTTCTATCGCAATATTCTCCAAGCTAGTAACAGTGTTCTTTATTATTATGAATGCACTTTAAGTGTATGAGAGAAATAATTTAGAAAAATGGGATTTAAGAGATTTCCAACCAACGCTATAACAAACAAAAAATACATTTCTCAACCATCAAAGAAGCCAAATCATCGTCAGAAGCTGTCAATATCATCATTATGGATCATAAATCGAGACAAATACCAAACTACCATCAATCTTCATCAGAATACCAACGATAATACGACTAGTATTCATCAGAGGTCAAGGATAATATGAAGAATATTCATCTCAAGCTGATCCAAAATCCAATTTTTCTCAATCTTCATCTGAACTTAGGATCTCTCCTTCTGACAAATCTTCCTCATTGACCACCTTCTTTGGTTTCTTCGGTTTTGGTGCTTCTGGCTCTTTTTCTTTCGCCGCTTCTGGTGCTTGTGGCGTATAAACGGTACCATTCTTGTTTGACGGTGGTGGTCCATTGTAGTTTCGGCCGTTTCGGAAGCGGGAGCGGTCTGAAATTTAATTTTTATTAAAATTTTTTTTTCCAAAAACCAATTTTTTACCCAAATTTCAATTTTTGTCAATTCCACCCCTCTACTACAACATATTTCCTCTAAAACAACTCAAAATCCCTTCAGTTATACCCAAAAATGTCTTTTATTTACTCCTTTCCCCTTTCCTTTCGCTTCCTGTGCGGCCCGAAGAGAGCACACCCCGTCGCCATGATAGCTCAGTTGGGAGAGCGTTAGACTGAAGATCTAAAGGTCACCGGTTCGATCCCGGTTCGTGGCATTTTGCGGGGCGGCCCGTTTTTTGGCCAGAAATGCAACAATAATGCTTTTTTAGCCTTCAAATTTTTGTTTTAGCTTTCAGTCCAATTAAAAATGTCATGTTTTAGGCAAAATGTGTAAAAATTAGCCAGTTTTTAACATTTATTCAACCTTTTTCCTAAAAATTCTCTAAAAAACGCTATTTTTGGCCCGAAAAAGTCATTTTACAGCCAAAATAGCTATCCAAATCTAAATTTTTACTTCCTCCACACCTCGTACTTTAATCCCCATACCCTTGGCTATCCAAAACCACTCCCAACCCCCAAAAAACCCAGCTCTTACCCGGTGAAATGTCCCTTAATCTGGGCGGAGCGTTCCTTCGATCCCTTCTGTGGTCCCAGTCATCTCGGCGTTCGAATCGTCGTGGTGGTGATCGCTCACGTTTTCGTATGTCCATCAATGGTGGTGGGCCTCTCGACGAGTCTTCGTGGAATGGTCGGTCCATCATTGGGGGGTTTTGCCATGGTGAAGGTCCTATTCGGTCTCTTTGTGGGAATACTGGTCCCATTGGTTGGAGATCGCCGCGTTGCTGAAAAGGTGAAGTTTAATGGCATTTTAACGTCTTGTTAAACAGTTTCAAAATTTTTTTTAATTTTTAAAAATTCAAAAAAATTTTTGGCCAAAAACCTCTAAAAAAATCACACTTAAAGCTTCAAAACCCACCTCAATGGCCCTCCGATGAGCCTGAACGTTACTGGTGTGCCGTGAGTAGAAGTTCAGTGTCCTTTGAGCTCTCATATCCAGCAATAGGCCTGCTCTTATCATCAGAATGTACTTTACAATGGCCCCTTTCACTACCTCAACATTCGATTCATTTGTGACTTTTTGGTCGAATTTAGGCTTGACTAATGAGTTCTGCCAGTCCATTAAAGCATTAACCTCTTCGTCCTTCAGGGCTATTAGGGGTGGCTTGGCCTTGGTGGAGCTGGCTTGGCGATGGAGTTCTGAGTCTGGTTGGGTTTTTGTGGCCAGGACTAGGGGGTCTGGAATTTTGGACTAATTAAAAATGGTCTTTTTGAGTAAAATTCGACCCCAAAAATAATTTTTTTTTTAATTTTCAAAATTTCATTTTAAATTTTTTTTTATAAAAGACCCTCCCCGCCCCCTAAAAACAGTATTACTCACTAGCCCAAATAGCTGTGAAATTGTTGTCGTCCATGACTTCAAAGTTGACGTGTGGTACATAATTTTCGAGTGGAGATTCCGAGCCTAAAATGGCATCTGGAGGCATTCCGAGATCAGGGAGTAAGTGTGGTATCCTGCCATTTAGGATAAACTCTCGTCTTAGCTCCATTAGCATTAGTCCAATTCGGTTTCCACCAACAAATGGCGGCCTGAAGGCCATCGGGCGTTGGAATAGGTCGATCAGCTAAAAGTTGATATATAAATTGTGAACCAAAGAACTACGGAACGTATTTTACATTTTTAGATACCTTTTTAAATGCTTTCAACATTATACTAATATCATTTCTGAATCTACCTTCATTTGCGCAAAAAATTATTTTTTTCATAATTTATGGAATTTTCATTTTTAAAAGTTTAAAAAATCATAACCCCCGAGGCAATAAAGAAAAATTTATGAAACGTCGCTCAAATATAGTTTATTATCTCCTCTACAAACGAGTTAAAACGACTTTTCAGAAAATCGCCCCGCCCAACTGTTATAACACTATATTTCCACCCCACTCTAAAAACGTTTACAAAATCCAAATTTTTAAAATTTCAAAAAATCAACTCCTCAAACAATAAAGCTAAATTTACCAAAATTTACTCAAATGTACTCTAATAGATCCTCTATCATTCCTTAAAAAATAATAGTCTCTAAACCACCCACCTCCCTGGTACAACTTTTTTTTCAACTCCTCTCCATATTTTTCAAAAAAGTAGATTTTTTTAATTTCAAAAAATTATAACTCCTGAGGCAATAAAGCTAAGCTTCCAATACTTCCCTCAAATATACCCTGTTAGCTACACTATCTCCTCTACCAAAAACCATTACTCCAAATCCACCCACCTCTCTAGTATTGTACTTGATCTGAGCACACCACAGCCTCAAGTCTCGTTCGCGCATTCCCACGCTCAATTCGGCTTCTGAAGATGCGAACCTCGAACAACACATCAGTAACGCATCTTCTGTTTCTAATAATGCCCTTAGTAAGGGTGGATGTGTTTGGAACTGATACCGCGAGGCTTCTTTTAGGGCTGCTTGTCGTTCTTCGTAGTACCATAACTGAAGTTTCTCTTTGGAAATGTTAAGTTCATGTATAATGTAGTGTAGGTACGACCATACTTCTAAAGTGTCTAAGATATTGTGTAAGAATTGTTCTGTTTCTTCATCAATGTCAAAAAATCTGAAAAAAATTTTAGATAACAATTTTGTTTCAAAAATCAAAAATTTTAAAAAAATTAAAAACGGTCCCCTTTTATGCCTAAAATAACATCAAAACAACCTTCAAAACCACAAAAACCTTTTTTAAATACTAAAAAATACAATTTTTTATTCAAATGGTCCCATCCCCGTTTTGGAATGAAGAAAAACAAGGAACTCCACCCCGTCGCCATGATAGCTCAGTTGGGAGAGCGTTAGACTGAAGATCTAAAGGTCACCGGTTCGATCCCGGTTCGTGGCATTTTGCGGGGCGGCCCGTTTTTTGGCCAAAAATGCAAAAATAATGTTTTTTAAACTCTATAAACTTTGCTTTTTCTTGTAGTCATATTAAAAATGTCATTTTTGAGGTAAAAGGTGTGAAAATGGCCCAACCTTGGACGTTTTTAAAGAAATATCTTCAAAAAATCAATTTTTGTGAAAAATTCAGTTTTTCTGACAAAACTAAAAGTGACATACTTCCAATTTCGTTCTTAAATTGCAGATTAATATGTTGACTTTAAGATATGTTGCCTTTTACCCCACATTTTTTTCAAAATTCGCAAAAAAAATATAAAAAATCTCGCTACAACCCCAGTAAAAAGCCCTCAAACCCCCAAAAAACACCCCTTAAAGCCCTAAACCACCCCCCCCATCGCCTTACTTTATAGCTCTATGCACCACCCAGTGAATGGGACTCTTGTATGTTACAGTATCCACATAAATTTCGGCCGGATATAGTGGATGGAGTACACTTTCAGGTGTGAAACATATCATATGAGCCGAGACGCCGCTCTTGACTGGATTCGAAATGATGGGCGAGACTAGCGGGATTCGCTCACTGATCTGCTGTGCCAGCCTTCGCCTCAGTTCCATGAGGAAGATGCCTGACCGGTTGCCTTGAAGGTGGGTTAGATGTTTAGGGGGTTCTTTTCGCTCGCACATGTAGTCGATTATGTCATTTGGGGTGATGTGGGGCTTGGCCAGGAGGTTTTGAAGTTCGAATTCGTCGACGCTTGAGGGCCATTGTCTTTCGGCGGTGTCTGAAATAAAATAATGTTACCGAAAAAAAATTTTCAAAATTGTTACCTAAAATCACATTTTTAGAAAATTTTTTACCTAAAACAACAGTTTTTAGAAATTTGTTACCTAAATCCCATTTTCTAACAATTTGTTACCTAAAACTAACTTACCAGCACAATCCAACAAAATCGCGAATCCGGTGCTCAGAAGAAGTTGTTGTAAATCGTTATTCTTCATGAATTTATGTTTCATCGCTGATTGTCGCCACCGGTCCATTTTTAGCTTTTTATGAGCAAACTCGCCTGGATCTAGCTAAAACAACATAACCTAAGCGTTTTTTAAATTTTTTTTAAAAAATTGTTACCTAAAATAACTTTTTTTTAAATTTGTTACCTAAAATTACATTTTTTGACAAATTTGCTACCTAAAAAACATTTTTTCTTAATTTGTTACCTAAAATTACATTTTTTTCAAAATTTGTTACCTAAAAACATTATAAACCCACCTTTAGCCTCTTAGCTATCCTGTTAGCCACCAATGGTAAATCTGCTGGTTTTACCGTGGTTCTTAGCTTCATGATCTCGGATTCGTCTAGCTTCAGGGCTTCGAACAACCTTTGATATGCGTAATGTTCAACTGATCTGTATATGTCACCCTTCAGCTCGAGTTGTGATGCGTAATAGCTGCTCAGCGGTCGGAAAATGCCCTAAATCATTTTTTAAACTTCATTTTTAATCTGATTTTCAATTTTTTTACAAATTTAGATTATAAACAACGTTTTTTAATTGAGTATCACCTTTTTAAAACCAAATATTACCTAAAAAATGACTTTTAGCTAACACGTTACCTAAAAACCAAAATAACTTACCTCCAAAGCTATAACAAAGTTAGAAGCTGACACTTTGGCTACATTTTCTCCATCCGTATCTATATTTATACCATCGACTTCTACTTCCGAGCATGTCGTCCATTTCTCGGTCTGTTTTGTCCTATAACAATATAATTGTTTTTACCCATACTTAGACGTAATTTTAAGCTTATGAACAGCATAATAAATGATTCTTATTTTACAAAAACCAAAATTCTTAAATCTTTGTACCTAAAAATCAAAAACACTGTCAAAAAATAAAAAACTTACTTGATTTCGTATCTTGTCCACATTAAGAAGAAGCCGAGTTGATTATTCCCAATTTCGGCCGGTTTACTCGATGGATCCGACATCCATCGACTCACCACATCAAAGCCAACCTTATGTCGCTTCATAAAATCCACAAAAGCATCTTCTTCCATCCCGATTCCAAGCTCAGCATCACGACGATCACAGACTATCAACAACCCATTCTCCGTCTCCAGTAAAGCTTGAACAAACTCTGAAAAGTAATTTTGAAATCTTCATAATTATGTTGCAGCATGATAAGACAATGGTAAACGTGTGCTCTAGATTTGGTTCCATTTCATCTAACCATTAAAAAGTTATGGATAAAAAACGAGATGTTATAGTACGTAATTAATCATAAGACCTTGTTTTTTCAAAATTTAGTTTTCACGTCACACAAAACCTTAACATCGCCTTCCTAATGGTCTTTCACAACTATGTAATTAAATCCATATCCATTAACTATTTTTAAAGTTACGGCAAAATTTTCATACCTACCCCGAGTTAATGCCTAAAACAATATCATTCGCTATTTTATAAGCTCAAACCATTTTCTATCAAAACCTAACTTTTGCATAACGTAAACAAGACCCTTCTGCATCTGTTTTTATCAATTTGCCTTCTTGTACCTAAAATTCAAAATAAAAAACATTAAAAACTTACTTTCATCTTGTTCAGCTCGTAGTTGCAAAGCCGAAACCGTGAAACTGTTCCTGGAACTGACCAAATATTGTGCCAGCGAATTCATATCATGACCTTGAGGCATGTTCTCCTGTAGCAGCTCCCTGGCCTTTCTCGGAACATCGGCCGAAGCTGTAGCTAACAGTTCGAGGACATGAACTTCGTCCAGCCCGAGCTGGCTCAATATCATCGCATGAGCATAATGATCCGCCGACGGGTATCTTGAACCATTAAAAATGAATTAATAACATCCTCTTTTGGCAAATTTTACAAAAGACGAGATTAAACAGTGAAAACAGCTAATTTAACATAAGAAACATCAAATTTAACGAATTTAGATACCTTTTCCCGCCCTGACTTAACGCAAAATTATAGCCGCAATGTAGAATGTCAGTCTCGTTCCCAATTAGTACAATACGACCGTCGCCCATTCTGTGTAGGCAAGAAGCCAAAAAGGACGGGCAAAGTTAGGCGCCGAAAATAAAATAAATTAAAGCGGAACACTTGGCCCGAAAAGTGAAAGAAAGCGCGAAACTTGGCGCGAATGAAAGATGGTTGGAGTTTTTTTCGGATTTTCGCTTCGAAAAAGTTTGAATTCTAGATGAAAACGGTTGAAAAAGATTCAGAATAGATTGGAGAATATTTTTTGTATTATGGAAGTGTTAAATTGTCGGTTGTTTAATGTTAAATTGACAAAGTTCAATTGATTTTGTCTTAATTTTGAAAAGGAAGGGTGTACTACATTATTTTTTAATGTAACTTTTTTAAAAATGAAGATGCAAAGTTGAAGTTTGGTGTTATTATAGCTTGTTTCTTTTGGCATCTGGGACAAAAAAGAAAATTTTGAAATTTGCAGTAGTTTGAAAGTTAGAGTAATTTTACCGTACCCTACTTTTTTCAGTTTTCACATAAACAAATGGCCAAGACTTGAAAGTACAAGCCTTGCCAATGTTCAAAATACTTCAAAAAGTTTTAAAACTCTATTTAAAAACATATGTAACAAGATGTTCCTTAAAGACCCAAAAAATATGTTATACATCACGTTTACTACCATATAATCTCATAACAATATCAGTTTCGGATAAATTAGTGTTTGTGGAGGGTTTTGAAGACTTCATCACAAGGTGGTGGACTTATTCCCAATTCTTTTTGAAGTACATGAGCACTCATCGACACGACTTCAGCAACGGATTCACAGGTATGACGATCCGTGAGGTCTAAGTTGTCGTAGATCGCCTGGAATCGGTTGATTTTAAATTGGAAACTTGTTGAAATATAGATCATAGGGAATTAAACGAGGATTAATATACGGGCTTTTGATTTGGTAAAATACAGTGGGCTGACGTCGGTCGTTTAGGCTTAAAAACAGCTATTTTGCATGGTTTTTTGGCGATTTTTTTGAATTTAAAAGTTTTTTCAAAATTTTTGGAAAAGTTTGACATACCCTGATCTCAGCTTCAAGTTCTCGTCCAGCAACACTTAAATGTTCAGCTTTTCTATCCAGCTGAGCGTTTCTGGCGTGATCTCTTTGTTCAAAGTTGTCCATTGATTGTTTGTAAAGGGCCTAAAACATAAACTTGATTTTTATGCCAAAATCTACTTTGAAATTCATTTTTGATTATATTTTTAATCAAAATTCATTTTAAAACCTTAATTTTGATAAGAAACAATATTAATATAGGTTTGCGAAGCAATTTGATCCCATTCGTAAGCGGGAACGAACGGGCCGACCATAGCTCAGTTGGTAGAGCGGAGGACTGTAGTTCAAGCGGTAATCCTTAGGTCGCTGGTTCGAATCCGGCTGGTCGGAAATTGTTTTTTGCGTCTTTTAATGGGGTCATTTTGGCAAAACTTATATTAATATAAAGTAGAAAAGATTTTTTGATGTATCAATATTATCTTTGATATCTGTATTTTACTTTTTTATCACTTTTTGTGTCAAAATCATCAAAAAAAGTTGAAAATTACTAAAAATAGTAATTTTTTGGCTGAAGTTATTTGTGATTGCCATAACTTTTGCCGTTTTAAGTTAAAGTGAATCAAAATTGCAGTAAATATAGCTTATCATTTTGTCTTTCATTACTCCAAAAATTGTTTAGATCCACCGACATTAATATGGACTACTAACTCATTTCCGGACCTCTACCTCAATATCAGAATTTTGTTGTCTATGTCAATATAAAATGCTTGTAAAATGAAAAGTACTTGGCTTTATTAGTATTACTTTAATAAATATTGTAGATAATAGTGTTTACTTGTCTTAGACCTTAAAAAAATTTAAAATTTTCAAATTTACTATTAATCGGAATATGTCGTATTTTACCCTACCTGAATCTGTGGTGACTGATTCTCGACCCAATCATCCATCATTTCGAGTGTCTGTCGTTTAGTGAGGTCAGGATCGTAGACTATTTCCTTGACTTGTTGTAGCTTCTCACCTTGTAGTCCTTTCAGTAGGTCCCAGAAGCGTTCAGCTGGCCCATGGTCGTACAGGGCGGTTACTGTAGCAAAACACAAGAAAACAATAAAAAATTTCATTTTTACCAATTTGTACACCAAGTTATAAGCTTATAAAAAGAGTACCTGAAAAAGTCTTTGTGTTACTTACAATTGTCAGTAGGGTCTAGAAGTTACAGTATAACTACAGTAATCGCGGAGAAAATTACAGTAAACACGTTTTAATATAGTTTCAAAGTGTAAAATGCGGATTGTAAATTCTGTATTTCCATTTAGCATAAAATGACTAAATTTTAATTTTTTTTGCAAAAAGGGACATGTTATTAGGGGTGAGAAAAGGGCCGGGCCCACTTTTTAGGCCCGGCCCAGGCCCGGGGCCCAACGTTTAGGCCTGGCCGTTTTCAATTTTCTCTCAGGCCGGCCCGGCCCGGTCAGAAAATTTCTAAGCCCGGCCCGTTTTAAAAAATTTTAAAAATTTTAAAACTTAAAAAATAAACAGAAATTTGGCTTTGCATTGTTCTTTTAGATCATTTATGTATCATGGTACCCAATAAAATCAAAAAACATCAACGGGGATTAAAATTAAAAATTTTTAAAAATTAAAAAATTTTTTTTTCGGGGTTGGGCCCAATTTTCAAGCCCGGCCCGCGGGCCGGGTCTAACCTTTGGGCCCGACCCGTTTCAATTTTAGCTCAAGGCCGAGCCGGGCCGGGCCTAGACGGCCCGTTTCTCACCCCTACATGTTATACGACCAAACATTTCTTCACAAATATCCAAAACTTCATAATTACAGTAAGACATCGTACTAAAATAACCAATTTAACCTTGAAAAAGTTAGGATTTATCACAAATGTAACTTTTTATGTTCAATTTTTATTATTTTTACAATTAGTGACATGTTATACGATGAAATGTGTTTTGACAAAAACATAAAATTAATGTGCTTAAAGTATTAAAATTACGATCAAAAGTATTTAGAAACGACGGAAATGCACTATATTTTAATTTTTATCGATCAATTTTCTAAAAAGCGACATGTTATACGATGAAAAGTGTTTTGAGAAAAATCCAAAATTATAGTAAGAAATGGGTAAACAGTATTACAAGTAGTTGAACAAGCTTTAAAACGGTACAGAATTTAGTTTTGATCTTATTTTCAACCTTTTCTAACTTTACTGCCCAAATTTTAAAATTTTGAGTTGAGCCAACCGGCTGTCACTAAGCGCAAATTTCATATAAAACCAAAAATCTCATACAGCATGAGGTCGAGTGCTCTACCGTACGCACGTCAAAGCCGAACATGTGTAAATTTCAACATAATCAACTTCCGTGAGCTCTTGACGTTGGGCTAGAGAGGCATCCCCCAGGTTCGAGTGCTGCCAATTCAATTTGTTTGTTTTCGAATTTCACAAAACCCGCCTTTCACACAATGCATACAAAAACGCTTGGAAATGTATAGAGCTTTATGTATATTTGGTTGATTTCATATAGTTTTGAGCAAATATGAAGTATATTGTGTTAGATGGGGTTATGGATAATATAAAGCAAAATCAAAATTTTTGTAAATATTTTTTAATATTTTGAAAGTAGACAACGATAAAGGCTTACAAATAAAATTTTTTTCTATTTTAGTCTAGACAGAACTTTAGTCTAGCCATAGAAACAATAAAACAAGAAAAACATGTTTGATAGTATAAAATGTCACCTGTTTTTAAAAAAATGCTGTTTTAATAAAAAATAGTGACAGACAAAGCTATATAAACAAGTATAATAGCAATTTTAAAAGAGTTTTCAAAAAGGTACAGTGCTTATTTTGTAAAATACGCTGCATGCATGTTTCATCGTATAAAATGTCTCTTTTTTAAAAAAATGCAATTTTAATAACAAATATCAGAAATATAAACAATGAAAAGCCAAGAAAATACATTTTTTTCTATTTTAGTCCAATCAGAACCTTAGTCTAGTCACATAAACAATAAAACAAGAAAAACATGTTTCATCGTATAACATGTCACTTTTTTTCAAAAAATGTAGGTTTAATAAACAAATATTGAAAAATGAGGTTATAAATGTATATTACAATAATTTTAATAAAGTTTTCAAAAAGTTACTGTATTTATCTAGTAAAATACGCAACATGAAATGCAAAGTTTTATTTTTTAAAATAACAATAATTCTCAAAAAATTTGCTTAAATTTCGAAAAAATTGCTAAAAAATTAGTTTTGCATTTTTTATAATGTCATAAATTTGAGAAATCATATATTACTATTGTAATATACGATAATATAAGTTTTATAGCTTTTGATGTTTCGTTTTAGAGAAATGCAATTTTATTACGATTTTTAGCATAATTATAACAAGGAAGCTGGATTTGTGACAAAAATGATTAAAAATTTATTGATTTTTAATAAAAATGGTTTAAAATTGCTATAACAATATAAAAAGACCATAATATGTGTAACTTGGGTTTGCAATGCACATAGTGACGATAATGACAACAAAGGGCGTATTTTACATAAAAAAAATTATTTTTCAACATTCCAATTAATTTTTATATTGTCCTCAATATGAATATTCACTATTAAAACAGCAATTGATCGTTTCTGTAAGCCTCGTCGGATGTGCCGACCATAGCTCAGTTGGTAGAGCGGAGGACTGTAGTTCAAGCGGAAATCCTTAGGTCGCTGGTTCGAATCCGGCTGGTCGGAATTTGTTTTTTGCGTCTTTTAATAGAGTTATTTTGCCAAAACTTACATTAATATAAAGTAAAAATTATTTTTCGATGTCTCTATATTATTATTGACGTTAATATTTTACTTTTTTTTTACTTTTTTGACCAAAAACATTAAAAAAAGTTAAAAAAATTTAAAAAAATAATGGTTTTTGGCGGAATTTGTTTGTGATTGTTATAACTTGTGCCATTTTAAATTAAAGTAAACCAAAATTTCAGTAAATATAGCTTATTATCTTGTCTATTAATAGTCCAAAAATTACTTACATTCACCAACATTAATATAGACGATCGACTAATTTTCGGATCTCTACCACAATATCAGACTTTTGTTGTGTATGTCAATATAAAATGCTTGTAAAACCAAAAATACTTGGTTTAACTATTATTACTGTAAAATATACTGTAGAGCATAATCTTTGGCTTGTGTTTTTTAAAGATTTTCGTGTGGGCGTGTAAACAATTTTGAGCTATGAGGTGTTAAATATTGTTGTTGGTCTACTTGAACTAGTGTTTAGAAATATTTAAAAATCACGTTTTTTCAAAATTTTTGAAATGATATTGTTTTTGTTGTGTTGTTTACAGTGATCTATGTTTAGTGAACTTAAATAAATAAAAATTTTCAATTTTGGTTTTGACATTTCAACAAAAAACGTCGAAAAAGTGATAACGATCTTGTAATGAGGGAATTGAAGGTTTTATGACTAAACTGATCTGAATCTCATTCCAAAACTAAAAAAAATAGTTATCTAGGGCTTGGCAATGAATTCCTTTTTTATGAAAAAAAAATGTTTGGGTCACTACCCCTTGCCCTTGCCCTGGTTTTGCTTTGCCTTACCTTACCTTGCCTTGCCTTGCCTTGCCTTGCCTTGCCTTGCCTTGCCTTGCCTTGCCTTGCCTTGCCTTGCCTTGCCTTGCCTTGCCTTGCCTTGCCTTGCCTTGCCTTGCCTTGCCTTGCCTTGCCTTGCCTTGCCTTGCCTTGCCTTGCCTTGCCTTGCCTTGCCTTGCCTTGCCTTGCCTTGCCTTGCCTTGCCTTGCCCTGGCCTTGCTTTTCCTTGCCTTGCCCTGGCCTTGCTCTTGCTCTTGCCCTTGCCGTGGCTTTGCCTTAGCCTTGGCCGTGGCCTTACCTTTTCCTACGTTTACCCTACCCTATCTTGCCTTACCCTATTGTACACTACCTTATCCTAACCTACCTCATCCTACCTAACCCTACCCAAATTTCTTCAAATTTTTAGACATGGCCTTATCAATAACCCCCCTATTAATGACATGTTGTTACACTTTGAAGAATTTGTCGAAAAATGCGTTTTGGAACCGGGCGGATTCAGCGACAAAAAAAGTGTGGATTTGAAGGTGGACTGGCTGACACTGCGACTTTCACTCTTTTTCGAAATTCCGCGCGGTCTCGGTTCGCAGGGCCTTTAAAAGGCGCGCGGGAGAGGTGATCAGACACATTGTTTGGGTCGTCAAGACACAGGGACAGGTAAGTGGGATCTATCCAATGACTTATTGTATTTTGAGTTTTTTAACCTTTTTGGGCAGGGTAGAATACGGTACGGAATGATAGAATTGGGTACTGTAGGATAGGATACGGTCCGGCAGAACAGGGTAGGTAGAAAATGGTAGGGTAGGCTAGGGTAGGCTGGGTTAGATTTGGCTAGGCTAGGCTAGTCTATTCTAAACTATGCTTAGCTAGACTATGCTAGGCTTGGCTGAACTAAGCTGGGCTGGGCTAGCCTAGGCCGGGCTTGGCTTTGTTGGGCTGGGCTGGGCTGGACTGGGCTGGGCTGGGCTGGGCTGGGCTGGGCTGGGCTGGGCTGGGCTGGGCTGGGTTGAGCTGAGCTGAGCTGAGCTGGGCTGGGCTGGGCTGGATTGGGCTAGGCTGGGTTGGGCTAGGTTTAGCTTAACTTAGTTTGGCATGGCTTGGCTTCGCTTGGATTAGCTTAGATTACCTTGGCTTAGCTTACCTTCGCCTGACCTGGCTTAGTTTAGCTTGGCTTGTCTTGGCTTGGCATGGCTTGACTTGGCTTGGCTTGGCTTGGCTTGGCTTGGCTTGGCTTGGCTTAGCTCAGCTTCTGGACTAAGCTGGAATAGACTTTGCCAAGCTGGGCTATTCTAGGATTCTAGACTAGGCTTTGGTAAATTAAACTAGGCTGAACTAAGATATGCTAGGCTTACTTAAGCATTACCAAGCTTTACCTATTATATTACCCATGCCACAGTTAACCTATCCTTGCTTTATTCTTAAAGTTCCTCCTTCCCAAGCCTAGCCTGGATTAGCCTTTCTTTTTTCTTTCTTTATCTGAAAATGCCATACCTTATATATAAAATGTCATTTCAGAACAATGGGCAAGCTCTTCGTATGTATAACAAGTGCTGCCAGTGCCGTCTTCGTACTAGGCGCACTGGTCACGATGACCATGCTGTACCTGGACATGAACCAGATCTACGCCGAGCTCATGGACGACATGGCTGACTTCAAGTTCCACGCCAACGATGCCTGGAGTGGCATGCTGAACATCGATGGCTACGGCAGGTCAGGTCACGGTTCAAGTGGCAGTTTCCTACGTGAGTTCGGCCGAAACAAACGTGAAGCCACTTGTGGCTGTTCCCGCCGTTCCAACCGCTGCCCACCTGGCCCAGTCGGCACACCTGGCATAGCCGGCAAACCAGGAGATGACGGAGAAGATGGAAAGCCAGGCAAACCTGGAGGACCTGGCATAGCCCAGCTCGGAAACTACGCCAAGCTCGGCGGCTGCATCAAGTGCCCACCTGGACCACCAGGACCACCAGGATTGTTCGGCAAACCAGGCGAAGCCGGTCCACAAGGTCTACAAGGTATTGTTGGTCATCCCGGCTTCCCAGGCAATCCAGGTACCATAGGTCCACAAGGCGACCTCGGTGAGCCAGGTGAGGCCGGCAGTCCAGGTCGACCAGGCCACGATGGTCGTGACGGTCGCAAGGTCAACAACTTCCCAGGCCCTAAGGGTCAACCAGGTCCACAAGGTGCTCCAGGCCATCCAGGTGAGACTGGTCCAGCCCCACCACCAGGTGAGCCAGGCCCAATCGGTGAAGACGGTGAGCCCGGAGATCAAGGTGATGATGGACAAGATGGTGCTCCTGGTGCACCTGGAGGTGAAGGTCGACCAGGCGCCGACCGTGGATATTGTCAATGTCCTAAGCGGGCTGATTCACAAAAATCTGCCTGGAGGCGATTCCAATCTTGAAGAGTACGAGTCTGAGTGCCATTTGTTAATCATATTAATATTGTGTTTGCATTGGGAGAAGCAATAAAGTTAGTTGATATTGACAATGTGAGAACTTTTTGAAATTTGAAAATGATTTTGTTTACCTTGAGTTCTAGCCCTGACACTAAAAATTTTAAATTTCTTGCACCGTGCAGTTTTTTAAAACATTTGTTAAAAAGCTAAATTTAGAAAAAAGTGCAAAGTTTTAAAAAAATAATAATCAATTATACAAATAAAAAATGTTTTTTTAATTTTATTTTTGAAATTTTGTCAAATAACTGCACAGTGCAATCTTAAACTTTTTGCACCGTGCAGTTTTTTAATAACATTGTAAAAAATCAAAATTTAGGTAAAAGTGCAAACTCTTTGTAAAATAGTGAGTAGTTTTCAAAACAAAAAAATTTTCATAAAGTACATTTTAAAAATTTTGTCATATAACTGCACAGTGCAATCTTAAATTTTTTGCACCGTGCAGTTTTTTAAAAATTTCGTAAAAAGTCAAAATTTGGACTAAACTTTAAAATTTCTATGAAAATAGAAATTATTTTTCAAGCAAAAATATCTTCATAAAGTATATTTATTAAACTTTGTCACTTAACTGCACAGTGCAATCTTAAACTTTTGCACCGTGCAAGCTTTTAAAAATCTTTATTTAAAAATCGAAATTGAGATAAAAGTGCAAAGTTTTCATAAAATAGTAATTACTTTTCAAATCAAAATTAGTTCCGCAAAACATATTTATTTAATGTTGTCGTATAACTGCACAGTATAATTTAAAAATTTTTGCACCGTGCAATTTTTAAAAAATTTTGTAAAAAATCAAAATCTAGATAAAAGTTTAAAATTTTTTTAAAAATAGTGTTTACATTCCAAGCAAACAACTCATAAAGTATATTTGTTTAACTTTGTCGTATAACTGCACAGTGCAATTTGAAACATTTTGCACCGTGCAGTTTTTATATTTTTGCACGGTGCAGCCTCTTTTCGCCCAATTTTTTTGCCATTTTAGAAGGTATATTAATATTTTTTTGACAAAAAATAAACTTTCTCATTATTTATGGCCTAGTCAATCAATCTCCTTACCATTCTTTTTATAAAACTTTATCTTATTACATCTTTAAATACATAACAATATACAAGTTTAAGGGGGGGGGGAAAGCAAACTTAACATGAGCAAATGTGTTTTTTTCGAATGTACAATATAAATATAAACTCTGCGGATAAAAATTTGTGTCTTGAGCAAAGGTAAAGGGTTTGTATGTAGCAATAGTAGGGTAATAATGTAGCAAGATAGACCATGCAGAACAAGGATAACATATTCACCTGAGAGCGATCGGATTTACAACAAAATTTTGGGTTATTTTTACAGTTTTTGGTAATCTTTGGACCTGTTCACATATTGGTACTGTTTTGAGGGCTTTTTGGTGCAGTTTTAAAATGTTTAAAAAGTCTTGTCGTTTTTTGACATTAAAGATAATGTAAATTGGCAACAAGACTTTTTTAAAGCTGTATGGCTTTTGTTAACTATTTTTGACAAAATGGTACTGTGTGGAACCCTTTTTCCAAAGTTTTGAAACCTCAAAAAAGTTTTGTCGTTTTTCAACATTAAAGACAATGCAAGTTGACGACAAGACTTTTTCCAACAGCCCGGAAGTCCCATTTAAGAATTTCGTTTAGTACCATTTGATAAATAAGTACTATTTAACAAAGTAGTACCAAGAAAGAACAAAATCGTTCAAAGTAGTACCAATAACAAGATAGTACTTTGGAGAGTACCAAAAACAATATTAACGTTGATAAGATAGAATATGTACATTTTTGAGTATATTTGGTAGGAGCTTTTCTCTCAAATTGGACTGATATTTAACATTAATTCGGATCTTTGGTCAATTTCGTAGGTATAATATTAAAAATCTTGGTGATAGTCTACAGTAACTTAAGTCTACAGTAACTTTTTCAAAATTTTTTATCTTATACTACCTTTCCTGTATCTTCTTTTAAGACCTTCTAGTAAAAGGTCAAACCTTTAAAATGGCTAAACAAAGCGTATTTTAAAAAGAATCTACAAGCACTAAAAAGTCAAAAAAGTCTTGTCGTTTTTCACCATTGAAAAAAATGTAAAATGACGACAAGAATTTTTTTTGACATTCCAATATGATGTAAAATACGAATCTTAATTCTTCTGTTTTTAAAAAAGTCTTGTCGTTTTTTACTATTATAGACAAAGTAAATTGACGACAAGACTTTTTTTCAGGCTAAAAATGCCTATAAATTGGCAAACAATGTGCAGAAAATGACTTTCTAAGTACTTTTAGACCTGAATCATCATAGTAACTATCATGAACCAGACTTTCTCTGTAATTTTTGACCTAGATCATCATTTGATTCAGCCAAAAACTGAAAAGAAAGACCTCTTTCTGTCTACTTTTTGACCTAAACTGCTAATCAGTCAACCAAAACCAACAAAAGACAACCTTCTAAGTACTTCCTGACCTGAAACACATTCCAATCAGCCAAAATAGAAAAAAGACAAAAAGAAAAATATAAAACATCTTAATCAAAGAAAAAACATAACAACAACAACAATAATAGTATAAAACATGTCTAAAATATATACAATGGCGAAACTCAATATTTACATAACCAAACTGCTGAGCACGTTCGGTTGATAGATGGCGGCGACGTTCACGATAAGGCGGAGGTCGCTGCAGTCGCAGCCGACTACTTCGCACACCCGCTCCATGGTTAGGATCATGGGGGAGGCGGCGGTGAGGCGGTCGTCCGGGTCCTCGTCGATCGTGTCTTGTGATAGCCAGCGGCGTTGTTCTCGAGCCGGCGACTTGACCGACACGACTGATAGGTTGCGTAGCTTGGACATTGTGAACGAGGCCGGTGGGTTGGGGGCGCGGAATTGGTGCTCCTTTTGGGCTTCTGAAGGTGTCACGGTAGATGGGTGGGCTTCTGAAGGCAGTATGGTAGCTGTTTGGGCTTCTGACTTCATCACATTAGCTGTATAGCCTCCTGAAGGTATGTTGCCTGTGTGAGTTCCAGAGGGCATCACGTTGCCTGTGTAGGCTCCTGAAGATATCCCGATAGCTGTGTAAGCTCCAGAAGGCATTGTGGTAGAAGAATTCATAGGATCTGGTTGATCTTCTGACTCGACAGGGAACTTAGCGTTCATTCTAGAGCCGAATTGAGATTCTGAAGACAGCACGGTGTTTGTCTGAGCTTCTGAAGCCATGTAGCCAGACGTTTGATAGGCTTCTAAACCTCTTACAGTATCAAAACGCCCTTCTGCAGCTCTTCCAGTACCATGTTGAGATATCCCAGCACCAGTATGACCTTCAGCACTTCTCCCAGTACCAAAACTACCATCCATTCCAGTACCACTTTGACCCAAGTTCATAGGCTCATAACTCGACGACCGTGACCCATGACCTGACCCAAAGCTGTGGCTCAAATTCTGTGTTGGAGTCGGTTCCGTGGCCCAGATGTCACTTCGATCGCCTGTGGTAATCAACTTGACCAAGGTCTGACTCTTGCTGAGTATCGTGCTCAGCCGGTCCTCGAGGAAGCTGATCAAGAAGTTGGAGTTGGTCCTGAGCTTGTGGAGCGATATGAACTGTTCCAGCATCTCCACGACCGCATCCGATGGTGATGCTATTGGTCTGTCGTCGACTTTACAGTTCTGTGCCGCCACCGTTCGTACTGTCATGTCGGTGAGGTCGCCTACCACGACGACGGCCGAGGTTGGGCCGTCGAAGCAGGCCGACTTCTGACTTCCTCGAGGTGAGTCCGCGACCATCGAGTTCTGTCGAGGCTGACGTGATGGTCGTGGCGGTAGGTCTTGAGCCGAGTTGGTGAGGGCTGATGAAGTTGAGGAAGAGGGTGAAAGGATGGATTCACATGGCTCTCCGGTCGGGTGTTTCACGTCCTCGTAGATAGCGTTGAAGGTGTCTTCAATGTCGGATTGACGAAGGTCTACTCCTGAAAATAGTAAAGATATCAATAGTAGCTTCAAATATGACCTTCCAAGCTCAAAATAACAATTTTTTTACAAAAAAATTTTTTAAAAAACCACCCCAAAAAAGTTTTTACCACGCCCTCCCAAAAACCTTTTTAAAACCGTATTTACACTTCCGATACCTATAATCGCCAAAAAAACATTATTTTAAAAATCACCCATCCCCAAAAAATTTTAAAAAAATTTTTACCACGCCCATTTTTTTAAGAAAAAAAAAATTTCTAACAGTTTAAAACTTACCTGACAACACAAAATGTGGTGAATATGAAGAGCAAACCCCAGCCAACAAAGACCGTCCTAGATCGCCGCTGGCATTCGTGTTCGAGCTCAAACTCTGCGACGAATGAGAGCTTGAGGCCGGTGAATGGCCACCGTTCGGGATATTGATCGGTTGACTTTGTTGTTGTAGAGCATTGTTATAGATCGAGGGTGCTAGCTCCTGACCTGAGATTTGTACGTCTTCCACGTCTAACGTCAGCTTCATTCGGCTTCTGGCTGGACTGGGGAGGTTCCTCAGGTTTTCTGATGACTCGGCTTGGCTACTCGAGTAGACGATGGTTTGGGAGTGGATTCTGATGCTGGTGGGTGATGCCAGGTCTGGTTGATACGAGCAGTCGGGATGATAACGTCCTGGATGGTACGAGCCTAGGTTTATGGCTCTAGTCTTAACTGGAGGTTCATCTGTGGTGAATTTCAGTGCATCCAATGGGGAGGTGGCATATTGGCTTGAGAGTGATGATGAAGGTCTTTTGGATCGTGTTGATACTGGCTGATGAATGGGTATTGTTGGGGCTGCCTCGGCCGATGTGGGTTGTTGTGAGGCGTTTGAGGAGCTTAGATCGTTCAAGAAGTCATCATTGTAGTCGGAATGAGGATTGGATGGGGATGAAGCAATGTTCACTGGCTGTGATGGGACTTGGACTGGGGAGAGGACTTCTGAAAATGGCAAAATGAGTTTTATATTAATAAAAAATAACAAAAAATATTATTTTGTTACCTGAAATCCCAAAAAATCGTATTTTATTACCTAAAAAACAAAAAATCATTTTTGTTACCTAAAACAAAAAAAATTTTTTTTTGGTATCTAAACATGCCCAAAAATCTTTTTTGTTACCTAACATCCCATAAAAATATGTTTTTATTACCTAAAACCCTTAAAAACCCGCTTTTAATCCGAAAAATACTTTAAAATACTACCTAAAACATCAAAAACAAGCTCCTTACCACTTCTCCTGCACTCCACATTTGAGCATCTGATAAAATAGGAAAGTACGAACAAGATCTCACTGATCAATCGTGGGTTTTTGCCAATTATCACGGTTTTGGCCAGCTTTTCCCCGCCTCCGACTATCCCACAGAGCTCCATGAGCTGGGCCAATCGGGCGTTGTAGGGCTGTCTTGATGCGTCTATTACACTCTAAAAATTTAAAAAATGTAAAAAAAATCAATCTTTAACCAATTTTCATGAAATTCAAAACAAATTTCAAAATTTTTTTTTTCAAATCCACCCCCAAAAATTTACCACACCCAAAAAATTTTCATGAAATTCACATTTTATCTTAATATGAAAATAGATCAGCTGTATTTTACAAAAAAATTTTGATCCACCCCCAAAATTTTACCACGCCCAAAAATTTTCTTCAAAAAAAAACTTTTTTACATGCCGACACAAAAATCCGTATTTTACAAAAAATCATTCACTTACCGTCCCCAACAGCAGTGATCGTTCATGTTGAGGAAGAGTGTCTGGAGGTGCTACACTCGCCACCCATGCCAAATGATTCATCAGAACTGAGGACAAAAGTCTTGACAAGAAGCTAAAATGTCATTTTTAATAATAGGTCAATTTGACATTTGAAAATAAAAGCGAAAGTGCATATGTTTTATAAAAAAAAAGATTTTTCCGTCTCTCATCTACTACAATATCGTGTTCATAGACTCTTAACTAGTTTTACAAATTTCTGATTAATTCCAACTTTTATTATGTTAAAAACCAGTATTGTTTACGTATAGTATAACGTAAAAACATCTACTATAAGCCTACTACAACAGTTCGAAAAACTAAGTTCAAGTCGAATATGTCCTAATATCTACTATAACATTACATTTTAATAGCTCATAACCAGTCACATACCACCTTCAATAACTTGACGTTTTACAGTATTAAAGAATATTATTTTGTGCTTGTTTCAACACCAAACGCTCTGTGTTATACCTACTACAACATTTCGAAAAACTAAGTTTAAACTGACTGGGTTCTAATATTAACTATAACATCAGACTTTAAAAGCTCATAACTATTCCTATACCTCCACTAACGCTTTGTACTTTTAATGTATTAAAAAGTAGTAATTTCTGCTTATTTTAACAAAAAACACTTTATGTTACACCTACTACAACATATCAAAAAACTGAGTTCAAACCGATTGAGTTCTAATACCTACAACAACATCAGGTTTTAAAAACTCATAGCTAGTTCTGTACCTCCTCCACAAACTTTTTGTTTTACAGAGTTAAAGAGTAGTACCTTGTGCTTGTTTTAACACTAAAAACTCTATTTTATACCTACTACAACATATTAAAAAATCATTTCCAAACCAATAACTAACAAAAAAGAAAGCTAACTTACTAATGAGTTTCCTTTTTGTCCAACTGCTCTATCAGCCCAGCCAATGAGTTACAGAACCTTTCGGCCGTTTCTGATTGTTGACTCGAGTCCAGCAGTGATAGCCAAACCGGTTGTCTTAGTCTTAACGAGTTGTACAATAGACAAATAGCGTCAGCAAACTGTCTGTAAGCCTGGTAGACGCAGTAGAAGAACTGTGACCGTGTGTTCGAGGCCTTGTAGATCCCGAACTCCAGCTTGATGATTTCTTTTTCGATTTGAAGAATGTGCTGAAAGATGAAGTCTCGTTCTTTGGCATCAAACACCAGAGCGAAGCCGATTTGTTTCATCTCTTCGCCGTCGTTTATTGAGGAGCATGAGCTCATACGGGATCGACTGCCCCATCGAATGGCTGGTCCTGAAAAAGTGAACTACTTTAATAAAAGCTATGCATAATAGACGTAGATGCCGTATTTAACAATAGATTTAACCTTTGATACACTGAAACGCAATTTTTTGTATTGTAAAGAAAGTTCTTGCCATTCCTTGTTTTGTAAAGAAAATTCTTGCCGTTTCTTTTTTTGTAAAGAAAGTTCTTGCCATTTTTTATTTTGTAAAGAAAATTCTTGCCGCTTCTTTGTTTGTAAAGAAAGTTCTTGCCATTTTTCCATTATAACAGGACGTGTGTTAAGGCCAACTCTTTTTTTCCTAAATCATTAAGACAACTAAGGGATCAATAGCTATTAAAACGCTCATCACTGTACTGTCATTTATGTTTAAAAATTTATATTTTATATTATATTGATTTTATGTTATATTATGACTGTACGAGTGAATTTTTGAAAATAAATAAATAAAACAACTTTTCATAATTTCACCCCCCCCATATTAAAAAATCCCCTTAACCCTTACCTTCATCAGCCAACCCTTTCAGAGACAACTGTTTCCGTCGGTGCCGGCTCAAGCGATTCGGTGAGAAGGCCCTCACTTCCTCCAGAATCGCATCGTCGCTGTCCAATTGCAGCGACGAGTTTCGTATCCGCCGGAACTTCTTTGGCGGATCGGCGGACGAATTTTTTCGCCGAACGTCGTCGCGTAGCGTGTCCAACGATCGTATCGTGGCGTAGTGTTGAGATTGGCAGTCGGCGTCCGAGCCAAAGCTGTTGTTCACGAATTTGAGCTCGCTAACAATTTTTTTGGTCATTTTAAGTAATAAAAAATCATTTTTGCTTATTTTAGGTAACAAAAATTCATTTTTTCCATATTTTAGGTAACAAAAATCCATTTTTGCTTAATTTAAATAACAAAAATCCATTTTTGCTTAATTTAGGTAACAAAAATTCATTTTTTCCATATTTTAAGCAACAAAAATACATTTTTGCTTATTTTAGGTAACAAAAAAATAATTTCTTCTTATTTTAGGTAACAAAAACACAGGTTTTATAAATTTAGGTAACAAAAAAATAATTTTTTCTTAATTTAGGTAACAAACACCTCAAAATTCATTTCAAAACAAAAAAAAAATAAATTCCACCCCCATTGATACCTAATCACTAGCAAAAAACTCTAATCACTGCCAAAAACCCCAAACTCACTTGTACGGAACGCTCAAATTGGCGGCCTTGGGCACGAAGAACACTCGACTTAGCATCACCGAGTTTGAATGACTAAAAATAAACGAAACACATTAGCATTCGAGAACTCATCAGCCTTACGGTAAAGTGTGGATCTTCAGCGATCCGGTCTTGGAGGAGGTGGGCAGCGTGCCGAATATCATCCGTCCTATTTGCGGCACGTCGGAACGGTGGCGGAGGTACTGGAAATGACAGAAATTAAGAGTTTTTATATTAACATTGAATTGAAAAATACTTAAATGCCAGAAAAATCATTTTTACGACCTTAGGATCTAATTTTAAGCCTAACTTTACGTAAAAATCAAAATTTTTCAAAAAAAAATTTTTTTTTAAGTAACAAAATTTTTAGACCTCAAAAAGTAAAAAAAACTGCATAAAATGCCTTTCTACAACCTTAAAACACTATCCTAAGCCTAATTTTACTTAAAAATCAAAATAATTAAGAAAAATTTATTTTAGGTAACAAAATTTTTAATCCTCAAACTTTCAAAAAATTCTTTCAAAGCTCAAAAACCATTTTTACAATCATTATTTGTCATAAAACACCTTTGAAAATCACTTTTACATCAAAAAACAACAATTTTTTGTTTGTCAATAGTGATGTTATCCATCATAAAAAGCAGGTTTTAATAGCTAAAAAACTGTTTTTAACATCAATTTTTTCATATTATAGATAAACAAGTGTTAAAAGATTACAAGTTCAATGTTGAAGTAAAACATACTTAAAAAATTTCAAAATGTTACCTAAAATTTTTTTAAAAATAATTCAAAAAGCATTAAAAAACCCCAATAATTACCTAAAAAACAATAAAAACCCCTAGAAAACTCACTTGAAATCGACCACATGGACTGGTGTGGGGTCTTCCTTGAAGCAGCCGATCTTCGATGGCGATGACCGTGTCCGAATCGTACAGTAGACGTTGATTGTTCTCATTGAACACGATCAAACGTATGTCCGAACGCCGGATTTTTTGCGATTGCCCCACACTAAAGTCGTCAATGTAGTCGTCGCGGTGGGAGATGGTCATTTTGTGAAATCTTTTCAGATTTCCCTCCACGTTACCACATTGATCAGCTGCTTGCGACGCTTGGTGCTTGTGCGCTATTATGGTTTCCGCCTGGAAGGATGTGGAATGTTATAAAATGTCATGTTTCTAACTTTTTTGAGACATAAGAGTTAAAAAATCACGATTTAAAAATTTTAAAACGTAAAAATGCCTAAACCCAAAAATTAAATTTTTCAAAAATTTTTCGATTTTCAATCACCCGGAGGAGAGGAGAGAGATGAAGTAACCAAAAATTGTTTAAAACCCCCCCTCCTCCTTATCAAGAACCGTTTTTTTTTAATTGGCCAAAACCCCCCACCCCTTAAAAATTTTAATTTTTAACAAAGATAATTTACCCATTCCGTATTTTACAAACAGATTACACAACAAGAACGGTGAAAAACAAACTGTCTCGACGAACATAAAAACGTGCGATTGTTCCCTATTTTCCGGTTCTTATCAAACCGACAGTTCGGGAAGCCGAATGGCTCTCTTATCGAATATCAAAAAGTTGTGTTATCTCTGCTTGGACCAACAATAGACCGAATCAATGAAAAATGCGGAAGGACTAACTGTTTTCTGGGGTTGATAAGGTAATTGATGGAATTCGTTGTTATGGATGATTTTATAGTATATTTTACTCATTTGATTTAACATAGATTTAGTTGAAAATTAATATCATTAATATGATTTTAGTATAAAATGAATAATTATACAAAAATCATATTAATCATACTACTTTTCAACCAAAAATAAGTCAATTCAAATGAAAAAACAGAGAAATATAATATAAAATCATTCTTAACAACAAATTCCATCAAATACCGACCTTATCAACCCAAAAAACAGTTAGTCTTTTCGCATTTTCATTAATTCGAGCCATTGTTAGTCCAGTAAGAAATAATACAACTTCTTGATATTCGATAAAAACAACCACCAACACTAATACTCAAGCACAAAACTAAAGAATTCAAGAATGAATCCCAAATAGCATATTACTGATGATAATCATCGAGATCACTAACAAAAACTTTATAGGACTAGCCAAGAGGTCCCCATCAACACATGTAACAAAGTCAAGGAAAAACTTAAGACCAAAGCCAAGAAAAACCGTATAGAACCTAAGGTAAAAAAATATGATAGAGCCAGAGCCAAGAAATCCCCCTTGCACTACCCTCTCTCTAAACCTCTACCTTCCACCCAACCCTAAACACCAAATGACCAGCAAACAATATCACATCACTAGCCCAAAATCAATCCCAAAAATCCAAAATTTACAGTAAAAACAAAAAATCGAAAGTCCAACAGTATCAAAACAAAAAAACTTTGTTATCCGTCGCCGAATGACGTGAATATAAATCTTGAAAGATGCAAAAACATATGACAAAAGACAAAGAATAACATAGCGGACATAAATAACGAACCGTATTTCGTTATTTATGCATTTACGAGCGACAAAGATATATGTCGAAGTGATCGAAACGGTTCTTATCGAACGATTCACGTACAGTGGAGATGTGATAAAGTTATGTTAAGCTTTTATTGTGTTTTATGTTGGAATACAGTGAGTTAGATTTGGCAAATAAAAGCGTATTGTCGTTGTTTCTTTTGATAAGACAACCTTGAAGCAAAAAATTACCCCGCCCGACATTGGAAAGAGGAAAAACTTGGAAAATCTAGCCAACTGCCATAGACGAACAAACACGCACCACGCCACCCCTCGCCAAAATAATCAACTGATCTCTCTAAACTAGACCTGAAACGAGCCCCCAGCAAGTTTGAAAAGACCGAGCCAAGAAATTATAGCCAACCCGGTCCCTTACCAGGTCTACTCCAAGCCTAACGTATAAAACTCCAAAAACCTTGTTCTTTACCCAAAACCATTATATCTCATTAACCAACCCAACCACCGTCAATATTACATTATCCCACTTGACATACGATCCAAACAAAGTCCACAACCTGAGCCCAACCGAGCAATAACAAAAGAAAAAACGGTTTAACATGGGCGAGGAACAAAAGCGACGGACCGAAAATACCGCCGAGTAACATGATCGATTGCCGAAATAAACAGATCGATGCCACAGATTATACGACCTTCTTCAATACGACAAATTCTTCGAGATTTTCCAAAATAATTAATTGGCTCGCTTCTCGCACCGAGTTAAATCCTGTTGCGAAAAACGGAGCCGACATTAATATTGGCATTGAAGCTAGCGAGTGGGTCGATCAGAGCTAGCTGAGGATCAAACATTACGACTAGAGAAGATAGTCGATAGAAGAAATCAAGAAAATATTACTTTTAATGACATACAATAAAAAGGATCAAAGCCAATCAGAGCTACATATAGATCAAAACTGTCGAGAAAAAGAGTAAAACAATGATTAAAAAACTTCGATTATTCAATCAAAAAAAGATTTTCGTGCTTTTTTCATAAGATAAACCAAGAGAAAAGTCCCACAGCTCCTTTAATTTAGCTCCAAATCAAACAGAAGACAATCAGCTACCACAATATTCCCAAATAAAACCCAGACACTTGTTATTAGAGGTTCCAAATCACTCGAAAAGCAATAAATATGCAGGCGGAAGACGACCACAATGTCTTGTACGAATATTAGCATAAACATTAATAGGTGAAGAAAGCTATTAGTCCATTTTTCAGCTATTAAAGAAGTAAATCAATTGATAGACGAAGATAATAAAGTGGAACTCCTATAACAAAACCCTTGTATGACAAATAAACTTTAAATGCAAAATAAATCACTCCTAATTAAACCGACAATATTTAACATAAGACATAACAAGCCTACAATAATTTCAAATTCACTTCAAAAAACCTCAAAAATGCTCCAGCCATTAAAACCATACCCAAAGAAACCCCCGACCCGTTCGAAAACCAAAAAAAATTTGGAAATGCCAAGACCGGCCCGTTGCCGAAAAACGTTTGTTTTTGCGACTTTTACCGCACCCGGGGCATGTAGGTAATAAATTTCCTCCTCTCGAAGCCGATTCGGGATAAACAAAAGAAAAAAAGGAGTTTAATGAACTTCCTTAAGTTATGTCCGGGTTTAAATATTGACTCAATTCGGTGGTTTTTAAACATAATACTAGGTTAATTAGAAACAAAAGATCATGATAAATACTAGAAGAAAGATGAATACTAGATTGTTGATAGAATTGCCAAGAGATTCTGATAGAAAAGCCAAGGTTGGTTAGAAGAAACAGGGTAAAAAAGCAATCATAACGTTACCGAAAAGTTTAAGAAAAACTGCTAAAACGTAAACCAAAATAAAATGCCGAATAACAACTAAAAAATAAAACTTCAAGCTACAACAACATTCTTTAGCTAAATAACAAGCCTTTAAGAACATTAATCTTCTAGAAATAACAACCAAGATCATGCTCCAGATTTCTCGAATATCAAAGAATTTTATCAGTAGAATCACACAGTGGCACGCTTCGATGTACTTACACACCCAAATAGTGCTTGTTTGACAATTCGGTGACCTTTAATAAGCCCTAAAGTTTTCTTATCTTGAAGTGATTAAACCCAAAAATAGACTCGTTGTACTGGTAAAGTGTTTAGCCTCGGTTTAACTACAACATTCCATTGTTTTTATATTATCAATATAGTGTTTTTGGTGATAACATTCTTTATAAGGTAGGATTTAATGAGCAAAACTATTCTTATACTACGAAGAGTATTGATTCAAGACTACTAAAACCATCAAAAATATTTATGACTTTAGTAGTCATTTCACCAAGGATACCTTAACCTGAATAAAACTACCATTCCAACAACAAAAAACGACCTAACACAACCGCCACAACCAACAAAAAACATCTTACAATCGATACGAAGCCAACAATCGATAAAAACCCCAAAAAACACACCAGTACAATAACCGTGTTTTAAACAGTCCTGTTTACATAAAGCCATAAATATGATGATCCTCAAACATTGTTTTCGACAACAAAACCCCTTACGGATTCTCGATAACAAATCATATAATGGAATCGATAAAAGTGCTACCGGCCCCCCGAATTGATATAACGTTTCCGATTAGCGGCAGCCAAAGTTTAATAATTCATCAATAAAAAAAGGTATTCAAGTTGGAATGTCAACGAAAGTCAACACCGTGGGCGTCCGCGGCACATTCCGAATTTTGCACTTTTAACAGCTGCTCCACGGAACGTCGGTGTGTTCCGGAGGGTGTTTGACATACAATTTGGGGGATGATTTATGCGCCGCCAATAACTGTTATTGGAGAAAGCGAGCGCTTCCGGTGATCAAATTTATTTTATTATGCGTTTCGGATCGTCGAAATGCCTTTTCAACATTGAATTGGCTCAGAACTTTGATAATACTGGGCCTGGAGGTATAAAGAGAAGGTGATTTAGAGAGCCTATTGATTTCTAGCATTGTGCAATCGCTTTCAGATTAGCTGCAGTGTAATATTCCTCATCCTAACAGCATACTTATTGCATATAATGGAAGCAGATACAATTACTTAGTTAATATCCATCCACCTATTTCTTTCAAAAAAGATCAAATACTCATCTTTTTGTATGAAAAACAAGCCAAGATTCACCTTTTTCTTTAAAAAACTAGCCAATACTCACCTACTTTCAACAAAAACCTAACCAATATTCACCCCCTCACAACAAAAACCTAGACAATATTCATCACCTTTCCAAAGAACAATATTAAAAGTGCATTCCGACAAAATCGACCGTACCAAGAAGGCAACAGTTGGAAAGGAAGCTAGAGTACCTGCCAGCTGGGCCCCCGTTGTAAAGACAATACATTCCGAGTCAGCCTAATGTCGATCAGTAGCCAAAACAAAAAAACCCGACAGACAACACGGCGTGAAAAATGCAGATTTCGGGTCCTGATAGGCGCCAGAAACGGTCGGTTAAAAATCGGTGAAACAAATGATGAAACGTGATGTCTGGACACCAAAGTTGGCATTATGTTGGT